CGCGATTGTGATTTGATGCTTGAATTCCAGAAGCTACTTGCAACTACTGAAAAATACAAAAACCTTGTAGGGAAAACTCACGACCTTTATTCTAATATTTCTAATATTTCAATTATGCAAATGAATTGCTGTGCAAACTGCCCTGTCTAAGCAATCAGCAGGTTACTGACACAGAGTCATGGGGAGATTAAGAAAGGAGATTGATGCTTATTATCTACATCTGCTTGATAAAATGAGAACTATTTTAGAGTGAATTGGACTAGTATCATCATGATCATCACGATCATCATCATGATCATAATCATCATCATCATCAATCATCATCATTATCATCATCATTATCTTGAATAGAGCTGATTAAGGCCTATTTTACAAATGTCTAAAATAGATTTACTAGGAAAGTACAATATATATAACATAAAAACAGAAGAGGCCCCCACGTAGGCCCAGCCCCCCCCCCCACATATCAAACGTCTTTCCTGTTAGTTCTTTTGTGAATGGGAAGGTTTGTTGACTGTCTTATTTCTTGAAGAAAAAGCTGCCACAGTTTATATCTCACATCAGTGCCATGCAGCTATAATTTGTAATACAGATAAGCAACTCTGCTATTTTGATCAGGAACAGCCACAATCTCTTTTGAAAGTCCTTGCAACTTCCTCCGCTGCTTGATACAGCTATTCTCCCCACTCCTTCAAACAACAGGAGGATCGGATGCCGCTGAAAATACGTTACAAAGGCTTTGCCAGGCACTTAAAACCTGAAAGATTCAAGAACAAAGCAATACGACGACGAGAATCCAATGTAACGAGATAAAATTTTCAAAATAAATTAAATTTAAGGAATACTAATATTTCGCCCAGGGTCTTAGGGTCTGCTTTTTACGGTATGCCAGCAAATAGCAAGCGACAGTGAACGCATATTTATAATCTCTAACAGTGACCAGATGTTAGTTTAGTGAGCACTTCTCTGTTTTTCTCATAGTTAAGGTTACGGTAAACGTTTTTGACACAATATTTAATTTTCTCTACCTAAAAGCAAAACCATTAACGGAATCAGATTAAACTATACATCGATGCACAAGAATGTGGCGATTTCAACCATATCAAAATAATTGGCAAATATTGTAAAATGATACTTTCCAGGCACATTTTGTTCCCTTGCGTTTAAGGTAAAAAAATCTGATTTTTTTCAGCAGAAAGCGCAGATCCTTAGCTACTAAAACGTGTCTCAGATTTTCAAATTCCTCTTCTTCTTGAAACTATACCCTGTCAAAAATTATCAAACAATTTTTCTTCCCTCTCATAGCTGTATTTGGCTATAAAAAGACGGACCAGAGCAAATACAAAAATTTTGAGACACTCTTTGCTTGCCCGACATCTGTCCTGGCCTTGTGCAAATTTTTTAGCCATTCGATTGGTTCCTTGGATAGAAAATAGCTTTTTCGCACCTGTATCTAGAGGAAACTTTTTCGCACCTGTATTGTAAGTCCGGAGAAAACGGGATTTTACTGATCTCGCTTGCAAGGTACACTCGTAAACCACAGTGTAATCCGGGTCGAGACACTTGAAGCTTTAAGATCAATAAGCCTGTTTAAATAAACACGGCCGTACATGGGATACATGGATGTGCCATGCGATATTGTAAATGAGACATGCGACCACAATCGCAAAGCATCGATAATCGGCTCAACAGGTCAAGAGATTTTCAGGCCTCAACTAAAAGTTCTGATAAAGAAATTATGGAAAACCTTCGTTTACATGGGATTTTTTCCTTTTTCAAAATTTCTGTTAGTTTCAAATTTGGTATCATTGTGTGCCTTGAAAGCTCGGCTACTTGAATGTAAAAAAATCGAAAAATGGATGTTTTATCCAGAAAATGTTTACCGTAACCTTAAATGAGCATTTCTCTAAAACGAGCATTCCCAGAACAGCTTCTGGTCGGCTTTTGGTCGTATCTGGCAAAACGGTATCGTTTTTAACCCTTTCCTTGCCCCTGCAAAGTCTTCTCCACACCTTTATCGATTAATTTGGCCGTTGTGTCACAAGTTTCTTTCATATCTCGTGTTTTATCTATCCTCTACATTGATGGTATTTACCATAATACGCATTGAGAAGTGGGGTATAAAAATCTTGTTTGATACAATCAAAATAAAACGACCTTGGTTTTCATTTCGTTAGATTCTTCTCGCCCTCACATCTTTACACTATCAACAAAATCCTCGGTGTATCGCCTTGTTAAAATCCACTCAAAAGCGATTCCCCTCAGAAACAACTGAACTGTTACCTTTCAAAACCTTCTCAACCTCTTTCTTATTGGCTATATAACATTATAACAATGTTTTTCATATTCCTCTCATTTATCACAAGCACCAGAAACTTACGCTGCTCATAACATCAAAGTCCCTTTGTCATAGCCACGAACTCTGTCCCACAACTCATCTTTCCTTGCGGGATTTTGGAAACTTTGGAACTCTTTACCCTCTTATTGCTTCCCAAACGCTTATAACATTTCTTCTTTCAAAATTAAAATTAACAAGCTTGATGTCACCTTCCTCTTTATCAAGCATTGCCCTTCTTTCCACTACCTGCCATAAATATACCTGATGAGAAACATCCCCGAGCCTTAAAATAAATCGGGTGCTTAAAATTAATCTACCATTCCCATCAAAGGCGTCGAGCGGAGGAGGGGTAAAAGGTCCGGGGCCCGTGCTCCGATGGGGCCCGTATAAATGTAGTAAGATATATTTATAATGCAAAAAAGCTACTATTTCAGCTACTTATATGGAATCTGCGCCTGTAAGTTTATCGCAGAGAAAACCTGTCCTTGATTCATGTAAAATTTTTTGCATATTTTTATAAAAATACTTAAAAATTCTTTTTCAATAATTGTAACGAGCGTTTCCTTAATTCTCCTGGAGATGGAAGGGTGTGGCCATATGACCTTTTCTTAAGGGGTCGAGCTTTGTTAATCACCCCTGGGTCCGAGCTGTCTCTTAACGGCCCTGATTCCCACAGACGTCGCTTGTTGTTTGCTGAACTTTTGCTTAAGCAGAAAGTAGTCATAAATGCAGGTCCGATACTATAGGAGGGTGTGTGGTGGTGTGGGGTGCGACACACCCCTTGAAAAATTACATTGCGAAAACGAGGGGTTTTTGCGATCTAGGGGTGCTTAGTTGGCAAATTCCCAAACTTGTCTGGAAATAAAGGATGGCTCACCCACTTTCTCGGCAAAAAGGCCTTGGAAACCCCCTTTGACCCTTTGAGTACAATAGCTAGCGACAGTAGCACTGGATGAAATTAAGTTGCAATGTTAAGCATATTTGTGTTTCACCGACAATTTTCTACTTGAGCAAAACAGCTCAATTTGAACTGACCTTAGGACGTCTGGCAATCAGAATATCTCTACAATTACGTATCTACCTCGTTTGGGCGTTATTGGTTTAATTCAAGAAATCTTGACGAAAACAAGATTAACTGAAAACCTCACAGTAAATCAAAGCTTATCCACTTGGTCTGTACTATTCCTGCAAATCTCTGTAAACTTAATTTCTTTTTGGAGATGAAGTTCTGCCTAAAGCCCCTGAAAACCTCAACTGTTCATTAACTCTGTACTTTTTCCTCGTGTTCTTTGCCTTATTACTTTGTTCTGATCAGGGTTTAAGTCTCGAGAGTTGACAAGATTCTCTGCAGTAGAGCACAAATGTTCTTTCCAAATGTCAGAATTCTTTTATGTTTTACCCGTAGTCTAAGCCTCTTATTCATTCCTTGCCAAAGTGCCTGTCATTCATTTTGTCAAATCAAAGTGTAATGAAAATGCTAAATATTTTGATTCGTGATCTCCTTTCCAAACACACCTTAGCCCCGATTCCATATGCAGGTGGGTTGTCGTAGAGCTCATATACCCAATATCTGATACATAACTATACTGAGGTATGCATAAGATATGGCTTTCACAGTAAGATGAAGAGGGTCAGATTTTCTTAGCAACTAATTTCTTATTTCGTGCATTACCATGTTCTAGGGGTATAACCAAGTAAGTTGTGTGATGGAACTCGTTTCACCGTTACGTTTATCTCTTTATAAAAAATTATTCCAACCTTTGGATAGTCATTTAAAACAGGAAACAGTTGCGTCTATTTTGTGAAAAATGAATTTATTCAAAATATTGTGGTCATATCAGACAACGAGGAGTGCAAATTAACAGACTATGGTAGTAACGGACAGCGTATGCATATTTTCAGCCCCCTCAAATTATTCCTGTTCTAACTTTGTTGAATTCCTTGAAGTTTACGTTATTTAATATGGAGATGAGCTCTATAAAGCTTGAAAATCTCTATCAAGCATCAGTTTGAGAGATAACAAATGCCTTTGCTGTGTATATTGTAACACCTAGTCGAATGACGTGGCAGAGACTACGTAGGTAACTTTGTCAAAAAATTAATGTTGAATCAATCAAATTGTTTGAACAAAAATCTCAGCATTAAAAACCCTTATAGACATGCTAGATGGACGAGAAATGCTTGCTACAATCCCGGCCTAAAGTCTTGGTACAGTAAACTAAAATTGTTGAACTTTCAAATGCATCAAAACATTGCTATTTTATGCAATGCCTAGAGGTATAGTCAAACTGACCACTCTCGATAGCTATGGTATTTAATTCTACGACAGTCACGGCGGCGAAGGGGGGCTAGGGGGCTATAGCCCCCACTCTTTGCCTAAATGCAAAAGGTTTAGAAATGAACCACCAGTCGCGTCTCTTCTTATTCGGTTTTAGCCCCCTCAACTTTTTTTAGAACTCCACTTTTCTCAACGCTCCCCGGTGCCTGTACAACAAATACTGTGTTAGGGTAGATGGGGTGCAGTGCCATTGTTTTTATCGGAAATGGTTTATCTTTACAAAATAACTCTTAATCATCAACAAGTGGTTTCAAGGCCTTCCGGCAGATATTGTGGACACTTCTGAACAAGTAAACAAGAAAGCGAGAATAAGTAAGCTTAGGACAAGTAACATTCAACACGTGATCAAGTAAGGGATATACGTAAGAATAAACTTATTGTTCTTAACCAAATTTGCTTTTCAGTGGAAAGTTGCCTAGTCTTTTGGATTAAGGTCCCAGTATAATTCCCTCTGTCTAGCTCCATATCTAGCTGTCCTTCTGCGATCAAATAGGTCGTTATATACCATGCCAACTAATCATAAAGCAGTCCGGTTATAACTTCCAGGGTACCACATGCTTCTCCAATGACAGCACGCAGCTCCTCCACATTAGTCCCTGTTTGCTGGTCATCTTCGACAATCGCATCTATTCTGTCAATAGCATCTGCAACACTGTCAAAGTTTGGTACAGCGGCACTTAAAAGCTCCTCCATAATGCCGCGGATGTCTTTGACATCGGTTCTGATTGCGAGGCAAGCCTCTCTATAGGACCTAAGCGTAGGGTTTCCCTGTGAAAACCGTTCTATCAACTCAGCAGAGGTCGCCCATTTTTGAATGGTATTTGACAGGATGAACAGGTTGGATCTTTCTTTAAGCATGACAGAAATTCGATCTTGTCTCGATTTTATGTTTTCTTCGACCTGGCTTCTTCTGCTAATGAGCTCTCTTGCAGCTATGCTGTTCATTGTGTTCTTGCGAAGAGTTGTCTATGAATCGACAAGAGAAAAAGGTTAAACAATATAATGTAGCTGTGACTTACCAAAAAGTGTGCAAGAGACCTCGCCCCAGATCCAAAAATGAGGCCAGAGCACGTTCTGCGAGATGTTCGGAGTTGATTAGAACGAGGAAAGGAGAAAGGAGGAGAGCGTAGTTTGGAGTTCTTCTAATGATCACGGATAAACATGTAATCAATTTGTATTTCATTCTATTTATGAAATAGAATAAAAAATCAGGAGATTTTCTGTTAAAACTGAAAGGGAAATTTATTCACGTGAGAAAAGCGGTTCACAACAAATTGAAATGGGGAATTTTCCTCCATTATCGGCAATGACCACTCAATCTCTATGTTTCCTTTCCTAATCCAAACCATTCCAACCTTAATAACGGTCACTCAAACCATTTCCTACCACATGACAATACAGTGCATTTGGATACTTCGTAAGTAATAAATAAGAGGACGTCTATACGATCTATCTCAGATGATCTATACGTCTATACGTTTTGATGATCAATCTCAGAAAAGTCCCATTTTTATTTTGATAACATCAAAGGCCAACTTTAACGTTGGTTGACTAAATCTTTAAGGGCATATACTATTCTGCTCGAGTCAGAGAGGAAGCTGATGGAGCGTAGTCTAAGACATTTTGACAATGCAAGAAGAACTCATCTAGTAGGATCAGGGTGAGAAGAAGATAAAGATTGTACATACATGACTCAGATTTACTTTTAAAATCTGAAATGTCTGAAATACTGTCAGTTTTTGACTCGTTTACAAGAGAAAGGCGACAGCTCACCTAGTCGTTTTTCGAATATTTCTGCTGTAAGCAATCTTGCCTTGACACAAGAAGAAACAATGTTGCCCTGACACAAGGGAGGGAAGATGGACTTATAATTGTGCTGTTGCCGTACTTTTTTTAGCCTTATGTGAGCTATCAATCACCAAGACAAAGTCCAAGAGCCCTGTCCTATTTATTGGATGGTAAACATTTTTCTTATTCTATTGAAAAGCATAAATGCCCCCCCCCCAGTTTCTTCAAAAGTTTCTATTAAAAATTCAATGTTTTCTTCCAAAGCTTTTCATCACAAAGCTATTAGCCTTTTTTTTTCGAAGGATAGTTCTTCTGTTGAAATTCTAATGTTCATGATGCATTATTGTTAATAAGATAAAACTCAGTGGAGTAACGGAATAAAGTTACCTTTAGTTGAATAACAACGGGTCCCGCACCTTTAGGGGCGCCCAGCAACAATTTTCTTTGTTATTTTCCTAGGGGACGTAGCTGCTCCTTACACCACTAATAAAACTATTAGGCATAATGATAACAGCCCTGATAGAGCTCTACTAAGGACATACTTATCTAGGGAGCGCTAAAAATCGATGCCTTGTAGTTACTTTTGAGCCACCACGACACTAGTTGGCCACTTTAACTGAATGTTTGGCCCCTGGTTAGCCCCCCCTAAAGCTTTTTAAGGCTAGATTCGCCACTGGCCTAAGACAGGGAACCTGCTTATCAACCATCAAAAAACAAAAATTAGATCAATTTCATCAAGGTGCGTAGGAAAAATCAACAAAGTTAACAGCTTGCAAAAGCTTAAATACAAACCTTTCAACTTGAAGATGTCCACTTCTTTGGTCTTTGCACAGAACAACAGCTAACCAAGATCTAGTTTTCACAGTCAATGGCGATATCAGGAAGTGCTTTGTGACAGAACCAATGCATAGCGATATGAATTTTTAACGAGTGGTGGTAACCAATTGAAGCTGCGATGCCAGAAATAAATAATTAACAAACCAAAGTGAAGTTTGCGATTGTGAAGTCCACGTTGGCTTCAAGTGACGTGTGTGCGGATGTGCAAATATCCTCATAAAAATCCAGTTTTTTTAGATTAATTAATATGTTTTGCCAGCTATCACAGTTTCTAAATGAATAAAAAATTCCTTTAAATCATTTAGAGATATCACGAGTCACAAATTTTTCTTTCTTGTTGATGTCATTTTACAGCGAGTTCACATTTTGGATCAGGAGCACACTGCGGGGGGAGGGATCAATCAGTTTCCAACGAACTCCGACAAAGCAGCAACATTTTCATAAAAAATTGTAACTTGAGTGAGATACATTCACCAACAACTCTCTTAGCCTCCTAGCCGTTGTTTGGGAGACAAAAAGGGTATTATAACCAACTCTTGTCCCTCACTTGGTGATCATTGTGTCAAGAATGGATCTAGGTGTGTCTTTTTTTAAATATTTTCAGTTACTTAGTTTTCTAGTAGTCTACGAGGTAGGGTTACTATTAGATTCCATCCACCAGAAAAGCTTTTCCTAATCGTTGATTTTTTTGTGGCTGTTTGGAAACTGTTTAAGTTTCTTTACAATAAATTCAGACGAAAATACTGCATCTGGGCACTCAAAGACTCAAGTAAAAAGGGTAAGAGCAATGGGACCAATACGGTGGATGGGGGAAAATGTTTTAAAATTCCCTAACGAAAAACATGAAGACAAGAGGCTAGAAATGCGGAGCATTGTAAACCGCTGTCTTTTTTGTAAATAATTTTAGGCTGCCTCTTTTCGAAATATTTTCAGTTACTTTCTAGAAGTCGTTCATTCCTCAATATAGGATGCGCTTTAGAAACTCTCTTTTTCAAGGCATTCCTATCAAAAGTCTCTTGTTTATTGTGAAAAAGAAAACCAAAATGAAACGAGTTTTTTAAGGAGAAAGAAAAAATTGTCTGAAGGAAGTGAGATTGAAGTTACTGCCTGTGGTACACAGCTTAATGACAATATTTGATTCTAAGAAAGCTGCGTTTTTTAAATTTTTCACTTAAAATATTACAAGACATATAAACTCAATTGAAAATGACTGTTTACTGGTCCGTCGTCATAAAGTGCTCGATACCGTATTGGCAGAGTTGTACACGCTATTTGGTGTTTAGAACAGGACGCTTCTAAGTTGACAAAATATTAATTAAGCATGTTTTAGTAAAGTAGGTAAACTGATTTTCAATGGCAGCAATCCTCGGTTTTGGAAAGCTTATTTCCGCGTCAGCCAACAAATCCATCTACCAGTCGAGATTCAATAAGCAATTGAAAGACTTTTTAAAACGCCCAGTGGCACCAGCAATAGGAATTTGCTTTTATAAATACGATATTAATAATAAGGTCATCATAATATTCAACTGTAAGTTACTATAATTACAACTGGTGGCACTAAATAAACGAGAACTACTGGAAGAAATTCTGCAGCACTGTTACAGCAAAGTCGACATCAAAGTTACAACGAGCTTTGTTAGAGACGAGCATCAACTGCTTTGAGTTTGATGGTCATTCAGACCCGTGTTTCTGGAAACCATATCCAGTTGTCAAGGGATTGAAATTGGGAAAGCTACTGGACTTAGGATGGTAAGCAGAGATGAAAAAATGGAGGGCCTAAATGGTACAACAAACGGCATAAATGATAAAGCACCTAGTGGTTTGAAAAATGCAAAACTTGTTCAAGATGTCAGTGTCTTCAAGTCAGTTTCAAAGATGAAAGAAGAAAAGGCAACTCTTGAAGCAAAGCTTCGTGACGTAGAGAGCAGACTGGGAAAGAGCTTGGAACAAAAACAAGACTTCCAGGCATTAAATGAACAGCTTAAGGCCTGGTCGTCACGTATTCAGGCTGCAAATAGAAACAATCAAGGAGTACCCTATGTAAGAGACATCAAAGAGATTTGCAACAAAATACTGAATGAGATGCGCAAAGGAGAATTCAAGAAAATTTCTGAAGAAACTCTTACTTTGGACGTTCAATGTTTTAAGCAAGTGCACGATGGAATCAAAAACTTAGAGAAGCTGTGCAGTAAAGTATTGCAGAATGAAGCAAATTACAAAGCAACATGGGTAGAGGAGATGCGTCAACTAATAGGGCGTTTAATTGGTTCTTCAAATGCTATTTTGGACCTGTATTTTGAAGAGTGACATTAAGTCTACACTGAAGAGCATGTAAAAGACCTGATTTTGATTCTTCTATTCGAATACATCAGCACAAACAAATTTGTTTTAAAGACTTGATCAGCTTTGTTTCTATTCTTTTAATATATTGCTTACAATCACTAGTTTCTATCTTTGGCTAGTTTCTATTTTAGATTTTCAAAAAGCACAGATTTTCTGAATAAATATCATGAAACTTGAATCAATAGTGCTCACTAAACTCTTATTTTTAGGATCTGTCTATCTGACCTTTTTCGCTATTTTAAACTTTATTGTTACAGAACAGCAAATTGAGTGGAAGGCCTTGCTATGTTGATGAAACCATAATCATGTCATGAAATCATGTTGATGACAGCATAAGCTTGGATCAAGATTTCTCCGTAAAATAATTTTAAGTCAATTTTAATAGAGTTTAAAAATATTCAGTCTTAATCATTAAATATGACTGCTTGATAGTGGCCACAAAATGACAACCTTCATCAGTTTGAAACGATCTTTCCACAACAACATCGATAAAATATCTATAAAAGATAAATTATTGCAAAACTGTTGGCCAAGCATTTGAAATGCATGAAAAATATCATTTTTGGTAAGGAATATAGTTCCTCTTGAAAATAACTGCTTTTCTTACTTATAAATTTTTAACAAATAGCTTGTTTAATTTAACTTTCTTGGTTGTGCAGTGGTAGATTGGGGGCCAATCCGGCTTTAAAAAATGTAATACAAATTGCGTTTTTTAATGTCAGTTAAGAATTTCGCTATGAATGAGCATACGTGTCAGTGTGTTTTTGGCTATGTAGGGCGCACAACCCCAAAATTGGGGGATGGAATAAACCAGCATGTTTTATTCCATCCCCTCTTTCCCTTAAAGCACAGCCTTCTCCTATATTGTTGTACAGTCAACAGAGTGGAGTGAAAGTTTACGATTTTCGGTGTATTGAACAGTACGGCTCTAAATTCCAGCAACTTAGAACCGTCCTGTTCTAAGCACCAAATAGCGTGTACAACTCTGCCTATACGGTATCGAGCACTTTATGACGGACCAGTAAACAGTAATTTGAGTTTATGTCTTGTAATATTTTAAATTAAAAATTAAAAAGACGCAGCTTTCTTTGAATCAAATATAGTCATTAAGCTGTGTACCACAGACAGTATCTCTGAAACTTCAATCTCATTTTCTTCAGGCAATTTTTTCTTCCTCCTTAAAAAACTTTTTTTCTTTTACGCTCCCCGTTAAGGCCTTACTGCGATACAAATGAAAAAACCCACTTATGAAGTAAATCGTTATGTAAATTCCTGTTTCTTTCTTTGGGTTCCTTAACGATATAATCGTTGACGTCAATAAACATGGATAATCGATCATCTTCTGTGGTCAGGTAATAAACTGGTGGGAGAAAACCTTTTATTCGGTGAGCAGACATGGAAGCAACTTGTTGCGTTATCTCATTTTGCGAAGGCACACGTTGAGCAGTGCCACTGCCCTGGCGATCAACGAGCTTCAGAATATCTCAGCTTGAGTGTTGCCATATTGGATGGATATAGCAGAAATCAGCTGCTACATTCCTGAAATCTAAATATTCGGGATCTTATTTTTAACCGTGTAATTAGCTAGTAATCTGCATAAATACACTGCTGGCTCCTTAAAGCCTTTGAGTGCGTTTGATGCCGACAAATTAAAGTTTTTCTTAATATCAGCTTTTTCGTAAAAACGCCTCATAACTTGGCTGGATCATTTAAAATCGTGGCCTAAGCTGCTTTTCCATGGGAACCAGAAGCAATGGTATTTGTGTTCAACTCGAAAATAAGTCGACTTTAGAATAAAAAAACTCAAGGGTGCATGTGTGGAAAGCAGTTGTCGTTGATTTTCACAAAATCACGCCAAAAAGTTTCTTATATAGTACATTTTAAAAGAATATAAACACCCCTCTATAAGCACGGTGAGTTTTTAAGGACCGGCCGGTAAAAACGGTAAGAAACGTAGTCAGTGGATTTGTAAAATGTGATCCGAGAAATGGAACTCTAGAAGACCTGCTAAAGAGAATTTATGTACATGTTCAGGTAGGGTAACAAAACTTTCAACTGAGAAGGAGCAAAAAGTTTCTTTGCCCTTTATAGGGGACTAGATTACATGAAAAAGTGCCTGGGTCATTCAATTTTTCGAACTGGAATTTTAACAGGGGACGGTTTTGCCGGGTTGTTTTTACACAGGAGTGTAAAACATTTAGCTTTTTCAAATATACTTTTAGATCCTTTGCTTTTTTTATCCAACCAAGCAAATGATGCCCTGTTAAATGAGGGTTTCAGGTTTGTCATGTTCAGGCCTAGGGAATTAAACCAAATCTAGCCTCAAAAATGCATATTATCTCCATATTTGCCGAAGAATTAGTTATTTTGTCCGCATAGTTGTTTGTCGAGGACCTGGTACTAAGAGTAACAGCTTTTAGACTTATTTCTCGTTACAGTCACCAAATGTTATTTAATTCTAGAGATATGTTCTGGTTCATTTGCTTTTGGGAAAATGTCGAAGTTACTGCTAGCTGAGCACAAACGCTTTTTCCCAGCAGTCTCTTATCACTCAAAATATTTGTTCGTTACCCTCTTGATATTATTTGGAAGTTGTGAAAAGGGCCCTGTACTTCTATTAGAATTAAGCCATAACATCCCCAACCCACTTTCAATTAATACCTTTTATCAAATCGCAAAAACTTAGTAAATGGCTTCACACCTTTTTTACGGCGTTGATATGTTTTGTGGATATCGATCCGATTGATTGACGTCTTCTAATTCTAATTACGGTAAGTCTTGTAAGATAACCTAGTTCTAATTACGGCCGACCGTTTGCGCATGCTTATACCTAGCAACTGACAAACGTAAAAAGGACCTAAAAAGTAAAAAAATGATGTAATCGGAGACTTTCTCAGCTAAATATATTTAACTCTACTTTCTTGCGACCATAGTTTTGCAAGATGGCGTTTTGCATACGGCGTGAATCTTAGAACACTGACAAAGCATCATATGCATTCAAAGAAGCAGAATTTTTCTTGCAATTTAATCTGTAATGCAATTTAACAAAAACAATGCAATTTTACTTTAGTCAGTCTGACTGGTGCGGGTTGGTTATCACGTGCACTCGTTGCAACTTTTTCTGCAGTTCAGTTGCATCCAGTTGGACACGTTACACCGGCCTAGGGAAGCCAAGTATGGACACCATTTATCGTTATCTTTACACACATCTGCAAGAAAACATCGCAATGGATAGAAATTCGGCTTTGGTGCTGTCATACTTAAGTTAAGACAACTTTTGGGAATCTTCCCTGGATATAATCTTCGAAGACAAAACGTTTTTGCGGAATCTGGTCGAAGGTCAGTCTTCTTTAAACATTTTGCTTATAAACTCTTTTTTATAAAATTAAACTTACGCCAAGGCGCGATTTGTCAAAAATTTAACAACATAAAAACATAGCACGTTTTGTCAGCAAATCAACCATACTTTTAAAAACATAACACGCAAAACGCTATTTAGTGGTCGTAAGAGCAATTATAGTGTGAAGTTATAGAAAATTCAATGTTGAAATAAGAACACCTGCGTTTCAAATTCAGAGAAATGAGAGCATCGGGCCTAGGTAAAAATTATCTTGTTCTTAAAAAAAGCGTTATCGTAATTGATCCTCACTAATTGAACCTAAATTATCGCAAACAAAATCGTTCTGGGGGAATCTTTACCCCCCTAGTCGCCAATCACGGTCAAATCCCTTATAAACTTTTTATCTTTGTGTCGTCATAAAATCGATATCGTGAGCAATATCATAATGAAAACTTACAATTAGACTAAAATCATTGCTCTCAATCTGAATCTGAGGTCAAAAATTTTATACAAAAAAATGGACAACATTGTCGGGCAACATTCACAAATTCATAATGTTGCTCAAATGTTGTCCAGTTTGGCCACCATTTTGGCCGACAAATTCATTAAGAAATTTGTTGCTCAAATGTTTAAACATGCTTTTGAATTATCCAAACTTTTGAAACCACTTATCAATTCAAATTTGACGCGCTGTTTTGACAACATCAGCAAAAGATGCTGCATGACAATGTTGCCCAGTTTGGCCACCATTTTTCGACGACAAAAAAATCAACAAAATTTCGGGATTATTGTTTTGGGTGGGTAGGGGCCTAAGCATCAGGCTTGCCCCTAGTTCCAGTGTGACTCATGACAGCCCTTGTGTTAAGAGATATTTAATTAACGAGAGGCTAGCTACAGCTAGCGAAAGATGAATTGTCAAAATAAAGTAAATCAGCAAAAAATCTTACTGTCTGTTATCTTGAATTGCTGCGGCATGTCAAGTTTTTGATCCATTCCCTCCACCTCCTCATTCAGGTGATCAGCAAAATGGAAGCGAGGCTTTCCTGTTAGAAATGAAATGCGCATTTCTTAGCTTAAAGTGAAAACGCTAAATTTAGTTTGTGCTTTTAACAACTGTAAGGCACGTTTTGATAATCTTTAAAAGCCTTTTGAAGACGGATATAAATTGATAGTAGATACGTACCCCTTGGCAACTTATCATTGACTTACATCATTTGCTAATTAAGGATTTGCGATGTCGGATTTCGGATCATTAGAGAAAAAGGTGACTGCCTTTTGAGCCTCCTCGTTAAACTAGTGTTTGTAAGCAGCATGCATTGTGTAAAAAAGGCACCGCGGAGCGGGGGGGATGGGGAGAGGGGGAGGGGGGGCTTTAGCCCTTCCCCACTTTTTGTAAAAAATGCCAAATTTTAAGTATCAAACTACAAGAAGAGCCTCTTTTTATACGGTTTTAGCTCCCCCCCCACTTTTTTAGACCCCCACTTTTCTCAACGCTCCGCGGTGCCTGAGAAAACAGAGAGCAGTTTTAGTTCCAGAAGTGCCCCCCTCCCACCTTTTGAAGCTGATTTAAGTTTTTGTCGTTTTAAGGATTACAAACAATGGATAGTTTGAGATTCGTCAAAATAATCACGAATTTAGGCTGAATCTAAAACTAATAAAATATTTACCATGAACGATGGAAGCAACAAGAGCAATGATGATAAACACTGAATATTTCATCTCATGTAGGTATCTTTTAATCCTGAAAGGAAACCGCAGATTTTCAATACCAAAGATCATAAAAGAAGAGACAGGGTAAAAAAATATGTGAAAGAGTTGGAGGTGACACAACTTTTAGCATCTTTATTAGATTCATTTTGCAATTGGAGGCAGATGCATCAATCAAAAGCAGCTTTTATTATAAGTAAAAGCTTGTTAGATTAGTCAAAAAGTAGTTTTTTCGAAGTTGTTGTCACAACAAGGCCCTTTTAAACATTGTAAAGGCTAAATGCCACTTTTAGGAAGGCTACTAATGGAGGTAGCTGTTGAATAAGATAAGTCTAAACAACATCTATCTAAAATATTTCAAGAAAATAATTTTGGCTCTGTTCTCAAAATCTTTTCAGCAAATCTTAATTACAATATACCGACATAAACTACAATTACTAGAAATTTCAAAATTAGAAAATCAAGTAGGCACAAAAAACTAATTGGTTTTGATTACGCTGAAGGACACATGGAGAAACTCACAGCGAGCTATCGAGTCATGTCTCATGTGCTCTGATTGACGCACTAAATATAAGATTTTGTATAGATTTCACTTTGAATTAAAGTGATTTTTTTCCCGAAAAACATATGCAGGAAGCTATCTTTCGGCTGTCAAAACCATTCACCAATGTGGAACTTGCGCCGACACTTAATGACTGTTTAAAGCGGACATGCTTGATGGAAAAGATCGAATGGACCGGCAGTAATAATTTCAACTTTCCAATTTCATGGGAAATATATCTAAGAGCAATAACAACATGATGTTATTTTGCAGAGAATAATAAAAATACTACAACCATAGTTCAAATCTTCAGGTTAGAAAGCAACCTGCTCTTACTTGAATTCACTTTGATGGTATTGATGAGCAATTGCTATCTAGAGCAATGAGAAATCTCGTCGAACAATTACATACTCCTGGTTCAACCTTACGGATGATTATCCTTTCATTCGAAAGATGATTTTTTTATAAGGCTACCAATCAAATGAGGCTATAAGGGCAGATAAAAACAATGTAGCATAATATTTATTTTTGGCCATGCAACACTATCAAAAATGAATGTTAAAATGGGCCTGAAACCATTTATTTTGCTTTATAATCATTGTAAAAACCTGCTATTGTGAAAGTACAATTTAAGAATCGGTGGATCGCTTGCTTCTCAAATCTCACTGATATGAAAGCAGCTGCTACCATCCATTTTAGTTCTGAAACCTGCTTTCTCGTTGCTGAAAGTTGCTGAAAAATCTCGTAACTGGTCAGCTCGAAAACATTATCTATCTTTCCTTTTGCAGACAATACCCACACTGAAACCTCACACTTATCGCAGTCTTCTGACCTTCCAAATACAAATATTATCAAGTCCTTTGATTCCTTGCTTGTAAACTAAGATTCAGATGCTTTCTTTATCCCTAAATTGACGACAAAACTATTCTTAAATATAGAAAACAAGTCGCAAGGTGGATTTTATAATCCTTTATGTTTAATAATAGTTTATTTGCTGTTTTGGCGGAGGTAGGCAGATACTTAAAATTACTGTTTTATGCCTGCTTTTAAACTCAAAAATATTTACTTTCGCCGATTTTATGATTTGAAAACAACATTTAAATTCACTTCATGATCTGAAAACAACGCGACATTTTACTATGATGAGCTCTGATATTTAATCTGTTTTATATTATACGCTTTTATTTCAAGCACTGCTAAACTTTAAAAGCGAAATTGCATTGTATGAAATACCTGAAAGTGCCAGTAGAATACTTGTATGATGCCTGATGCCTAAACCAAACTGCACGAACTTAACATGACAAATAGTTTTACTATGCATTTAGCAAATCAAACGCTGCTGAGGAAATGTTTCTTTAGCTGGACAAACAGCAAATCAGGTTTCATTTAATAACTTCAAAACTTTTTATGTTGTCCAATTATCAATAGTCTCCTATGTTCAATCTAATCTCAAACTGATTTCTCAAACTGATTTCCCAAACTGACATCAAGTACAACGAGTACTTGATGGCACCCGAAGGCAAACAAAATGGCAACAAATAGCAAAGAGGTTGTGTAGTTTTATTATCCCAAAAATATTTATCACCTGGTTTAGGATTTTTACCAATAAACATAAATTTTTTGAATCAACAATAAGGGCAAAGTATGACTGAGCTGAGATGTACCTGGAGGTCGGATATATCTACATACGCTATGCTAAAAATTCAAAGTAAATAGGCTACGCCAAGTATTCTGCAGTTTATCATAAGAGGCGGATTTCTAATGAATGCCTCAAACTGGTTCCTTCTAGCATTTCGGGCCTAAGCCACCGTTTTAACTTAGTATTCTATCAAAGCAGTGGGTATATTGCTTTTCAAGGATTCTTGCAGAGCAATGCCTCGACCTTTTTGAATGTGATAAGACTAGCCCCTATCCCTGAAGTCTTTTAAGTACACTGACCCCCAGGGGACAAACAACGCATGATTTTACAATTATAGCCTCGTAATCATTGGTAAATATTTGATATTACCTTTAATCGCTAATTCAGTCAATTGCTACTCCCTATTCGAGTCTTTGTCATGCCTTCGTGGGATGTCCTAAAGTACCGAGAAACTGTCACCCATACAGTTGGCAACGGAGCCATTTGGCACCGTCTTCGGCAAAAGAACATGAACTCGTTTCTTCTCGCCAATTTAGACTTTTTCGTTAAGTACCGCCTCACAAAATTGGAATCTTCGTCATTTAAAGTATACTCTGCCTTTTAATATTCGTGTAACCACCTTTTGTGGCAATGGTCATTTCAAGGACACGTGTTTAGAACTCATAACGAAGACCAACAAAGAAAAAGTTCACCAACGAAGATAAAGGCAAAGATAATTATGTTCCTATTTTACCTAACACCTAAGCAATTCTACCAGTCAACTAACGATTTTGCTCCAGGGGGTCACTTGAACTTTTTATACACAGAGGGGTCCATCCGATGATTGTGGGTAAGAATTTTTCTTGCGATCTAATAATACCTTTGGTTACCTGACTTTTTAGCTGATAACCTTGAGTCAGCTAAATTTGTTTCTGTGACCGTCTATTTCATTTAAACACATTACGCTTACAGCGTCATCATTTACCAATGGCAAGTGCTTTAATTATCTATCAAAAATCCATCAGCTTTATTTTGCTCCGCCTTATATTTGATATCACAATTTTCTATGAATATTACTGATTTTGATCTTAAATACTTTTATGGATGTTACATTAGCACTTTAATTAGTTTTTCTTCTTTCTCTGCCTATTGTAATATAAATTGTGAATTACTTAGAAATAACTAGAAACAGACCATCTGCAAAACTGTTTATAAGAATATCATGATCCTAGGACAAATTGCAAAATTGAAACAGCGTACATTTTCAATAAAAAGGAAATTGGAGTTTAGTTACAATTTTCGTCAATACATAGATCTTTTCTAGAAATATTAGATATTCCCTTTTCTTCCAAACCATTGGCTTTGAACTGTTGGAGATAAACAATAGAGTTTTTAATAAAATAAATTTTATAGCAGACTTTCCTTTGAAGGCCTGTTGTCATGGTAGTAATGGTTGGGGTTCCCTTCTTCTAGGACTGTCCCCACCAGCAGAGTAGCCCAAATCCCGGGTCAATCCTTAATATTCCCTTGACCCATTCATGTACCTAAGCGTAAGGTTTACCCTAGTGCAATGATCAGCAATGCTTTATGTAAATTTTCTGGAGGGGATCACCCCACAAGCATGGTTCATACATTAAAGTTTTTAAGCATAGGTTCCAAATCTTTGATTTGCTTAGCGACGTTTTGACCACTACCCAAAAAAAATAAACGTTCGAAATTGGCCTAAATCTAGCTATGAGACACGTTTGTTGTCATATTCTTGAATTCTGATTGGATAATGGAGTATGGAGAATTTAGGTCGCTCAGCCAATCAAAGATTTGGAACCTATACTGTTCTGATTCTGCACTTTCTAATAAATTTCCATGCCTGCCGTATCAAAGTTCGATTTATGCCTCAAATAACCAGATAAAAATTATGACATCCTTAATTTAATGCACTTTTTATTTAGAGAGCCATATTCAAGCTGTTCTGAAATTTCCTTAAATGAAAATGCCTGAAATGGGATATTTGTGGTTTATTCAAAGATATGATTTTAGTTCAACTTAAATTATTGATAAAACGTTGTGTTTGGGATTTCAGATAACCGAGGAATCATTCAACAAGCGATTTTTGCTAAAATAGAAATATTTGACAATACAGGCAAACCACCTGGCGTTATTTTTCTCACTTTAGTCTCTTTGCCGTGGTTGTCATTGAAGCAAATGAAACACTCAAATTGCATCGTTGTGACAGTACTTAAATGATAACACTCATTTTTTCTATAAGAAACAGGTTATAAGAAACGGTAGGCTCAATTTTTCGAAAGTTAAGAAACAACCCTACACAAATTGAAAAATAAGCTAAAAAACTTTTTTAATTTGCAGTTTGATTTTCCAAGTTGACACTCGAAACAGTCTTGACATTGAACATCACTGTATATTGCAACACTACACTTGACATGCAGTTTGCATTCATTCTCAGTAAATACACACTCTAGAAGTATCCATTTAAAAATTTGTTTTGACTTCAACTTGACATTGATGAAGTTCAATGAGCTTAACTGTTTACAGATCTCAGCAAAGTAAATTTTTCTAGGAAAACAAAATTCCTTGATCACTTTGCTAGTTTATCTCTAAATGGGAGTTTTTAGTTTGAAGGATGAACTGACAATCCAAGATTGACGAAAAAACACGGGCAATAATACAACGTGGCCAAACTGATTCATAGCCTAATCAAAGGAAAATTAGCTGCGGCGACAAGTCTTTGTTTTTACAAAGAGAAAGAAAAATGCCTACTGTTTAAAAAAAATACTGGGGCAATTGTCCCCTAGCTAGCAGGTTAAAAAAGCCCTGAACTGATTCCAGTGTTATCTTGAGCAATGTGAAAATACACAAATTTGCGGGCAGAAATGGAGTACATAACATGGTTGAATTTGCGTTTATCGCTAATCAAGTACCTTCGACGTTTACAGCATTGGAGCCAAATTTGTGAGGTACAGCATTCGGTGGATGAATTAAAAAAGGCCATTTTATGTGACATTGGGGACTTAAGCCCCAACAGACTTCCCCTAGCTGGGACGAGACGCTCCTCCGCTTCTCGGGTTTTATGTGGCAGAATCAACATAGGGAAGGTCTGGTATTATCCGCGGAAATAAGAAAATATTTCTTAAACAATTAAAAGCAATATGTATGAGAGAGCAAGGGGGTTGGTTGGGCCCATACTTTTTACATTTCCTTTGCATGTTCCTAATATTTTGCAGTTTTGCTTGATTCCTGCTTTATCCGAGGGGCAATTCACTTATGCAAATATCGTACGAGATTTTGTCTAAAACATAAGGATTTTTGGGGATTTTCAATTAAAACAATAGGATTTTCACAAAAGGTGTTCGAGATTTTCTTAGAGTAATTTGCCCCTCGGCTTTATCCCTGCAGTCGGATGCAAAGTGAACCTTGCAGCTAAAGTAAAAATTTCGGGTCGACAGCCTTTCATTGCATTATGCAAAAGAACTGGAAGGTTTCCTTATCCTCAAGACTGTTCCATTTTCCTTGCCTAGCCTTTGCCTGGTATTTATTCGTTCGAAGTGCCTCCATGTATTCCCTCTGGAATAATAAGCAATACCCTAAAGCGCAATATCTGCAACATATTCTGATTTTGGAAACACCCATGCGAAAGACATCAAAACCGTTCGACATCGACTCTTCTTTATAAGAATCAGAAAGTTTCTGCCGAGGCTCGGGTTTTCTAAATGTTGCTCTTATTTCTACATTGTTTGTTGTACAACAACAGAACATATTTTTTTCTATTACAACTAAACAATGGTTAAAATGACATTTTTAGTACCAAAGTTAATTAGCAGATAAAATATGCTTTGTTTAGAAATTTCCAATTTTTTCTATTTTTTTTGCGAGTCACCCCTCGGTGTTCTTATAAGTTGTGTTCTCATAAAGAGTAGAGTGTGTCTGAACAAAGTAGGGTAAGAAATAGGCATAACATCAACCTTTATCAAGAACGGCCGCTTAAAGAGGAAAAAGCAATTTGATGGCTACCATTCATTTCCTTGCAGTGGCGTCGCTTGATCTTCAAGACTAGGGGGTAGTGGGTCATCAAAAGTAAGATTACAGACCAAGACATAGAAATAAATGAAGAAAAATTTAGTCGTTACTTTACCTTCTGATAGCTGGTTTTACCAACAAGTTACCGACTGGCTGGATCAACTGTAAATTTACCAACCAAATGCTGTCATGTTATTAAAATTTAAGCCTTGATGGTAAAATGCGTCTTTATCAAAAGAAAACTTACTGTTTAGCGATGTCCGGCACATGCGTCGGGCCAAATCTGTCTCACGCCAGATAAACAAGGCTAGGCCAAGGGATTCGCAAAGATAAGTAACTAAATCTCCTCTATGCATTTATCAAAACATTGCCAAGTTTTCTGCAGATTAGCTGCAGTTTGCTCGCCATTAGGGCTGCTATGCTATCACACACTAGATGAATAGCCAATCTGGCAATAACTGTCAGTTGCATTGGGTCCATTGATGAGTGCTGTACCAGGCGCAGCACCAACAACAAAACTAACGTACTTCTTCGTTGTGTCTCCAAAATTCTATTATGGTTTTATTTTATCTCCGACTCGTTGTTAGTTCTGACGACTTTAAAACTCTACTGGGCTGCATCCCTAAATTTCAAAATTCAACGCTGTACATACTATCTGTCTCCCTCGTCTTAACTCGTGGCAGCACAAAATAATAATTAGCTTCTTCACAGTGGCCTAATTGTCAAAATCGTTTAGTTACTTTTCATTTAAAATTCGCAGTGAGAAATTTAAGGCAATTCATTCTTTTCTACAACAGACCAAACCTGTTAAGAATCACAAAATTGTAACCGAAGTGAAACGGGCAATCATTTAACTGTAGTGGGTGACGTGTGAAGAACCACCCAAGTGAGACAAAGTGAAACGGGCAAATTATTCAATTGTTTTGGGTGAAGTGTGGCACTTGGGAAACGATTTTCGCTGACTTCTGAGGTATACTAATTGTCAAAAGACGAAAATTCTAACATTTATTGTGTAACGTTTGCTGTTGAAACCAATTGCAAAGGTTCAATGTAAAAGGGTGAGCAATTATTTATGTTTTCAGAAAGCTAAACGCAGAATAAAAGACTGAAATACGATTCTTTGAAGAGGATTGTTTGGCATACATGAAATTATTTCAAAATGATTTGTAAATAATTTCAGAGTGAAAAACGGTAAGAAGAGAGAAGTCAACAAGGGTTTAGAATTGAGCTTAAAACTACAGACTATTTGATGGGAGAAAAACGAAGTAAATGGATTATACATTTTTTATTTGTTAAGATCCTTGATTATACACGATCAAGACAACTTGATTTTTAAATCTTAACATTTGACGAGTCTTTTAACATCTTTGGCAACTCTTCTTGCAATTTGTAAGCATGTAGTTTGGATTTTTCTGGCATTCTCCAATTGATGCCCAGTAGCTGCAATAGCTATGATTGTCCACACAGTTACCTACAAAAATGTCGCTAGTTTTTACTCAAAACGCTAGGCATAAATTCAAATTGCAACAAAATTTTGGGCTTTCAACTCCCTTTTAGAATTGTTCAACGGGTGTCAGCTACCTTTTACTCTATACAAAATAAAGTTTACCCTATACCCTATATAGAAGGTTTACCCTATACAAACAAAATAATTACAACTACCCCCTCCCTCTCTTATGTACAAGGGCAAAGAGGCTTATTATCGCCCCGATTTTAAAGTAGAAGGTTACCCTATACCAACAAAAGTATTACAACTAACCCCCCCTCTTATGTACGAAGGCAAAGGTGCTTATTATCGCCCCGATTATCAAATAGAAGGTTACCCTATACCAACCAAATAATTACAACTACCCCCCCCCCTCTTATGTACAAGGGCAAAGGGGCTTATTATCGCCCCGATTATCATACAGAAGGCTACCCTATACCAACAAAGGTATTGCAACTACCCCCCCCCCCTTCTTATGTACAAGGACAAAGGGGCTTATTATCGCCCTATTTATCAAATAGAAGGTCACCCTATACAAACAAAATAATTACAACTACCCCCCTCCCTCTCTTATGTACAAGGGCAAAGAGGCTTATTATCGCCCCGATTATCAAATAGAAGGTTACCCTATACCAACAAAATAATTACCACTACCCCCCCCCTCTCTTATGTACAAGGACAAAGGGGCTTATTATCGCCCCGATTATCAAATAGAAGGTTACCCTATACCAACAAAAGTATTACAACTACCCCCCCCCCCCACTCTTAAGTACAAGGACAAAGGGGCTTATTATCGCCCCGATTATCATATAGAAGGTTACCCTATACCAACAAAAGTATTACAACTACCCCCCTTCTTATGTACAAGGGCAAAGGGGCTTATTATCGCCCCGAATTTCAATAGAAGGTTACCCTATACCAACAAAAGTATTACAACTACCCCCCCCTCTTATGTACAAGGACAAAGGGGCTTATTATCGCCCCGATTATCATAAAGAAGGTTACCTTATACCAACAAAAGTATTACAACTCACCCCCCAATTGACAGCTATAGAGTTTATTTATCTGCCTGATGTCCGTAGCACTGAACCCAGCTCTCTGGCCCAACTTCTTGTTTGGGTCTGACCTAGCAACGATAGTAGAGTACCCATTGGAGCTGAAAGCATTGTTTTCGTAGTGCATCAATGAATCATAATCGTAGCCTTCACCGTAATAATCAGCTTCCCCGTGGCTGTATTTTCGGAAGTTGTATGACATATCAGGGTCTACAAATCAACAGAAAGAGTATGTGAGCATTCTGCTCGAAATCTTTGCAATTTCAATTTGCAGAGTCTTTTTCAATTTCAAGGTAGCCTGCATTACAACAGGGCAAGGGGGCAAGGGGGCAAGGGGACAAGGGGACAAGGGGACAATATCAAAATGAAAAAAACAACTAAATTCTGGGAAGTCAAGGAAGTAGGTGCCCTCACTGCATTTCTGGTGCATGCTTGATTGATCTACAATTTTCTAGCTTCCATTTCTGTTGTAGTCATAGAAAGATGATGCTCTACTTTGATACCTCTAGCAACCAGCACCCGAGCTTTAAGACCCCATTTACACGAAAGTAGATCCTTGCATTCTGCTATTCGAACACTTTTAGGATCGCCTTCAGAGGTAATCCTGTATGGATCCCGTGTAAAAGCAAATGACTTTGAGTCCGGTCCCGTGTGAATGCCGGGTATCGGATTCACAAATATCCGGATACTTCTGGATCCGTTCTGGTCCAGGTCTCGTGTAAACAGGGTCTAAATGTTGGGTTTTTCGCGTAAAAGAGAGGGTGAGTTTCTACATCCTAGTATACGTGGCTGAAGAGAATTTGTATGATAAGAGACTAAAGGGAGAAAGTAGGATAAGAAAATTTATAGACTTTAAACAATGATAAAGAAAAGCAAGCAGAATAAAAGATAGCATAAAAATGATAAGCAATAGAATAAGAAGTTTTAATATGCAATAAAAATTATTATGCATACAATGAAAAGGATAGTTAATGTAAAATAACGATGAAGAAGAACAGAAAAACAAAGAACAAGAAGTAATGTGAAGTAAGAGAAAACGAAAAAAGGAGAAAAAGGAAGGTAATGAAGAGAAAAATAAAAAAGTGATGGAAACAACAAAGCAATAAAAGAAGAAACGGAATTCTGTTGCGATAAAGAAATAAGGACAATGATGGAAAGAATGTGGAGAAATTATAACATGATTCAGTACTTATGCAAGAGGTGAATGCTATGAAGAGAAAAAGAACACTTACTTTTCTGTATGTTCTGCCAGTAGATTGTGACATAGTTGTCCCTGTCGAGTCTCGATTGTTCATGCCAGAATCCAATGGCGTGCATCATTTCGTGCATTACGATACCTTTGTAATAGCAGTAGTTGCCAATTGAAATGTCCTGATATCCGCCAGTCATTCCAATCATTGAGGAGCACCTACAGATAAAGTCTAGACTGTTTGCTGACTGGGGTTTTAGAGGGACAAGTTGGCAAGGAATTATAAGAATCTGTTGATCCCCAGGCTCAAAAGTGAACACGCCGAAAGTATTTGCTACTCCGCTTTAAAAGCTTGGAACGATATTCTATTCCACACACTCGGGAACCTCAAAAAGGAACTAAAAGCGAACAAAACTCGCTAAAACACGTACCTCTGGAAGAACATGTTTTATTATAATTTTTGTTTTGATTAACTTTAAAAGAGCTTATTGAGCAGCTCATTCTAGCTGAATGAGATATTCGTGTATAAATAATAATGGTGAGCGAATAAATGAACCCTAGGGGCTAGTGGTGTTTCCTATTCCAAAAAACTGGGGTGGAGAACAAATATTTTTTTGACCACGCCCTTCAGACTCTTTGAAAAAATGGAAAACGCCCTTTCGATATGTTTCAGAGTTGTTGGAAATCAACTTTCTCAAGCAGCATTTTTCGCAAGAGGGACTTTATTGCAAGAAGGACAGGGCCTAAAATAAGAATTATTTATAGATCCACATTTCCTTTTAAATTGTTGGTGTGGTACTATTTTTGCATTAACATTTATGTGCGTGGCAATACAATGAATATCCAGCAGCTGCCACCTTGATGCCAATAACATATCCTAATTGGGCAAAATCCTAAATATGAAGTATCAGAAGCAAAAGTGATTTTTAGCAATATGTGTAGTGAAATCTTTATTTGTCAGCAAAAAAGTTATCGAAAGGAAATTCTTTGAAATAGTTTTGCCACATTTCTGTCAAAGTTGTCTTTCTCCTTTTATGCATCTTCGGAAGCTTCCCCGAAACCAATCTTGCTCCCCGAGCTGCAGGGCCATATCTTTGCAGCGGAATGGAAATCGAAACTTGTGAGATTAGGAATATTTATTGCATTGTCATATATTTGCTTATTTTTTTCTAGATCTATACTTCCTTTTTCCATTTTTTTTTCTTTAGAATCAAAGCTTCGAATATATGCAAAAATAATATCTTCTGGCACTGACATACAAATTGAGATTGTCTGTCTTCTCGTTTTTGTCTGTCTGTTTGTCTTCTCGGGGGCCAAACAATTAGCTTAAGTTAAACTTCAAAAACTCAAACAGGGTTGTTAAAATCACTTGTCAAAACCTGTTGGGAAAGTATTTTGCCGCTACAGACAGTTGGGCTTCGCATTTTTTTCGATTTTTTTTCAAATGCCACTAACACTTTTCTCTTTTTGTCGCTTCGGTTCTTATGCCCACCTGGAAATCACAGTGATGAATTTTCACGCAATTCTTCAGTTCTTGGTTTCTCAAAATTCAGCTGTTACTTATTTTTTTTCTTTCAGTACTGAAGTTTATTGTTTCTTTCTGACTTTGCTTATTTCTTAAAGCATTTTTCTTGAAAATTGTGTAATACGTTGGGGAGGAGATTCCATTTTCGTTTTGCATCGAGAATCATTTTTCTAATGCCTTATTATATAAATTTTGTGCAGTACTTTTGATAAGGTGCCCTTTTTAACAAATCCACAATTTCTACGATTACAGGTCCACAGATTTGATTTACAACTCCACAAAGTGAGTCAGATCCACACTTATTTTAGGCTTCGAAAAAGGAAATTCGATATCAAACTGATCAACCCATCCCACCCCCTTAAGTTTTTTCAACGGATTTGCACCAATGAACGTAATTCCAACAGTATGTTCCGCTGTCTCTAATTCAAATTTTAAGGACTTACCCTTGTCCAACCATAAATCTGACATAGTTTCTTTCATTGGTTCGTGGCACAAATTTGACACAAGTGTGCTTGTTGAACTCATCAATAGCTTGCTGGACAACCTGTCTCCTGTAGTTGTCTGCAATACAACAAGTACATGCTTACCAATTTGAGATACTTGTTCATATTTTGAAATACCCATTTTACATTTGCGGTACACATCCAGTTTTAAAATTACTAAACGTTTATCCACTAATCAACTATTGGCGTTGTTTAGGAAATTATACTACTTTTGAATTGCCTTTGCAGATTCCTCTTATTTTGAGATACTAATAAATAAAGCTTAGTGTTTTGAGAATCTTGCATTTTTCGAAATACCCATTTTTTTAAATGCGTATTTCGTAGACTGAATTATTTTCAGTCTATAACATTGTGCCTTTCGATGACGGTCACTTCGGGAAATGATGACGGGTTAGATAATATCACGTGAAAAGAGTGAATAAATCACGTGGAATGACTTGATGCATCACATGGAATTACTCGATACATCACGTGGAATGATTTGATGCATCACGTGGAATTACTTGATGCATAATTATAATCATGTTATTAAAGGTACATAACTTAGAAAAGGCTAGCAGCACTCGAGTTCAGCAAAAACGTAGTAGACTTAGGACACCAAACCAAACCAAAATGAGGATTCTCCTTTTCGAGAACTACTTTGATAAACGATTTTCTTTAAACTAACAAACAAAGAAATTCTTTTTAGGTTCTAGATATGCGAGAAAGATTCTGAAATTTTATTCTGCCGAAACTTCGAAGACAACTTACCAAAATATCGATCAAAAACAAAGGGCACAACACCACCGGGCCATTTTCTGGCAGCTGAAGCAACTGCGTCAAATGTGTTCGCCTCTCCTTCAACAACTTGTTTTGTCTTGTCAGTGAGGACAATGTCCCCTTCAAAGAGTGCCTTTCCTGCAGAAAGGAAAGAGATTTGAGAAAATTAAAAAAGTTGATTCTTTCCTCGTTGACAAATCCAAACCGAGGAATTCAGTGGTGCTTAAAAAATGCAACTAAGCAATATATTTATTCTTTCAAAGACTTGAAGCTAAAACTATGTTAATTGAATTTATGCTTATCACTTTACCTTGAATTAAGGAGAGGCAACTTAATGCCAATGTAATGTAGGAAATCATCGCCATCTTGCAGTTATACTTCACAGCAACGGGAATTTTCCTAAAACATATAAGCATGATTTACACCAAAAATCAAGTCACCGAATAAAAAGCAATTAATATTGTGCCTTTATTTTCAACAATTAATTTCTCGTGTTGCTGGTAGCATATGATTTTATGTGAACCAGGTTTTAGTTCAAACAGTACTGAAGTCGCTTACGTCATGCAGCTATGCAGATTCATCAAAAGTACATACTGTTTTTCATTCGAGGAGTAAAAATGAAATCACTCACCTTCTATGATGATTTTCGACTATGATCCTTAAGTGCTGCCTCTCACTTAAATAGCTGGATGCTTTGATAAACAAAATGAAATTAAAAATTCGCCTAAACATACAAAACTTGAAATACCATTCCTTTTTGAAGAAGGATTTGTTGGTATCTTAATTAAAGATCCCAATTTACATTAAATCTACTAATCTGTTGGTAAATAAACCAACTTAATGTGGTGCATTATGTTTTGAAACAAACTCAACTGATAAAACGGTTTCAAGCACCATTTATTTAGGGTTGAAATCTGCTTGAAAACAAGAGTGAATTTATGGGCTTTTAACCTGCTGAGTAAACGACTCAACGTTATTATGTCAACAACTTTTATTTTTACTTAAGTATCTTTCAATTTTTAATTCCGTAATTAAAGCTAACTAAATAAGAGCTATATCAAATAATTAGGGTGATTGTTTCAAGCAGTCGGTGATGACATACAGCTTCATTAAGTGAAAGGTGCTTCATGCAGAATTAGAGAAGTATGAAAAGCTCTTAACCGACCATTTTTTGTGACGATATCAGCTGTGAATGTTCTTTACAAATGAAAATTATCATATCACCGGTTTGTCATAAAGTGTTCGATGCCATGTACACAGGGCTGTAAACACGGTGATGAATAGAACAAGAAAATTCTTCACATAATCGTCTTTACTGAATTTCTAGCTTGCACTCGTTTCATTATGAACTTAAACAGCTTCGGATTATTTTAATAGTTTGCTCATCCTATTTAAAAGGCATCATCAACTTTTTGCCAATGTAAACTTGACAAGATTTTATTACGTCATTGGTCCCAGCTCCCTACAAAGCTGCACGAGATATGTGCCGTGTGTTGGATGATTCTATTTAACAGAACATTCGATTCTTGAAGAAAAGCGGATATTTAGAATCGTGGCGATAGACTTACGTAGTCCTAGCCCTACCCTCAGCCCCAGTCCAAATCCTAACCTCAGCCCCACATAACTCTAACCTTGACTATTAAATGCATGTTTTGACGAACTGAGTCAGATTTTGTATTATATGTGAATTTATATTTAGATATTATACAGCAAAGTTCTTTGCTTCAAGACTCTTTCAATATCCACCTGTAAAGTAGTTGTTCGTTGATTTTGAATTTTATCGTACAGAAATATCGATCAACATCAACATACAATTACTGTTACCTCGGCTTGCTTTCTCGGGAACTCTTAAACTAAAGAATATATTTTGCAGTTATCAAAAGTTTGAATTGTTTGCCCTAATCTCTTGCCTAATTATTGATAATAACAATGAAAGAAGATTTAAGCTCAAAATTAGAAGATTCGAATTATCAGGACATTCAGGCAGTCGAACTATCACTTCTTGCAGTTTGGCAAAAATTCCTAGTTCCTTTTAAAGCTAAGCACCTGGGAAGCAACTAGAAATGGCTGCGTCAATTTTAGGTACTAATTATCCCGTTGCCGCGACTTGATTTTATTATTTACGTTTTAGCCTGGTTGCTGCATTCAGAATTCTTCAACATCAATTGCGGTTTTGTTTTATTTTGAATCGATCATGAAATGGTATTAATGTTTGGAACGAACTGATCCTGAGCTGATTATTATTCTGTAAGTCAGCAAGAAATGATCTGAAAAGCTGCATAGTGTGGGAAAGCAGAAAGGTTGGTGAATTATGTTTTCTTATTTGCGTCCAATGGAAGTTGGACGAATAAAACTTTGCACTTAAAATCTCTGCATGAATGAATCACAACTGACAGCCAGAATTATGCCCGACATGCTGTGATCACCTGTCTTACTGTCGACAATAACACGTATTTTGCTTCAATGTCGCAGCTTTTCTCTGCCATGACAATATTAAGCCTTGGCATGATGAACATGTGATCGTAAGAAGATTTTCGCTCCATGAGCATCTCAAGAATAATAAGTGCTTTGCTCGTTCTGGCCACTTTGTAGATTAAGACTTGTTACAGGTAATCTGATAGACAGAAGCAAACCATCTGATCAGAATTTGCTAGCAGAAGACTGACAACACTAAACTTAAAAGCAATACGCTATATCCGCTAATGTGTTGGATTGTACGAACAATGATATCTTTTATATTATTAGATGGTAAATTTAAGTTGTTTTGAACCCCTCCCAATAAGGAACTCTTTTTAGGGGTTTTTTTTATGCGACCGAGTGTTTTGCAAAGTGGATGGCCTAAGCCAAAAGATGAATTGAAAATTGATGTCCAAGTTTCTGCGCATTGCTTAACCTAGTGTCTTACAAATGATGGGACTTTACTTTTGAAAGTAGACTTCTACACAAAATCTTAAATTGCATAGTAGAGGGGCACCAACAATGTGGATGCAAAGTGTGCAATTTACGAAACTGGTTGCCAAATCTGCACATGAATCGGTAAAACCAAAACTTAAGTATGGAAGTCTCGCCAAGCAAATCGCCAGGAGAATCAATCTATAATTCACACAGTATTTCACAAAACTCGATGTCTACCTATCTTTTATGTCAATCTTTTATCTTTAATATCATAACTTTTAAATGTTGTACAAAGCAAAGTGTAAACAACAAGCCTGTACTGTAGTAAACATAGATATAATATATTTCTTGAAAGCATTGGTTTTGTAAGTAGTGCATTGATTATGGTTCACTCTTTCTTTCCACGTAAAATTTTCTTCTGAATCCAAAGTTATGTTGCTACCTGATTATGTATGACACACAATCTTGTATATTAATCAAACGATTTGAGAACGAGCGTGGCACTGACGTCATATTGACGTCACAATTTTAACAGATACCAGAGATATGAAATCGAATAAGAGAGACAAACTTTCTATTAAGCAAAATGAGACATTGGTACAAATCTGGTTGGCACATTTCGCTCGTGCCATTCTGGGCCAAAATTGTTGAGCATATGGCAAATATTTACTATTCTCATCAAAATTTCTAATATTAACATTGCCGTATAATGTTTCGTTTAAACTTATAACAGTAATTAAGATGTTGAACAGAAATTAAAACAGTAAGATACTTTTGCACAGGATTGAAAATATTTTTTTATGCTAAAAGGTACTGGAAAATTGGTTTGACAGCACAGAGCAAATGTAAACTTTAGTGTAAAATTCTGATACGATTAAATTGGAAAATGAGATATTAGAATGTTTGAATACGAGCGCGCATATGAAATAGTTGATTTCGTATATTTCTTTCATCTTAATCACTGTTTCAAATGTCGACTACCGCACTGGGTTGTCTTTGCTAAGAATAACTGATGGAATCGGCTTGCAGATAGAAAATAAATTCATATTTCAGAGTGCTGTTTACTCCATACTTTCAGCGTAAAGAACGAGAGAACAAAATGAAATTAACATAAACGTGGGTGATAATTAGTGCTGTTCGAGCAGGTGTTTTTGTAGGCAAAAAGACAGTTAGTACCCACCCACTTGGACCTTCATTCAAAAAAAAGCCTAGATCAAACAATCGTATGTGCTGTGCCTGATGATCAAGGCGGATCTTAGTTTCAATCTGATATCCTCAGCCGATTTTAATGAAATCTTTCGTTCATTCATTTGGAATTCGATGTACCAAATGCTGAAAATGTCCTTAAACATTGCATACGAAGCCATGATTGGTTGATAAAATAAAGTCCTTGTGAACCAAGATAAATTCTCAAGGGAAACCTAGTGATTTTTCATAATACTTCAAGATATACTGAGTGTCTATATGGCTATAGGTATGTCAAGAAAAGGAAAAGAAGAACCCTAATGACTGTTTAAGACTATTGCTTTTAAGTCAATCTTTTATGTTTAATGTTTAAAAACACATCCCAGCGTCAAACCTCTACCAAGTTCAAGATTAAAGTCTGAAACCTTCACCAATGAAATAGATGGGAACAACAGCTGTAGTGTCATTTATTGATGTGAATATTACAATGGGAATAGCTAACTTTTTTGTTTTATTGCTGGACAGTTTTAAATCCATGGTTAGCCGGTATTTTTACACGAAATCGTTTCAAACAAATTATGCGTTATCTTCCCCTGGTAGATAACCTTTTCAAACTTGTAAATATTGTACACAGCCAGGAAAAATCTTTTCAGTAAATATATCGTCCTCCTCAAAAACTTAGCCTTGCTGAGCAAATGATTGCGACAAAGTCGAAAACTTGATCCTTACAAAAAGCTTGGTTAAAATTATGGGGCTATGCATGGCTGTAACAGGCTATTGTCTCCAGTTTCAAATGTGATAGGCTACTATCTTGTCAAAGGTTTTCATTTATTCGAGTTCTTCTTTGCAAGCCTCATGCTTTCGAAAAACCTGATTTACATTTTTGAAAACTTACTTTTGAAAAACTAGACTCAAATAAAGCTAGACTCAAACTTAGAAATACGTAATATGATTTGTTCTTACAATAAAAAAAGGTTGTTAATAAATGAGATCCGTTTCAATCTTACCATTCAGTTGGGAGGAAATTCATGAAATGGAGGGGAAAAGTCTTCTCTCGCCTTGTTGAGTTTGTATTGTTGCATATGCCATGTGTCTGTATTTTCATGCGAATCTAGAATTTATAAAAAAGAGGGCAGCACATACAAGATTCAGGATTATATCAGTTCATGTTCTTGTGCAGCCATTACTTGATGAAAGAGAATAGAGATACAATTGAAAGTTCTGAGACAAGCAAATATTCGTTAGCAAATGATGAAAATCTCAGAATAAGAATCTGTTTGGAGATGATGTCAGATTACAAAGAAAGCATTATCCAGTAAGCCATTTACCTCTAAATCGAAAACTTTTTGCCAAGGTATTCAAAGTAAGAAAATATAATCATTTTAAGAAAAGTAAAGACTTTACATGCAAAAAAATAGCTCACTCATTTTATAGTAAACGAGGTGTAAAATAAAGAGACATGAACAACTACTCCTCGTGAAGAGAAAATGGAACAGTCTTGGTAAAATGAACCCTGGAGACTTTTTGTTTGATTTTGAAATTAAAAATTATTGATGAATCAATATTTGCTTATGTCACTTTTTTATTTTAAACTTCATTCTGTTTTTACAGTACAGACATTTTTACCTTTCAGATTAGTTGAGCTAAGTTCTGATCAATTTTTTCCGCCATTGTTGTGGCTGCCGTTTTGGAAGTGTAAAATTTCATTTTTTTAAGAAAGACATCTTTTAGGAGAGTTACAAGTCCTAAATTTCGAAATGTATGCCGATTTTTATCATGAGAACAGCTTTCTTCAAGCAATCTATTTCTAAGGAGAAAAACAGTACAAAATAATAAAAGACCAAAAAAGTGGCAAGCAAAAAATATCCTAAAAACTAATGCTATTTATTTATGAAAAATTAGCAAGTTTTAGAGATTAACTATGTATGTTAGAAAAATAAGAACATGATTCATTTCAAAATAAAATGCTCAGTCTGATTTAAAAAATTGTTGTTATGAAAAATTGGATTTGATATTATTTTTTCTCCGAGATGCAATTTTTTATCGAAACAATGGTTGCTAAGTTACCATCGTTGCAGAAATATATAGGCTATTAGAATATGAAATATCATTATTAAAAGAATATGTTGCTATATGCCTTTCTATGATTTATGCAGAAAAAGTATTTTAGATTAAACAAAGGTATCATTAGGATCATAGAAATTTCTTAAAAAAAAATTTCAAAATCTGCTTGTGACTCTCGTTGAAAATCTATTTGAATTTTTTATTCAGTTAATAAGTTAACTGCAGAAAGGACAGGATAGGCTCATTTTTACGTGTGGGTAAGGGATGTTTTTGTCAGGTCTGCCTTCGAAAGATCTGAAACAACAAAGTTGCTTTATCTATCATTGTTTGTCTCTAATTCAGGCTTTTAATAATTCATTCCTTGAATGCTTTTGCACACAGATGCCAACCGCAAGTACATCACAGCGACCAGACTCAGCGACCAATCAGAGACGCTCAAGCTTGACAACTGGTTCTGGTTCGCCAAGACGTTCGAGTGTGACAGAGTCTTCCATTTCGCCACGACGAGCTAGTTTGACCAATAAGAAAAGTCTAATACAGTTACCTGGTAACATACCCGTCCAGAAGCCAAGATACCTACGAAGAACGTCTAGTTCCCAGGAGATCAGAAAGGGTAACAATAAATCATTCCATTCATCGCTGCCTGCTAGAGCAATAAAAGTTTTTCGATAATACTCTTACCTTTCCCAAACTGGCCCTAAGAGCTCAAAATTGCACTCCCAGTTTTGAAATCATTTAGAAATTTGATTCCCCAAATTTAGAAACTTGCTATATTGGCCTAAACTGCTATACAACAATCGATTTCACCGTTGTTGGACAGAGGTGAGCTAAGAACTCTGTTACTTGCTTGATGTGGAGAACGAAACGTCGTAATGGTTTAAAAGCATTGCCAAAAATCGACTTCATTGTTTCTGGCTGAATCGTTCTTTCCTAGTTAGCTATATGACACTGAGTTTAGGCTCTGTTCACCCAGTACAGAATTAATTTCATATCAGGCTACTTTTGATACAAGGTTCACATGATGACGTATGAAGCCAACAGGCTTTGTATTGTTTTTGCGGATTCAATTCGTCTCGCTTTGATCGCTTTATATAGGGAATCCGTTTGAGTGCGAGGTTTTGCGCAATGGCTTTGCAAACAATATAATACGCAGTGCAGGACTAAGTATGGATCTTGCCTAAATATTTATGCTTCATTGAGATCGAACTGTAGCGTGAAAAAAGGCCTAAGTTTTTGTTTGACCTGCCGTTGCATTGGCCTGGACATTGACTTTGACTTCACGATTTGCTAAACAACTGATAGGAAGACACTTGGGAAAATATTTCGTTTTCTTTTATCAAAATATCGTTTATTTTTTACCTAGATGATGGAGGATCGGCTGAAAACAGCAAGGATCTTAATCAAAACAGCGTTCCAGGCAAGCTTAATGTGAGGAAGATTTCACGAAGAAGATCAAGCACATCTGGGGCTCTGCTTCTTCAAAATGATGCATTGACGTCACGTATGTTATTCATTACATGTCTTTCTGGAATGGAATCGCTATTTGATTTTTGTTGACAACTTAATATCATGACCAAATTTAAGGATCCTGTTGCGATAAATGCAAATACGTTAGTTCAAGCGCTATTTTGCATAAAGCAATGCATCTTCAGGTATTTTATATACAGTTTTAGAGATTTTGGAAATCTTTACAATACGGCATTTTGTTACCTGGATTGTCTAAAGCTATTCTGAGAAACTGATTCCATGTAAAACTGAACCAAATATTCGAATATAAGATTAACTGAGACTAATACGAATATAAGTACTTGAATAAAATATATGAATTATGCGGGTTAAGTTAATGTATAGTCTTGAGTATAATAAAATCCAATCCAAAAAAAGAGTCTTTATCCGTGTTCCAAAAAACTGGCTGCTACACAAGCATACTCCGTGCACTATTCAAGTGTCGGTTCCCTCGTCCTCTACTGTGGTCCAGTGACCTCTTATTTCCCTTACCTCAATATCCAAGTCCCTCAAACATTATCAATACCAACGTTATACGTCATATCATATTTCGCGTGATAAGTATCAAATATAACTGTGGTAATAATGGTTGATAATGATAAATTTTGTTAACAATTTTGTTGCGATGGTTTCTACTTATCTATTACACGAAGTATAAAAATAATTTGGAATTTGTCTTTGCAGTGAACAATCTTCTTAATCTAAGTATTTTTTGGCTTATCAACAGCGAGATCAAATGGAGACGAAAATTCGCCCACAAGTAGCAGCCGTAAATCAAGTATTTCGTCTCTGCCAAATTCACCGCGCGGAAAAAGCCCACTCTTTAACACAACCGTGCACCAGAAGTCATTGTCACCACGATCGAGATGGATGGGCGCTTCTGAAAAAATCAAGCGAAGAAACAGTAGCACTTCAAACCATTTTCTGAGTCCTGCGGAAAGACTTGGTACGTAGAAATTGCAACACTGTTCCGTTCGTAATGCAGTTCCATTCGCTTTCCAAGATGCGTGGAAAGTCTGATTTACATGAACTGCTTTATCGAAGTATATTTATCGCTACCACCTCAAACCTTGGTTTCACGGAGTGATTACCTCGATTAAGGAGACCAACACAATTCCGGGTCGTGAACAACCTTAAGAATGTTACCTGTTAGTGCAATATAAACCGGTGGAAACAGGACAACTTGAAGGCCAATTTTAGATAATCTGCAGGGCCCGCGCCATCGGGGGTCGATGCAAATAATTTCAAACCTGCAATAAAAGGTGAAAGAAGCCTTGCACCCCACTTTAAGTAGCTTTGCTCCTATTTAAATTTCGTGGCATGACCCTGATCTGTCACATAAATCGCCTTAAATAAACCACACAGTTGATATCACTTGATGGAATTTTGTTGTGTATGCTCTTGTTACATCGGAACTTTTGTGTTCAGTCTAGACAAATGGTGTTCTTTTATCAAATTCGTAGTTCTTGTTGAAATTTTTACTATGGATCACTTGAAACCTTTTCTTTCAAACAGCTTCAGATCTAAAATTGCTGTTTCTTTATTCACTCTCAGTCATTTTATATTTATCGATCGTGCCTTCCCAATAAGACATACACACCACTGATCGTTGTAACGAGCTTTTATTCAACACTTTCCATGTTGACTTTCTTCGTATTAATCGCTTTGCTCAATCGCATTATTCGCGTTGTTCGCCTTAATCGCGCAAGCTTTCTCGACTTGTTTCACTTGACAAAAAAAGATGTTAATTGAATCTAAGGTAACAGCTTATAATATTCTAATTCACAATGCATTCTGGTAACATTCTAGGGACCACGTTTAAGTATCCGGACACAAGAAACAAAGCCTCTGTGTACACAAATGAAAATTTCATCGAAGGTAGTTTGGTGATGAGCTCAAATAAGTCCATTCGAGCACTGGAGTTTGAGAACAAAGAATCTGGGAAGGAGGCAAGAGACATTAGAGATGCACTTGAAAAAATGGAAGAAGAAAAGATGCAGCTTGAAGTTCTAGAGGCTGGAGTGGCAGCATGGGTTGGCCTTTTGGCAAACATCCAGCGGTTGAGCAAGGGTGTTCCTCTAATGAGATCAATTAGATTGGTGGGTAGATGCCAATAAGCCTGGTATCCTTCTTGATAGCACACCCACTCTATGTGAATATATGGATATATTACTGAGCCAGGGTCAAATATGGGGTTCTTTAAAGATGTTTTTCAAGGGTTGGCAGATTTATGTCTTGATTGCTTCTAAATATAGTTAGGTTCCTTTCAAAGAAATTATTCTTTTTATTTAAGAACTCAATTAGGTGAGTAACGGTATCTATGTTACGCTAATTTTTGTACCAATAACATTAACTCTTATAACCTCAGAGTATCCGTAGACATAATCTACTTCATGTAACGCACGCTCTCGTACACAGAAATCAGCTTCTTATCGCCATAACAAAAAACTAATAATAATCATCGACATAACTAACTGACAACTATCAGAATCTAAACGTAAAACCAAAAATACTACATTATACAACCCTTAATGCATTAATTACACTGGGTAGCAATTTATTTTCTTCAAAATAATATATATTTGCTCATCAGTATGGTTTATAGCAGGGGGGGGGGGCTCAATAGCAACAATCTTAAACATGAGCTTCACGCTTTTTTATAAGAGCCAGATACTGTTTGCAGAGGCTCAATGTTTCTTATTTCGGATATTTTTAGGTTTTGGTGTTCTCAATTTATTTCTTTATTTAAAAGTTGATTTTTCTCCGTCTATATACTACATATTTCACCAATTTCACTAACATTTGCTAACATAATTCCTGATAGTTACAGTACTATTCCTTATTTTTACTAGTCCTCTTCCTTATTTTTTTTTTGCTTTTTTGTGAAAATTGCTTTTTTTCATTTGCGTCGTCTTCTATCTTTTATGTATCAGAGAATCTAATACGAATTTGATACGATGTAGCGTGAAAAAGGCCTAAAACTGTTGTGAATATTTTCAACTGTTGTAAAGGGTTTTTCTCTCTATTTTCCAAAACTTTGAGGATTTGCCTGAACTCAAGCGTAGTGAATTATCGTATCCGAACTGAAAGTAGTTTCTTTTTAATGCACAGTTATGCGACATGTCGGCTTTGTAATTGATGCTAAAACCCTGAGTAGCAATATCAGTGACAGTGCCAGCCACTAGGATCCGGGGGGGGGGGGAGGATGAACAAAATAAAATTTTTGGCCACATCCATTTTCTGTCACAAAACGCAATTTTACCAACAAGGAACGCCAATTTTACACATAACAAACGCTTATGGTTTTAAATTTGATTTCGCAAAGGAAGTTTGAAGTTATAGAATTACATCACAAAAAATATTTCGCAAAAATATGTCCTCTCCTCCAAAGTTTTCTCCTCGAATTTAGACGAATTTCGAAACTGATCCTGCTGAGAACTGGAGGGGGATATGTCCCTCTAGTCCCTCCCCCCTCGTGGCGCCCCTATTAAATAATATATTTAAATTAGATAAATTCCCGCTCCGGTAACAGTATCTTACAATTAGATAAAGCTTTGGACCAGTAACATTATCTTTCAATAAGTTATTTTTCGTGTCAGTAACAATATTATGCAATAAGATAATGTTTTGGACCAGTAATAGAACCTTGAATGTTTCTTTTTTGCCCAGGTCTGCCTGCAAATGCAAAAAACATTCATAGAAAATGGCGGAAAGTATGGTGCAAGTCTGCTTTCCCTTAGAAGGAGCAAATTACCAAACGTGTCAAAAATATCGTGTGTTATGGAAGAAGTTAGGGCAAAAGTTGTAGAAGGTGGAGAAGAGCTGAGCTTGGTCGATGGAAAGTTTCTGGAAGAAGTGCGAGAAATCCTTGGTCGTTTAGAAGGAGTACTTGCTGTCACATTGGCCCATTATCGCTGATTTGAAGATCAACACTTAATGATACTGGACGCCAGTAAAGGAAAGAGAAATTTGAGACACTTTTGCACGTAAAAAAATAAACTTTAAATTATTGCACCCTTTTGAAATTCTCAGGCCGGATGGAACTCACAGGAATTCGATTTTTTCTGCTCTCAGAAACAAATTTGCTAACAAATTACCGATTATTTGTCTACTTTTGGTTTAAATTTATATGTTATACATGATGTATAGATTAGAGTACTTAAAAGTATTTGAAAATTAAACTTCAAAATCAGATATCTGCGATCTTCATTGGTTCACAAAGCAATAAACAAATGATAACTACAATTCGCAACTAGGCAGAAAGAAAACTGAATTTTTCAACAGGATTTTTTATATCATGGTCTTCGATTATGGAAATCACCAAAAACATGCAAGGGTCATGAACGCATTCGCTAAAACACTTCTCTGATTTCTTCGTTACTGCAGCCCTCTCTGCATTCTTCCAATAATCCAGGAGATCTCTTTTTCAAAAACCGTGTTGCCTTTGCCTTTATCAACCCCAATTTTGGCTTCTTCAAGGAACCTAGAGAAGTTCAATATCGTATTTAATGCTTAGATTTAGCCAAGACGTTGATGTGTGCAACTCTAATCGGTCAGATAGGGGGTAAATGTGACTTAAAGTCTTGTTTAGTAATCATTGATGCAACCGAATTGTTATAACGAATGTTTGTCACATTTCATAGTCTTTTATTGAAATGAACCTCGGTTGGTAATTATGGTATCTAGGTGAATTGAAAACCACTCGAGTGAAATGCCCAATATTAGACTCAATTTTAAGAAAAAATTTTTTAACACTTACTGGCGCTTCCAACATCATGGTGTGCCGTTGGAAGCAAATCGGCTTGCATTGCAAAGAAGCTCATGATCAGAAAGCCAAAGATGACAACTGTTGCAAACGACCGCATTTTGAAGTTCTAAACAGCAGAGTCACTTGCAGGTTTAAACCTCTTTAAATCTGTTTATCTGCTAATTCACTTTTTATAACCTTCGGACCTTGAGGGTTGAAAGTACATCTTTCTCCTCTTATAAATCTCCTGGTCCTTGCGCTCGAATGATTGGTCGAATTTTTCACACCTATCGCGAGCAACCAATCTAATGCTGTGCTGTGGTTGGCTCAACCATTTTTCTGCATACCTTCCGTTTTCTCTAGACAAGCCAAAACACGAAAACTTTTCCACCTCCAATGACCTGCACTTGTGGTCTGCACTTGTGGTGAAAGGTTGGTAAAGAGGTCAGTGCTGGATACTACCAAAACCAGTACCTGAATCCGGAGTCTTCTAGCGTGTGAGGCAACCACTTTTTTACCTAGGAATTTGTTGCTTAACAGCAGTTTGTCCTATGTGTAACCGCTGTGCTAAGGTACCTTACCAGTGGCTGAAATTGTGAAGGAATTGGGAGCAGATGTCTCCACTCTTAACATGATATGGTTTGGGTTCATCTCAGTATATACTTTGGCGTAGGAGCTGAAACAGCAGGTCTAAACAGGCAATTTACATTACGTTTGACCAATCAACCTTCCGTTTTTTCCCCAGCACCACTCAAACAGTTGCTTTAATATTGCAATTTCCATCATTTCAGAGATCAATAATAGATTGACTGGCATGTCATTGCTATTTATGATCAAATGCTTTGCCATTTGAAGCACTTTATCAAAAAGAAAGAAATTAATTCATAACAATCATCTTGTAAATGACCGGAAATCTGGGCGTGAGTAGTCGTTTCTAGATCAATCGGTAACGGACGCATTCGTTTTGGGTATGAATAAAATTGTTCCCAACGGCGTTACAAGTATATTATCTATTTAAAAAGCGGAACTAAAAACTCTACAAACTATAATTGAACTTGCTTCTGTTAAAGTAACACGCTTTGAACACAAGAACATAATTGCCGAGCCATTAACAGTATTTTACAATTTTACACCATCAGCGGTAGGTTTCAAAAAGAAACTTCTCCGTTTTAGTTCCAGTACTTTTTAACGAAAGACTTTATAATTTCTTGACATTATCCTTTTGACAAGCTGCTGGTGAGCATTTTCTTTAAAAGGGACAATATGCACACGGCATAGATTTTATTTCAGTTAGATATTGCCTTGATTTTGCAAAGTCATTTAAAAATTGTTTTGATTTTAACGTTAAGAGAAAAGAATAGTTTGGATCTAGCTGTTCGCCCAAAAAACTTCTCAAACCGGTCCATTTAGAATCCTAGACAGCACCAACGATGCAAAAATCATCGTGTCTCTAAATGAGAAATCGTTGGCACTTCCTTTTTTGCGCAGGTTTGTCCACGAATGCACGACAAAATATGAACAAAGACGTGTTAGTGGAATACGCTACCGATCAGAAATTCGTCTTTGCGTATCCCAAGTCTAGCAATTATGAATTTAAAAGGACAATTAAATCAAATGCTATTGTTTTTCTATCTGATATCTTTTTATCTATTCTGTATCATTTGGTTTCACAAGTTTTTAACGATTTATAAAAAAGCTAGGCGATAGTCAAATAAAAACCTTATAAAAATCTTAGACCAGACATATTATTGTTATCTTTTGGAATAATGCAAAATCAAAACTATTTTAAACAAGATTGTCACTACCAGAGTCATTCAGCGAATTTAGTTATCAAAAAATCTGCAACATGTAACTTTTGTCAATGCATTCATTTCAAGTACTCAAAGGCTTCTTCCCAACTACAGCCTTCCCTACACTCCTCAAGCAACCCAGGAGATCTTTTCTTCAAAAATCGTGTTGCCTCTTGCTTTTTCAGCTCCACCCCGTGCTCCATCGGGGAACCTAGAGAAATTGAAATTCTATTCAACTTGTCGTTTTGGGAAAAATTTTTTTAAACTTAATTGTCTGCGTGCATTCATGGCCATGGCTATGCTAAGAATTATAATCATCCATAAAACAGAAGAAAAACCGGCTTACATATTGAAGCATTTGTTTTACAACGAGAATCGATTTTTTATATATGATAGAAAAATTGTATACAAATAGTAAATGTGTTGGTAACAATTTAAGAAAAATCCTTTTATAATTGTACAGAACTTCAACACTATTTATGTCATAAAACAAACAGAATTATGGTTGAATGTGATGTATTTTGTGGAAAATAAACAAATATTGAGGAAAATCAGAAACGCAGCCCAAGCCAAGGAGGTTGGAAAGTTTCTGATATTTGTTTATTTATTGAACAATTTCAGACAGTTCTGGTAAAGATAACGGAAAAAAGGATGTTTAATATCAGAAAAGTGTTGTGATACACTTACTGGCGCTTCCAATACCATGGTGTGCCGTTGGAAGCAAATCGGCTTGCATTGCAAAGAAGCTCATGATCAGGAAGCCAAAGACGAGAACTGTTGCAAACGACCGCATTTTGAAGTTCTAAACAGCAGAGTCACTTGCAGTTGAAACCTCTTTAAATCTGTTTATCTGCTTATTCACCCTTTTATAGTTTTATAGTGGCCTTGAGGGTCATAAGGCTCATCCTCTGTACTTCAAAATCTTTCTGTTCTTGCGCGTGAGCGATTGGACAAAATTTCACGCCTATCGACAAACAACCAATCAAAGACCGTGCTTTGATTTGCTTAAACGTTTTCATTGAATATTTTCCGTTTGCCTTTAACAAGCAAAAACACGAAGACTTTTCCACGTCAGGTGATCTGCACTTGCAAAGTTTGACGAATTCTGAATTATCTCTATTTTTGCTACCCTGAGTATCAGAGTTACGTCCCCCAACTTCTTAGGCTCTGGCACCCAAGGTATATTTTAGCTAGAAATATACTGCGGAATTATACTCGATAAGTACAAATCTGCTTCAAAAGATTTAAGTGCCTTACTAGAATAATGGCGTTTCTAATCAAATGTCCTTTGCCTGAAATGCTACAGTATAATGAATGTTTGTGTCAATAACAATTGTAAAATACTTTGCTATTTACCGTAGCTAAGATGAATCAAATAATTGGGACAAATTTTGCAAAAAGGGCCTTTCCCCGTATTTCCGAGTGTTTGAAGGGCTCCCAGACCCTACCCCACTACTGCAGCCCTGGGTACGCCACTGGAGAGAGCCACGAGTGTTCTAACCACATTATAAATTACGTAATGTTAAAAAAACGTCGTTGATTCTAACTGTGCATGTGCATATATAATGTTAAAAATAACTTTGTACAGTGAAAACTTTTTAGGCACACTGGTTCTTCGAAAAAATGCCTGTTCTTCCCACCCAACAGATTTTGAACACCTTTCTTTATGACACAACATAAAGCTGTTAGATGAAATAAGAGTTAACAGGTTATGTTACAGGAAGATATTGTAATCGAGAAAACCGGAATAAAGAACTATTTTAAGAAAGTACAACGGGCTAGAGCCCATTAATGTGGCAGAATAATGACCTACTTTCTTGCCAAGGGTTCAACTTCGATCCAACTTCAATAGAAAGAAAATTTGCTAGATTGGCTTACACGGATTCACTAGATTCAAAAAGTATTTTACATCAACTTTGAAATGGGAAAAACATCTTGAACATTTTTCTTTCAATGTCTGATTTATAATTAACTGATATCAGTTGTATTTTCTGTGGTTCATATAATCTTTCCATTTGCAGTGTAATTAACTAAACTTCTACTCTCTATCAGTTGTGTCGTAGAGGGTGTAATATTCAATGCGAGGCGGTTACGTTACGACAGTTTAATTATGAAACAACATGAGTAACCAAGTGAGCTACTTACATGTGTCCTACTTACTGCTGTCAGTATATGGACCTTTCAGAAAAGGGGGCTCGAAGGGGGTAAGTCCCTTGTTGAAATTAAGAGAGATACTGTGCGCCTCCGTAGCAAGCCAAAGTATGTTCGGTAAGCCTTTATTATGCCATCAATTATTCATGAATGTGCAATTTGCATTTGCCTTGTAAAGTCGCTGAATGACGCTGAATGAAAATACACACAGCAGAGTATTTTTAACACAAATGCAAGTATTTGCGTTGTGGCCATGAATCTGGTCGTTGTTTTGGTCTTTGGTGTGGCTTTCAGACGTTCCTTACAGCACAGCCCCCTTCCTGGCCTTTCAGGACGACCCTCTCTGCTCTCTACCATTATATAAAATACAGTCAATCTCAAATTTACCTTCTGAATCAAGTCAGTATTCATTATTCATTTCAAAATCAATTTTGAAGAACACTCCTCTCCTCATTCAAGACATCCTCAACCACAAGATCAGTAAAGATGGCGCTTACGGCCCACATTGCCTGTAATTGATAAGATAAAAACGCATAAACTGAATATATAAATATAATTTTCAAACTTTCTGATCATATCTAAGCATTTTTAGCAAAGAAGGTTTTTTGGCACAGAGCAGCCTTGAAGCTCCAAAATGAATTATTTTTTTCTTGGGGATCGGTAACCCGGACAATTTAAGGGTTAAGCCAACAGTACAGCACGGGTTTTCCATGTAAAAACTAGTACAGTAGATTGGGGGCTTTTTCAAGGGGTTGGGAGAATAACAATAATTGTTAGCTGTAGAATAGAGGTTTTTTAAGGGGCCTAAAGAGAGTCTGTGTAAGAGGCAAATGCGATATAGCAGGGTCGCCGGAGCCAGGGGGCCAAGGGGGCACAGGCCCCCCCTGTTTGCAAAAAGTACAAAAATGCCTCTTTTTTTCAATGCCAGATATTCTGCCTTTAGAAACTAAGTAAAATAACATAGCTTTGGGCGTTGTTGGAGGACCATTTCCTTAAATCTTTACTTGGTCTTGATGCAAAAAACTCAAGCTCCTGTGATGAATTATATCAACTGTGAAGGAGACTGCCATTTTCGCGGGGAAATTTCCTTAGTATGTCTTCAGCAACAAACGAATTAGTGAAAGTTCTGCATCAAGTCCCCGGCGGGCACAGTCAGTTGGTGCAGTGTATATCGTGTGTGTTCCAGAAAATAGAAACTGGACCCCTATCTCTGCTTCTGGGTTAAGTAAAATGTACCCTTTCTGCGACTTTGCCAAAAATTGTGAAACTCTTTTCACTGAGATTTTTCAAGCTTGAGCAGGAATTTTTTATACCAATTCATGTTAGAACCATTCCTTTTCTTAAACTTATGTCTAGGCAAGTTAACTAGATTTGATTTTAACAACAATCCTTTATGGTTCTTGATATATATTAACAAAATCAGACAGCTGTAAAACTGTAACTGCAACATATTGCTTACTTCACAAAATTGTGTTAGATGTTTTTTTGAAGACATGAAAAAGTTGTGTCCCTGCAATGAGTACATGCTAGCAGTAAAGTGTTTTTAAACAAAGACTTAAATTTCTTATCTAGGATCAGAACAACATACAAGACTAGACGTTTTGCCCCCCCCCCCCCTGTGCAAACCTGCGTCCGGCGGCCCTGTATAGCAGGAATTTTCTGACAGTCAAACAATGGAAATTCGGAAATTTCGAAATAAATGAAGCATTCTAGCATAAGGAATTATCCACCATACAGCTTTAAACAAACAGTTTCGAGAAAATGTGGGCAAATAAATTTGTAATAAAACTAAATCTTTAATATTTAATGACCAATGTGTATTTCTGAAATTCTCCATCATCCGAACGTTTTAAATTCTCCAGATATCTTGCTTCAATCTGAAAACAGTAACTGATACACAGGCGTTGTGGCTAGGCGGAACACCTGAAAATTTCCCCTTTGGCCCCTTTCAAGTGAGTTTGTAAAACCCAGGACAATCAGGCCTCTGTGGAAGAGATGCATGGAATATGAACAGGTCTGCCGAGAGGGGGACAATGAGGGGCAAACTGCCCCAGGGCCTCGAGGCCAAGGATGCCTCTTAAAGCAAAGAATTCCAATTTAAGAACAGATTCTTAAAGAAACGCAGCAAAGTATGCCTAGAGATTGTCAAACTTGATAAACGACTGTAAAAACATGCTGAAATGTACTTCATGCTAATTTAAAGTGCGTGGTCGCAAAACTTTTCTGCTCACTTTCCTCGCAGCGCATGAACCTGCCACCCACAATTTTTGCAGTCTTAAAAGCCTAGGGTTAGAGAAAAGGGGATACAACCCCAACAAATAAAGCCAATGAAACTCTAAGATGACAAAAGCTGGCACCTTTTTAATTTTTCTTAGGTGCAAGGTTTGCAGGTAGCAGGAACGTACCATTTTTGGCGACCTGCGGTTTGTGATTGGAGATGTCATAAAAATGAGCGGGCCCCCTTTTGATCATTTTCTCCCGGCCCTTTTCTAGGAGCCAAAACGCCTCTAGGCCGATACATCTTTTGATGAAGGTTTAGATTTTTAAATTTGCTCTGATCTACCGACCTTGTTCTATACTGATGCTAACCTGAATCCCAGCAATTCATTTTACCCATTGTAAAAACTTCAACTATATTGAATTTGTAGGGATGGGTATTTCCACTTCATTTTTGCAAGGAATAATTGCTCCTCCATTTGGTCCGACGCTGATTATCCATCCCAGAAGAAAGTTTTTGCTCTACAAATCCTGGGCTACAATGCAACACCAATAATATTCAACCATTGGCAATCATCAAATTTCAATTTTGGTACACACTCGTTTTGGCAATGAAAGCAGTATGCCTACCCAAGGGTATCATAACCACAACATATTTATAACATAATCACAACATAATCACAACATAATCATAACTAGATCATAACATTATGTAAACTTAACCCTGACAACATCACAACATAATCGTATCATAACCACAACATATTTATAACATAATCACAACATAATCACAACATAATCATAACTAGATCATAACATTATGTAAACTTAACCCTGACAACATCACAACATAATCGTATCATAACCACAACATATTTATAACATAATCACAACATAATCACAACGTAATCATATCTAAATCATAACATTATGTAAACTTAACCCTGACAACATCACAACATAATCGTATCATAACCACAACATATTTATAACATAATCACAACATAATCACAACATAATCATAACTAGATCATAACATTATGTAAACTTAACCCTGACAACATCACAACATAATCGTATCATAACCACATCATATTTATAACATAATCACAACATAATCATAACTAAATCATAACATTATGTAAACTTAACCCCCTGACAACATCACAACATAATCGTATCATAACCACAACATATTTATAACATATTCACAACATAATCACAACGTAATCATAACTAGATCATAACATTATGTAAACTTAACCCTGACAACATCACAACATAATCGTATCATAACCACAACATATTTATAACATATTCACAACATAATCACAACGTAATCATAACTAGATCATAACATTATGTAAACTTAACCCTGACAACATCACAACATAATCGTATCATAACCACAACATATTTATAACATAATCACAACATAATCACAACGTAATCATAACTAGATCATAACATTATGAAATCTTAACCCTGACAACATCACAACATAATCGTATCATAATCACAACATATTTATAACATAATCACAACATAATCACAACGTAATCATAACTAGATCATAACATTATGTAAACTTAACCCTGACAACATCACAACATAATCGTATCATAACCACAACATATTTATAACATAATCACAACATAATCACAACGTAATCATAACTAAATCACAACATAATCACAACATAATCATATCTAAATCATAATGGCCCGACCAAACTAGGAGAGATCGTCATATGACATCCATGTTTTAAGATTGTTTCACAAAATGTTTCCTAGTTTGGCCACCATGTCTTTTAACAAATTCGACCAAAATGTTGTCACATGAATGTTTGAAGATAGTGAAGAAGAGACATTTTGTGTTGTATGACAAATGTTTCCTAGTTTGGCATGATGTTATCAGACAGTTCAATTCAAAGCGGGTAAAAATCAGTAGAAATCCATGTTCCATTAGTGAAGCTTGCGTTTAACTTGGCGGCAAACAGCAAATCAAAGCACCAAAGCATATGTGGATGGACGAAAACATACAAAAACTGATAGATTTGGTCGAAATAAGATTTGTCTTGTGGGATACTGCTCACAAGAATATCATGACAGAAATAAGAAATCACAGGCTTTTGAAGATATTGCAGATCAGTTGGGCATTGATCAGAATGCTGTACTCTCTAAATGGAGGAATTTCTGCGGGCAGTTTGGAAGAGAATTAAATAAAGTTAACTAGCAACTGCTTTACGCTTCATCTCCATTTTCCCACCAAAAATTACGAACAACAATAACAAAAAACAAAATGTTGTCAGACATTGTCAGACAAGTTTGACCACCAAAATTTCATGTCACAGAAACAAATGAAAAAAATTATTTTCCTGCTTGAAACAATGTCATATGACAATGCTTCCTAGTTTGGCCAGGCCTTAACTTTTTCACATCTTAACCATGAAATAATCACAACATAATCACAATATATTTAAACATAATCACAACACAATCATATTATAATCATTACATATTTATAACAAAATCACAACATAATCACAACATAATCAAAACATAATCATATCATAATCACAACATAATCACAACATAATCACAACATATTCATAAAATATTCATTACATAATCATAACAAAGTCATGAAATTGGTTAAAACCTAAATTATATTTATCATTTACACCCCTTCCTTTCCCCCCTGTGTTCATCCCTTTGGTTGCCCCTATCAGTCCCTGACCCTTGTTAGTTATCACTTGCTGTGACACATTGTGCCATAGAACATATCCAAAAAGGAAAGGCTTCAAAGCATCAACAAGGTAACGGATGCATGTCCTAACATCTTCATGGTTCTAAAAGTTAATCGAGCAGATGATTGCCCATAGAACATTTAATTTTCAAATGACAAGTGAAAAAAACAACAAATTAACTGGTAAAATTATATTATTACTGTCATCTTGAGCATTTTCAAATCAAATAAAAATGAAGGAGAATGTTGCTGGTTTACAAATGCTCAACAATCTCCTCCAAGTCACAACCTTCCCTACACTCTTCTAACAAACCATCGGAAGGCTTTGTCGCTTGACTCTTCAAGAAGCTTGTTGCTTTGCTCTTTTGCAGCTCCACATCCTGTTTCTTGGGAACATCTAAAAGTGGAAAATTTTCGTGATTATCTATCCATCGCGTTCAATTTTTTAAAGCTATTTCTTTGCAAGCAATCGTCTGCCAATAACATGACAGAACCGGAATCAATTGAACAGGCTCAAAAACATAAGTAAGAAAACTTGAGATTGACTTAAAAGCATCAAAAGTTCCAAATCAAACAATGGTGAAACCGAGGCACTAGAAAGAATTTCTGAGCTGTAGTTCTCATCATATCCCGCTATTATTAGCTTTGAACTGTGAATGAGGTTGCCAGGAAATCTTGGTTCTGTGCTCTCCTGTTCTTTGGCGAGGTTTTGGGTGCAAATTAATGACGTTATATTGTGTCCAGATGTGAGTTAAGTAATACCATTTAGAGAAGATGCATTTGTTCCTGATTCAGAATTATCTATAAATCGCTTCAGCAAAAATGGAATTATTTTAGTAAATATTTTAAACTATAGAGCATTTTGGTGCAATTTTTCTTAGAATGGATCAAGCACGTAAAATTCAACTTGCGATGAGATCTTAAAGAATACCTGTCAAGCCTTGATGTAAGACTTCACTTATGCAAACATCTTTTGTGTATTAAACGGTAATTAAATCATAGGAAAACCTTTTTTGTAATTCGTTATTTATTTGTTTAAAATAATGCAGAATGAAAACTTAATGTTGATAACAAAAAACAAATGACTCAGTATAAGCACTACGTAATGAAGACAGCAAAGTTTTTAAAGATTTATTGAAGTAACCACGATTCAAATCTTTGATCTACTCAGAACATTTTTTTATAAAATTACAATGACGAGAGTCTTTCAGTTTGTAATCTCAATGATTTTTTCAGAATCCACGCTTTCGTGAATTGAATTTAGCACGTTCGAATTATTTCATATTGTTTTAAACAAACATATCAAAAAAGCACATCACAAAGGAAGAAGCAAAGCAATATTTTCTGCTTAAGCCGTGAGACTAAAGCAGTATTACCAGTGAGTTTAGAATAAGGGGACAAAAAGCTCCAATTCATAGAAGAGGGCAGCATTAAATACTACTAAATAGACAGAATATATACTTATACTGGATAACATCGAGATAAAACTAGATAACATCCACTAAATAAGAACAAAGAATAAAAAAGTAACCTAAGAGTGATTGGGTTTTCGTTTCCTGTACTGGATGTTGATAGATTTTTCTACAAGCTTTATTTGGTTGCCGCTGAAATTGCTTTCACGCATACAACTTTTTCCTTCTTTGGAGCTAAAGAGAGACTACAACAAAAACCACCAATAGTGACACGGCAAGAAACCAAGTCACGTGACGACAAAACGAAAGAGTTGGAAATGCAATGATTTGTTAGAATTTATGCTACTTTAATATGGGGAACCGTAGTGCGAAGGTTAACATACCACAGGGAGCAATGAACGTACCTAGCATCAATTTTTTGACTGTGTTGTTTAAAAAATCAACAACTTGTTTGATTTGATGTTAAAAATAATGTTTTGTTCTTACCTTTGCTTTGAGGAACAACCTTGGCAGAATCATCCGTTGGGAAAAGATCAGCTTGTTTTGCAAAGAAGCACAGGATCAAAAATCCAAAAACAGCAACTGTTACAAATGACCGCATTTTGATGCCAGTTCTTTCGAGAATAAGCAACCAATTCGCACGTAGTTCAATTTGGTATACTGATCTTGTTGTAAATTTTTATACCTTTTCCAGTTAGAAATTTGATGCTTGAAGCCAATTTCTATTTAACTTTACACAGCTGAAAGTTGTATTTTTCAAAGAAAGTTGTCTTTTTCAAAGACAGCTGTGCTTTGAATCAAATAGCAAGAAACAGCACCCGTTCATATGAAATTTGCAATATTTTCTGACAAAATCGAATATTTTTGACAGGAGCATGCTAGGGCAGTACATGCCCTCTGCAACTTCTGTGCGAATGACATATCTATCTATCTGACATGGGCTCCGACACAGATTGAAAAGTGGGGGCCATGGCTCTCCCCGACTCCCCCTTCATCGGAAAGGATAGCAACCAGCTTTGGTTATTATATAAATGTTTAGTCAGTACCTTCTTATAATTAGTTAACAATTAATAATTAATGCACTATATCATACGATTTATCAACTAGTTTTTCGAGTGAGTGAAGTAGTTTTCTGCCACTAAATAAATTGCATTTGAGCAAAAGAGCTCTGTAAAGCTGTTAATGTCTTTTGGTGTTTGTAGGCAGGCAAAGTGTTCGACAACATGGCAGCACTTGGGAAGTATACAACATTTTAGATGTTTGTTCTATAGATAGATACCTTGAGAGTTACTTGATTCTTTGTGGATGTGATACTTTATTTACTTATTTATTTACATGGGATGTCAATTAGCTAATTAAAAATTTTATGCACTGTTATTACTTTTGCTCTGGCTCTCCTTTCATTCAACAGAAACCAGAGGCAACGCCCTTTTAGATATATCTACACTCCCCTCACGAAAGTATCCGGACAGTTTCGAATTCAGTTGCGAATCTGTTGTTAGAGAAATTTGTTTACAAATTTCAAAGTCAGTTTTCATGAAAACGTTTTTATCAATTTTCTCGAATTTTTTCTTGAAGTTTTTTTGGCCTTTAATCTATTTATTCGTCGAAAAATAGTAATCTTATCCAGTGGCGAAGCCAAAGGTCGTGCCTGTCGTGCCCGGCACGACCATAAACTTCCAAAAGTAAGGTTTTCACATATTGGCAAAAATTTATTTTGCTCCGCGAAAATGTTTCAAATATAGACAAAAATTAGTCGTATAATCGACAAATCGATCAAGCTTATCCCGCAGACATAAGTGAATTCTACTCGAATCGCCCAGAGCCCCTGGAATTATTCAGGAGCGGAGTAGAAATCCACAGGGTTTCATATTGGTCGTGCCCAAAATCTGGTACCTTGTGATTTGGTCGTGCCCAACAATAGAAGCTTCAATTGGACAGCCTATGTTTGGTCGTGCCCAACAATAGAGAAAAACAATGCTAGTCGTGCCCTCAGAAATGAGCACGACCTCGTCATAATAATAATAATAGTTGAGGTACGATTTCCAGCATTTGATTGGCTGAAGCTGGAGGAAATCAATCACGAGGTCGTGCCCGTTTCTGAAGGCAAGACTATCTGCACCCTGTATCATTGGGGCCTACTTGTCAATACTGCAGGCGTTTTGTGGATGTTGGTGTGATATCAGGGTGATTTGAATGGTGCATGTAAATGTTCCAGTCCAATAAACCGTTGTAATTTATCAGGAAACTGGTTAACGACTGTGGAGGGATTGTTTCATAGTTATTTTGACTCAGCCTATACGGAATCAATCCAATGGATCTCTTTGGTAGGCGAACAAGTTCTCATTCACCTAAACAGAATCAAGATCTTCAAATGTGCAAGATGCTATCTTATCTAAAAAATGGACAATAATTTGAATATCATCTGGATGTTTTTAACGTGATCAGAATGGAAAATATGGCAGTTTTTCGCTCGGATTTGTATCAGAGAGACGCACACTGAAAGGGATAAACTGAATCAATCAATCAATAAAATAATCAATATTTATTTTGACAACAGTATACTTAGGTGTTCAAGACGAAAGTATTATGAACATTTGGGGCAAAATGTACATAAATATCTATTCATTTTACATTAGTTATGAGGTGTTTGATGTATTTTTGGACTAGAATCTTCCCAGTAGAAAGTTCTGAATTTTGAAAGTATTTATAGTAGAAAACCTCTTTGCAAATTAGCTCTACTGGAGTTTTACCCTCCTTAAAACACGTGAAAGGGAAAAATGAAATAGCATTGATCAACCTGTTGATGGTTTTGTTTATGTTTCTGATGATATGTTTTCAAGCTCAGCCAAGTGATTTTCTGATTTTTTCCCTTGCTTTCCATGTAATTTGGTTGTGTGCAGTTTCCTTGGGTGTGCATATATTTTCCTTAATATAGGTAACTTTCTCCATGAATTAGTCAGTTTGTCTTAAATAAGCAGGGTGAAATAATCTTTAAGCTATTACACATACCCCCCTTAATTGTTTGCTCAAGAAACACTGTTGTCTGCAAATAACTCTCAGGCTCATGATTATTCTGTATTAAATTTGTGACCCCAGTCATCTGATCTCAGTATTTCCACCTAGCTGGACACTGAAGAAATTTATTGAACATTCTTCATTTGTGTATGCTGCCCTGTTTATTCATAAATTGTCATGATCTGTTTTTCAATGATTAATTTAATGCTGCTTTTCAATTGGAATTTTATTCAAACCTTATAATGGTTATTTCATCTTATGCAACTTTCAAATATTGTCATACATGGTGTAGTTTATCATTATCATTTAAGGCATAACCTTAAATTAAGTATCTAATTGATTGGTGAATCTCTGTGAGTGGTTTGGTTCAGCTTAACAAAGTGGCTACCTACAAATCTTTATGCAACAAACCTGGTGAAAAAACAGGTCTCAAGGATTTTAAAGAAAGATTGCCTTCATTCTGCCACTCACTTTTCAGTGCTATTTAACTGTGGCTAGATCAATAATGCTGCATGACAGTACTGTGTTCAGCAGATATTCTAATATTTCTGTTTCATCATCTAATTCTTGATACACGCCTTGCACTTCACAGTCAAGTTTGCCTTTAAAGCCAAACTTTTGCCTCTTTTTTGAATGAAATTCTAAATTTTATGTGTGCAAAACAAATAGTGCTTGCAATTATTATACATTTGAAATCTGAGTCCACAGGTGTATATTTTGGTCCCATTGTTGCAATAATTTGATAAAATTTTAGAAAAGTTTGTTGTTCAAGCTTTATTATCCTGTGAACTGATATTTGAGTAAATAATACCAAAAATAAAAAAAAGTTGCCAGGAACCTCCATCACATTTTGGGAAGAAAACGAATTTTGAGTATCAGCCAGAGGCAGGGGAGACACAAAAGCAGCTTTTATACTTTTAATTTTAGTTTGTTTCTATCTTGTCAGAAAAGTAATGCAGGGCCATACAATTGCTATATTAGCTCCTTAGATCACTGAAATATTTTTTTTATAATATTGTGGATGCGCATTTCTGTTGCGCAGTGGCCAATGGGCACGACCACCCATGGGAGTCCAGCTTCGCCACTGATCTTATCGATATGTAAGCAAACTCTGTAAGGGGTTCTCCTCAAAATGGTAGCGACCGAAAGAAAAGAATTGACTTCTGAGCAGTATCTAGAAATAATGTTTTATCACAATGATGGGAAAAAGCTATCATTAAATTGCTAGTATCATTGGATGCACAGAGATTGCCACTTTCGAGATATGCAAAAAAATTTGAAAAGAAAGAGGTTTAACAAATTTTTCGCGGTCAAAAAGAGCAAGAGCTCTCGCCACACTAACGTCTGAGCGTTCCGCCCTAACCAAATTTGCATCAAAACTGGTTTGCATCATTACGCAAAACTGCAATAAATGTTAATAAACAATTAAACTTTTAAAAGCTGTCGATAAATATTGCAAGGAAAATGACAAAGAGTTGTGAATGTACCCTCGTACAGACCAATTTCAGTGGCGGATTTAGACCGGAGCAAACGGAGCAGCTGCTCCAGTCAGAATTTTCTAAATTTATCATAGTGCCTGTTTGATATTAACTTAGCTCTGTTACTTCATAAATCATCAATTAATACTTCCTGATGCCCCCCAAACAACCCCTGTGGACTAGATAGGTGCCTTAGAGAACTGGTTTACATTTTGTCGTCTGAGTTGCTTATGTGTTGACTGTGGAGGAGATGTTCACAATTTTGCTCCACATGAAATACGTCATGGTCAAATAAACCAATCAGACCACTGGATTTTGCTCCAGTTGATGAAAATTTGCTCCAGGAAGTGCTGGTTAGCCAATCAAACTACTGAGCAACTGGAGCAAAATCCAGCTCTGCGATTGGTTTGAATCCGTTATCGGGAGCAAGTTGGAGCGCACTCTTTCGAATTGGAGCTTTCGTAACGTTCTGTGTGTAACGGGGCTTCGAAAAAAACTGACGAAAAGGATTTGAGTTTTTTGAAAGAGAGACGGCAAAACAGGTATGTTTACTAATGTCAATTATGTATGTCGTTTAAGGGAGCCCTCTTTTGATGCTGTCGTTGTGGACGTTTATAAACCCAATGAGATAGGGGTTCATTTAGGCCTATAAGCAAGTCATGTTTTTTAACAGATTACTTTCTTATCACAAAGTTATTTGGAAGTAATAATGGTACAGATCGTTTTGTCTAATCTAAAAGCGCAAAAGGTCCTTATGCCTTGGCCGCTGGGAATACTTGTGGGAATGTAGCTAGCTGTAATAAATAGAATCAAAGCTCTTGTCAGAGGCGAGGGGCAATTCACTCTTTCAGCTGCCAGTTTCCCTCCAAACAAACAGATTTCTAGGGATTTTTAAAAAGAGCTATAGGGTTTCAATTGTTGATTTGCCCCTCGATCAAGAGTGTTTGTCTCAAGCACGGAGCTCTGCTCTGAATTCAGGAGTTTTATGTAATTTTAATATTATGATTTTCTTTGAATATACGAAGAGAAAGGAATTGGTATCAAACGTTGCTAATCTGGGTGGGTCGCTAATGACTGATATGATATAATCGATTTCAATACTCTATAAATTGTCTTTCAAACTAATGTTTGTCTTCCTTCATCTAAGAGATAATAAAAGCTATTCACAAATGCAGCTTGTGTTGATTGAATTCAGACCATTAGCATTTTTTAGTATTACGATTACATAGGCGAGTTTTTGAAACTGATAAGAATGACACTTCTACCGATGAACAAACTGCTATTTCCGCGAAAAACCACCGCAAAGGAAACTTTCAAAGGCATCAATTTGATTAAAGGGCACATGTCGCTTTAGTAATCGGCTAATACAACAAAAACGTTTGGTGTGAAATTCCATTCTTTCGTGACTTGTCATTTATACGTCATGAAATTTTACTGCCGTGAAAAGATAAAAGATTCAGTTTGGTTTATTATTTTAAAATTCCGAATTAGTTGCGTGTTTCTGTTGAGAAAGAATTCCGTCAACTAAAGTACAGTTTCAAGCAGTTTTTTAACAAAATTTTTATAACCTCTAAATTGCTACTAGCTTTATTTAAAAGTTTGTGCTAGTTAGAAATTTTATCTGAGATTCGCATGAAATTAAAGTCGTTTTCAGAGAATCTAAAGGGCGTAGTCATAAAATTTTTTTCGGGGGCTTCGCCCCCAACCCCCTCAAGTTCTGCTCCACTCAGAATTTTCGCTAGATCCGCCCCTGAATTTCGGCAAAAAGTGCAGCGGTAAAGAAAATATGGCTTAATGGTCCTGCACTGAATGATACTTCTGCTTTGCAAGAAAGTTTTTACACTGGTAAAATATTACCAAATGTCATCCATGTTTTATAGTCGATCGGTGGCATCTCCATGCAAACATTTTTCCCAACTGAGAGTAAACACGTATTTCTCTTCAATCGAAAATATTTGTGTCTCAAGAATCAATTTGTAAAAAAATACCATGTTTTATTGGCCGATTTCAACTGAGTCCAAGTTATCTAACTTTTCTGTTCTCCGCATATTTGACATTAGTTGATGTGCGTGAGGCTTGAAGCGCAAAGGTTTTTCCATTTTAACAAAAATGACAACGGGTAAAAAGGGCAGAAGTTTTGCATCATTTTAATGTTCTGGTTTATTTTGAAAGGGTTTCTCAAAAAATTATTATCACTGAGTTAGAAATTCGTTATCACCAGCCTAAATTTGTTTTGTCTGAAAGCGCAAACGATCTTCGAACTGTCCGGGTACTTTCGTGAGGGGATTGTATTGAGCTCTTGAAAACCTCTTTCAGCTAGATGAATTACATGTGTTTGTTATAATCATGGTTAGTGTTTTAATTCAGTCATGATTGAGCCAGCATAGGTTCCAAATCTTTTATTGGCTGAGCGACCAAAATTCTCCATACGCCGAAATTCTCTATTTAAGAATATGACAACAAACGTGCGTCGCAGCAAGATTTAGGCCTATTTTCCATGCTTTTACCACTACCAACTAAAAATAATAGCATAAAATGTGCTGAAAGATATCCTATTTTTTTCAAGAATTGAATCTTTTACAAATTATGGAGAGACTGCCATAATGCAATATGAAAAATTTAATAAATTTATCAATCTTTCAGCACTAAATCCAGCTCCGATGCACGTTTGTTGTCGTATTCTTGAATTCTGAATGGCTAGTTGGGTATGGAGAATTGTGGTCGCTCAGCCAATGCAAGATTTGGAACCTATGCTGAGGGAGCCATTTTTTTCATTAGACACGAAGGCCGAGATGGCCCCTCGCCACTCTACATTCAATACATGGCTAATGCAAAAATACATCAAGTTTGACTAATTATTACGAAATTAATTACAATCACGGATATTAAAAGTTATAAAGTTTCATGATTTTTAATACGTAATTCAAAAAACGTTGCATGAAGCTAAATACCAAATCATTGGATCATTGAATCTATGATTGAATCATTGAAAGATTTTCTTATGGGAACGAGGCTAATGCAACTCAGCCTTGATCCAGAGTGAGACTGCAGTTTCATCAGCAGCATTGGCCTTTTGAAAATTGCTAGAAGTTAGTTCTTTGAATTACAGAGGTTGACTGAGAAAGTACTTGATATGCCTACGGTTGGTGTAAAGAAGGAGCTCCTGTTCAAGGCACTTGGTCGAAGTTTCAGTAAGATCTGAGCTTATGTTATTCGATCGCTTCCTAATTGACGATCGATCGTTAGATATCTTAATATATTTATAATTATCCTCGTCCAGACCCAGACTGCAGAGCATGGCAAATGCACACCCCAGATATCTATTTTGAAAGGACCCTATACACATGGTAAAGGATGTGGAATTTTGCGATCTGGGTGTCACATGGGTGTGTCCCATTCCTTAGGGCAAATTAAGAATTAAGTTCCCTCACGGTCGACAAAAAAAGCATTTAGTTTGATAACAAAATTAAATATAAGTCATGTACATGGTACTTGTATTCCATCTTGAAAGCTACAAGGCTAAAAATTCCAGCTTGAATCCCCCCAATAATTTTCAAAAAGTATGCTTCCTTTATAAAAATTTACTTAATTGGAAGCAATACAATGGGCAGCCCCCCCCCCCTAAATATGAGTTTTGTTTGATGACACTGATAGTAGAGCAAGTATAAAGCTATGATGATTTGATTTTAGGAAAAGAAGAATTGAAGGGGAACAACACATATTTTTGGCAATTCCACAGGCATACATACTGCCTTGTTTACAAAATCTCATTGAGACAAAGATACTCAAAGATTTTATCCCATTAGCTTTATGGCCAAATATTCTCAATATTTTTTGCCAGTTTGCAGAGTATGGCAGATTTTGACAAGATCTAAGGTGTAGCAAAAGCCCTGCAATGTGACTCAGGTTTTGTGTGGAAAACCATGTAAAATGGCCCAGAACTATCAACTTTTCCACTATTTTATTTAATAGATTTAGTTTATAGGTATGGCCTCAGCTCTACCATGTTTATATCTTGGGTGTGCAATTACCATGCTCTGCATGTTGCATTGTTTGTATTTTGAATGAAAGTAAATATCTTATCTCTCCTTTAAAAATGTTTATTTGTTCATATTTCAAGTCGGCATTAGAGGTTTTATTATAATGGTCCTCTTTTTGTCCTCTAACAGCATTTTACAAGCAGTCAGAACTTCTACAAAAACCCTAGATAAGCAGATTGCACTCATAGATAGGCTACAAATTACCACTTAATTCAATCTACCTGACATGCATACTAGTCTGAAAAGATTGTTGTAAATCAACTTTTTTTAAAATCAAGTAAAGGATTAGAAAATTTTCTGATGTGTTAGTTTAACCAAATACTTGTATTCCCCTACATCAACCATACATAATTCAGGCTTCAGTTTGTTACTTTCCCAACCACAATGGTTATATTTTTGTATCAAGATACATATTGTGTCTTTCAGTGTGAATTGGCTGTTAATCCTTTTAGATTACAGCTTTTTGCTGCTTTGTACCTAGTTTTGCAGCTTCTAGAGACTATCTGACAGGCCCCCTCAATGTGTGATTTTGCTTTTTAAATTCACCTTTGACCTGATCATAAATTTATTAAATTCATTCTTATATGATTTTTTAATATAATATGAAGTTGTGCGTCTTTACTTTTCAGCTGATGAAGAATTTGATGAGCTTTGTTTTGAGTATGGATTGGAATTGGATGAAATTGTAAGCTATGTCACAGTCTATTCATTCATTCTTCTAAGGGTTTCAAATACATAGAATCTTTCCAGCTAAAGAAAACTACTATTCTAATGCGTGCAGTATGAGGAAAACCCTTTAAGTACAAAACTCCAGCTGTTTATATAATTATAATTATCTTCTTAACCATCTGTATTGCCTTACAGATTACCATATTTTCAAAGGAATTGAGTTTTCTGAAAACGCAGCTTAATAATGAAATTAATAACCAATACGACTACTTAAAGAAAAAATACATCATGTATTCGTCAATTTCTTGCTACATCATAGACAATTTCAATTAAGACATTAAGACCATTCCATTAAGGCAGTTCCGATTTAGGCAATTCCATTACGACAAGTCCATTAAATTAAATTTAATAATGTTTCGAGTCTGGCTAGAGTCATCTTCAGTAGAGTTACAGGTGAGAAAAAATCAACTTAAATACGAAAGTGCTAAACAAAGGGGATTGTAAATCAGGTAATAACTCACAAACTCAAAAAACATTTTTTCAGCAAATCAATTAATTACACGTTACGTCATTTAAGTAAGTTGTTTAAAATTCGATTATTAAATCCAAAATTACAATAAGAATATTAAAGAGAGAAAAACAACCTTATATATAATTAAATCAGCTGACTGACACATGAAAAAAACTCAAGATAGAGCTATCAAAGCCATGTGCCCGGTTGACGTGTTTTGACGACGAGTTGACAATTCATTTTGGTTGAATAACAGTAAGAATGAGATAATAGAGATGTAAACGACACTAGAAAAAAGCAAAGGAAATGACTAAAGAGAAAGAAAACTACATTAAAGATAAAAAATAGTATGCTTCATTAAAGATAAGGAAGTACACTGATTCAATGTAGAGAGCACTTGAAAATCAACAAACATGGTCAGGGTGCTAAAACCCCTAGCCCTTCCTCCATTCACGATCATATTTCCAAAACTAGACACGTAGCTTCTGTTGAAGATTTTCCTATTCTTTCCAAAACAAACAACTCCTTTGATAACTTATTCATGAAAGTCTCCTCGTACACCATGACAGACCTTTGCTTGATTCCCAACAGTCCTCTATTCCTATTACATTGTTTTCTTTGTTTGTTCTTTATTCCTTGTTTATTTCTCTAGGCTATTTATTCCTTGTGTCTTCTCTCGCATCCTGACTGCTCCTCCAGCGTACTTCCTTATCATATGACTTATGATCCCCTTTGTTTAGCTCTTTCGTATTAAAGTTGATTTTGTCTCATCTGTAATTATACTGGAGATGATGCTAGCCAGAGTCGAAACATTATTTAATTTGATTTAATGGACTTGTCGTAATGGAATTGCCTAAATTGGAATTGTCTATGATGTAGCAAGAAGTTGATGAATACATGATGTCTCTTTTCTTGATCGTTGTACTGGTTATTAATTTCCTAAGGAAGTTAATGAAAAATTATCACTATGTTAACAACATTGCCAACACTGCTTTTAAAGAACACTTGTATTAGTTATTGATTATCAGACATACAAATTCACCATCTTCACAGACATCTGAAAAACAAATGATCTCAAAAGAGCAAGGTGAAGACAAAGCCGCCAATGCTTCTGATGAAATAATTTACAAAATAGATGTCCCTGCTAACAGGTAGTTTTTCAGTTCCATATCTGTGAATATCTTTAATATTTTAATTTTTTTCATTAATTTCATTTTAAACCAAAATGTTTATACCAAAATTGGAAAAGGGGGTGCTGTCTCCTTGATAAGTCTATCTACTGAGAGAGACCCTCCTTTAAAATTTCCCTCTATACAAATTTCTTTTAATTTTCTGGATTTATTTACAGCAATTTTCTGTTTTTCATTTTTTGAAAACACATTGAACAATTTTAAGTCCGATACATTTTACATAGTCCATTTGAGACATTTTAATTTGTCTTAGGTATGATTTGCTGTGCTTGGAAGGATTAGCCAGAAGTCTTCTTGTCTTTCTCGGAAAGTAAGTTACTTGAAATTACTAATAAATATCATTGTTTACTGGTCTGTTGTATAGTACTAAATGCCCTTAAAGACAAAGCTACACACCATGGTGCAGATAATGGAATGATTTTTAGTTGCATCACTGAGTTGCACAGGACATGCTGTCATCAAGTAACTGTCTGGATATTGATCTTGAGTCTCAGATTTACTATTTACTATTGTCCTGTTGCATGTCCTTTCCTATGCACCAAAATTTATGGAATTCTAACCAATGTTTTTTATTGGAAGGGCACCAATACCACAGTACAAAAAGGTGAAACCTGAAAACCCCCAAGCTCTTTACATCAAGCCAGAGGTAACTTCAGTTTGTTCTTCATTTATTAATTTCAGTAATAACCTATTTTGGAGGCCCTCTTTAGTTTCAATAAGTGTTTAACCATGCTTGATTTTGCATTTCATAAGAATATAGAAGGCCCATAGAGCATGCTCTAGTTTTTCAGAGCATTTCTGCATTTTTGCTTCTAAAGCCACCAAACATTTGTTGCCTTTTAATGATGATAATATCAACTGGATTGTAAATGACGAACTGTGCAGAAACTAGGTTAAAATTAGAATACAGTCATCATTTTGCCTAAAACGCCAAAAAAGTTCTTTTAAGAAGAAACAAAAGTGAGGATGAAATGCTTGGTGATTGGAGAGATATAATGATGGGATTTGCAATTCAATAAATCATTTTACGAAGTAAATTTGCATAAAGGAAAAAGTATGGCATTCTTCAAAACTCAACATATTCGACAAGCTAAAAGATTGCAATTTCAGATTGCAATTAGTGAATCAAGTTAACATGGAAGTATGAAAGCAGGGCATGGCTCTGTGACTGGCTAGTTTGCTTATTGTGGGAAAGAATGCCAAAATTTATGCATTCTGGCTTGTCTATGCACATGTGAATCCAAGCCAAGTGTTTAAAGTCAAGTTAGTCAAGTGTGAATCCAATTAGGAATCTTCATTTATTCTTCAGTGACAGCACACAATAGTGGAATATGCAACATCAAAATTTATATTTAACTAGACCTGACTATTACTAAGCTTTTACATAACTGTGTTTTCAATTTTTTATTCTATTTGCAATTGATTATAGTCTGAAATTATTCAAATGTGTTTTCCAGACTGCAAAGGTTAGGCCTCACTGTGTCTCAGCAATTCTAAGGAATATCACATTTACCCAGGTAAGAACTAAGAGAAATCATTTATATGATTTTGTCTACCACTGCCTTTATTAATTTCTAATAAAATGTTTTTGATTGATGCCTTTTTATTTCAGGATTCTTACAATAGTTTTATTGAACTTCAAGAGAAACTTCATCAGAACATATGCAGACGACGAGCACTTGTTGCTATAGGCTTGCATGATATGGATAAAATCAAAGGACCTTTTCGTTATACGGCAGAGAGTCCTGATGTCATCAAATTCAAAGCTCTCAACCAGGTAAGACATTTAAAATTCTCCTTAAAAATTACTTACAGAGTAATAATTTCTGAAATTTTTTTTTAGTAAGTTTGTCTCATTTATTAACATTTATTTACAAGCAACATTTAAAATTGTTGTTCTTGTCAGACAACAACAGTCAACAAGGTGGTTTTTCGACAGAGAAGCTTTGTCATCTGACAGGGGATGACAATTTCTCCTTGTCCCAGAGTGATAAAAATCAATTCAATTTCTTGCCTTTCAATGGGAGGGGCCAGCATGCTTTGATGGGGGTCTAAAATGCTTCAGTCAAGTGCTCTTGTCTGGCAACTGCTTATTGTCAGTTATTTAATTCTGTACCAGGTAACATAATTCTCTTGAAAGGGGGAGGGGAATGCTATTTGATGCTTGAATGTCAGATCGTCAAAGTAACTTGCTGACAAGAGTTAAAAGCAATAAACCTTGATTTGCCAGCACTGTACTCCCATTACAATGCTCATTTTGGCAATTTCACGTATTTTTGCCCTCCTTTTGCCTGTGGTGCAAAGACAGATTTGCCCACAATGCTCAACAAGAAACTTTGCCGAAATCTGTTTTCTCTTTGTTTGCAATTTGAGGAATGTTGTAAAGAGAATGTAGATGTAGAAAAAAGTAACTTGAACAATAAAAATGAAACCAAGCTTGCTTGAGAAAATCACAAACACAAGGAAAACTTGGGACAACTTTTAAATTTTCCATTTGTGTAAGAATTATTCTGCAACAATTATGCAGGATAATTTTTAATCTTAATGTGAAAGAAATGATCCCTGATTTTCTCAACCTATGTAGGCATGGTACTTAAATTTCAACATAAAGAAATTGAAATTGTCTTCTTCAAAATAATAGTGGTTTTATTTAATCGTAAATGAAGGTAAACTTACCATCTCGGTGTAGTAATGTTTTGCAATAATTTAGACCCTTTTTTGGTGGTTCATGTTCTCCACTACTTGGCATTTTATATTGAAAGAAACTGACTTGGTCCCTGCAATATGATATGATATGATATGATATGATATGATATGATATGATATGATATGATATGATATGATATGATATGATATGATATGATATGATATGATGTGATGTGATGTGATGTGACATGATATGATATGATATGATATGATATGATGTGATGTGATGTGATATGATATGATATGATATGATATGATATGATATGATATGATATGATATGATATGATATGATATGATATGATATGATATGATATGATATGATATGATATGATATGATTGATAAATACATGTTTGATAGACATGTTTGGCAATTTTTAACCTTTCAATGTCTCACTCCGTAGCCAAAAGAAACTACAGCTGCAGAGTTGATGCAGATTTACAAGGTATGTTAGTTTTTATGAATAACTCTTTTTAACAAAATACTTCCTGTCGATACCCGATGCTTGCATATGCTTGAAAATGTTTCTTTACATCTTTGCATCTCTAGTACGATTTAGCAAGGGTTAAGTACGCGAACATGCGGCGATCAGATTACGTTTTGTTGCATCTTGATATTTATTGATTCAATTTATTTGATATTCAAATTCTACTACAAACAACTCTATTAACATGGAGAAAACAACACAATACCAAAATGTAAAAGTATTGTTTCTGTTTATCACGTCTTAATATTTTTATCAATGATTGAACAAATATTTTGTCGAATATTTTCATGAAAAATTGAACTGATGTTTTTATAAAGGATTGAAAGCATTATAACAATTTTCATGCGTATTATTTCATTGTATTGTATTCCTGTATTAATTTCAATTCTATTTGAGTTTTTTACCGAGAAAGTCTAGATTGAGTATTATCTAGGTGTTTTACTGTCATTATGGCAATGTAATGTGTAGATTTATACAAGCTCTGCTATTATCAGACAGATAAAGTTAAATGCTCCACATTCTGTCCATTCATCTGAGAAAAACGTGCGGTCTACATATCGTAGTCTCCAACATCTGAAACGTGAATATATTCATCAGGCAAAACTCATTTTCGTGGTCTTCATTGATGCCCTCGCAGCATGTGCAGACAGAATAATTTCAATTAGGGATAATTTTGTTTGATTCTGCAAGTAAATCCCTGTAGAGCTCTGCTTTTCTATTGTAACTGTAGGAGTGAAATTCCACCTCCTAACCTACTGATTTTATTTCCAATGAATAAATATATATCTATGTTTGCGTTTAGCTGCAACTCCTGTCTTTGCGTAGAAACCCGAGATCGACAGATGGTCACCATTGATGAAGTTGTGTCCCGATTTCGCATTTTTTCGAGAAAGCCAGACGATGATTAGAAAACAAAACTTTGAAAAGTACTGCAGTGAAATTAGCGTTAAAACGTTTGTTTGAAAATACTGTTTCAGAAACGTAGAGCTCTGAAAGTTTTTTGAAGATAGATTCCCTTAAAATTTGTTAAAATTTGAATTGATGAATATAAACTTGTCAGTTTTAAATACGTCCCCCTTTCAAATTGGGTGGACAGACACTTAAAGCGTGAAAAGAAACATGTGTCTTTGTGACTGTTTGTTACTCGGGGTAGGGGCGCAGTCAGTCACCTTGGTGCATTGAGAAGTCTTCCATATGAGAATATTATCATATCCTCCTAAAGGATGGAGCGTATATCTCGGGTTGCAATCACGCCACGATAAAATGTGCTGCATGCTCTACTATTGGGCTTTAAATTATTTACTTTACTCATAGCCTTTAAAGTCAAAATTCCACCACCCAACAATAAAGGTTTGTATTCCCCATTCCACCTGCGCGCTGCCCCAATGCGTTATCCCATGCTTGCTGATCGCCTCTCCTTTTTCGACAGAGTGACAACCACCTCAAGCATTATTTGCATATAATAGAGAACGAGCCCCTCTACCCTGTCATTTACGACAGCAACAACGTGGTTTTGTCAATGCCTCCCATTATCAATGGTATGTATGGTAATGTTAAAATTTATAAATCAGAATTCGTCCGTCATTCAAGAATTCAACTATAGCCAGATCCTTATACTAATCCTTATACTAATTCTCTTCCTACTATTCCTAATACTCATCTTGCATAGGGTTCGTTCAAGTGTTTATGCTACAAGGTATTTTGCGGTTTTAAGAAAGGAGATGTTTCTTATAGTGAAAGAAATTTATAAGGTCGTTTCCCATCACGACTGCTTTTCCATGGACCCTCTTTTTAGCTGTACGTACATTTATCTTCATTTCAAGTATAAAGGCCGGGTTCCACTGGAACGAATTCGCCGAGCGTGTTCATCATTACTCCTCTTGGCTTTTAAACTCCTTTCAACTTTCATATTTCACTAGCGAATTCGCCTATTCCCAGAAAGAACAAAAGTCATTCAAATCGCTGACGAATTTGCGGAATACTTCGCTGAAGTAGTAACCGGCCTTATGAGCTTGTTTTTTTATGGTTTTAAGCAAGCTAACATATTCAGTAAAACGATTTACATCATTCGCCGACTATTCGTTTGTTAATTGTCGTGTGCGGGTTTGTAATGTTTATCTGCTCTTAAGTTTTCAATATCCCATTGTTCCTGTCGAATTTACCTTCTTCATTTCCGCTGCAGCTCGTTTTTAACCTTGAATTATTGAGGCCTACTTAGAAAATACCTTCCTGCTGTTTTTTATCGTTTAGGTTCTCAAACTTTCCTAATTAAATGACGGTTATCTTCGATTCTTGCTGATTTTCGGCATTTTACCGACAAATAAATCTCGTGTTTACCTAAACGAATTAACTTGATTCGTCTGAATAACAGAAAATGACCTTGCATAACAGAAATTAAACTTTTTGATTAAAGAGCTAATTTTCAAATCTCAACACACCAGTTTACGTATCTAAGACCCTTTGTGATCATGTGTACAATGAACCTGCAGGCTCTCGTCTTTCCCTTGCTTTGAGCTGTTTTTATGGTGGTGTAAGACCATCGGCCCCCGTTTTAGCACCCCTTCAGTTACTTATGATTGCATAAAATCGTTGCTTACGGTCCATGCTCAAAATCTTGATGAGACCTGTAAGGATTTTGTAGAGCATCGTCAAACTGAAGCTAGGTTGTATCTGTAATCAATCGACTTCGCAGATTTACAAACAATAGAATTTAAAGCTTATTTATTTTAGAATGACCGCCATTCATGCAAAGTTGTTGATATTTTTGCAGGGGACCACTCGAAGATGTCTTTAGAAACTAAAAATGTTTTCATCGAAAGCACAGCCACGGACCTACATAAGGTGACGTCACCAATGTTTATAAAATGTATTTTTGTGTTTGTTAGAACGGTTGTGTATGATGTTGTAATCAAGCACTATTGGTTCATGAAGATATAATCTTCTAATCTAATAATAATGATCTACAATAAAGATAAGAAAGAAACATAAATGTAAAACAGAACATTTTGCCATTTTGACGTATCACTTAAAGCAAAATGATATCCTTTGATGCACCTTCATAATATCCTTTTTTCTAGGTTACCAGAAAGCCTTCAATCTTTTTCTAGATTAAAAAGTGGATTCATCATAAAAGCTTGCTAATCTAGCATTCCATTCCGGATTGTTACAACGGTTCCATCTCAGAATGAAGAGAATAAAGTCCGCATTGGACACCAATTAATTATTTGTACACATTTATCATGTTTAAACAGGAATGCATTTTGTTAAGTGAGAAAGGTTGCATTTCAGATTTTAAGGGACTTTATGTTAATTTTAATTTAAAGGAGAAGCTAAGATTCCATGGACCACCTACTACTTGCGAAAGAGTGGAAAGAGTTTTTCTGTTCCCAGCTTTTTGTTCAAATATGAAACGTCTTTCTTCGTAGGCCTCTGTTGTATTAGACACACTGGTCACCATGTTTAGCGTTTATTGCAAAGATCCGTTTGTGTGAGTATTATCGAGTGCTGTAGGTTTGTAAAGCCATAATTTTTAGCTGTGTCTTTTGCAAAATGTTAGTTCCGTAGTTGAGTACCTCATTCTAGCATACACATGTTGAGTTGTTTTGTACAGGGCTACCTACAAATGATTGCTCACATGTCGTGAAAAAAACATGTGTTTACCAGAAATTTCAGATATCATTTGGTTTGTTTCTTCTCGTTCCGTGAGAGCTACTATTTTAAGGATAGTTGCTAGACCCTTTTTAATTTTCTTGCATAACAGAGTCGAAAGCGTCGATGTCCACCAACCAGATGGCAAGGTTATAACTTACCCGGTAGGTTTTTGTCGTTTCTGTAATGTTTGTCATTTTTTTTCCTTTCTTGTTGACCTCTAGAATGTGTCAGCTTTTGCACAAGCTTTATTTGCCATTCATTTGAATTAAGCCTGGAAACGATTCACCATTGTTATGCAAACTCTAATGCACAGCAATTGCATTTTGGTGCCTCTGTTTCATTTCAGGAACTTGAATACAGAAAGGAGATTGTTGAAGTAGAAAGAGCGAACAAGGCTGTAGGAATCAAGTGAGTTAATGCTTCGAGCCATTTTCAGAAAATTCGACCAAAAAATTCAATTTGAAGGAATTTCTTTAACGAATCACCATCTTTAGGGCTTAGCAGTTTTTGTTGGCTCTGTTTTTTGTTTGAGTACTAAGTAAAGTTTGTGTTGATGTACATAAAGTACTTGATACTTTCTAGTGACATCATTTACCTCTTTAATAGCTTGCTAGGGTGTGAGAATTCAATGCTAAAAATTGTGTTTGCTCGTCATTTCTCCCTTGTCAAGGTTTATTGGAGGAAGATTATTGCTAGGGTGACACACTTCTAAGTCCACTAATATCACTTGAGCACTGTGATATTCTCATCATTTTTTTTTCTTTTGTCAAAACTTGTGGAAAGGAAAATTGCCGTTAGGGAAACTGCTTAAGCTACACGAAATCTAACAGGAATGTAAAGCATTTACTGTACGTGATGAAAAATAATCAATATCATGACTGATTGTGCGTAAAACTTGGAGTAGCAACTTAGAACCTCCCTGTTGTTTACATCAAACATGCACAAGTCTTATCTATATGACTGCAAGCACCATAAAGCAGACTGGTAAAAAGCAATCTTCTTAAATTCGAAATAACATTCGGTTTCATGAGTTCATTTTCATCTCGCATATGTGGCCCGGTTCGAGTGCAAATCAATTAGCTTCAAGTACAATACACGACAAAGTTTTCCAACGCAAACCTTTATAAAAACCAAATACTCTTTACAACTCCTCAACGTGATTCGAACAGTCCCTCTCTCTAACTAACTAAAAGTCCTCTTCCCGGGGGTAAGTCAGTTCTTATAATATGGTTAAAAGGGGGTCTTGGGAGAGGTCCTCACACATCGCCATTGGCTATTTATGTCGCAAGCTTGTACCAATAACTTCGCTCGTTTCATTTTTAATTTCCTTGGCTTTCAGTATAAGCGCGGAGAAAGCTGCCGACATTCTTACCAGAATGTGTTTAAAATCGAAAGTTGTTGACGATGGAAAGCGTGTTGACGTCATTGTGCCGCCAACGAGAGCCGGTAATTATGCCATCTGGATCTTAGATATTGATATTCACAAAAGTATTTGTGACCATTTTGAATCGAAAAAAGATTTATAATTCGCAGAGTTATTGGAATGTTATACGTCCAAACTCTGTCCTTCTTAACGATGTGACGCGTATAGTTTCTGCTAAAATGTTGCTATAAACGTCCCAGCCTATGTCTTGCCTGGAATTGCAATTGAGATTTTCATATCCCTCAAATATTTCATATTGGCTTAAGTAGATGGCCGAACTAATCTTTTCTTACTCTGTTGGCCAGCTCAGAGTAACCTATGGAAACATAATGTAACCTGTGTAATGACCATTCAAACAATCAGGGAGATGCCTCTGTAAAGACTGTAAATTGGTCGTAAGAGAGTCGTGCTCATATTATAACATCGTAATTGAATGATGATTATTATATAGCAACAGCGTATACTTTGATTTCATCCCAACTTTTCGGTACTGTTCCATCCTCCTCTTACAGTTTGAACGATGTATAATATTTGATTTTTTTTCTGGTGACTTCGAGGATGTTATATTTATTATATTTTGATATTACGTTAAAATATATTTTCTAGATGTGATCCACCCTTGCGATATTTACGAAGACATAGCCATTGCCTATGGATACAACAATGTAACTGAAGTGATACCCCCAACCAACTGCATCGCTAACCAGGTACAGTTGGTTTTCAGTGATCTTGTGATTAAAGCTCTGTATATGTAGTTATGAGTGTCAATATAGAATGCTGACGTCACGAATGTGATTAAAGTGATTTCCGATTTCTGTGACTGCTGATTCCAATGACAGCTTAATCGTGTTTGTTACTGAATGGTGCTGATGCTGCTGAGTGTTGTTACTGAATGGAATATACCCATCGTTTACTTAGTCGATGATTCTTTCTATGTCTACAATTTACAGCATTAATAGTATCATAATAACAAGCATCATTTCCATCATCATAATCCATCAATCATTCCTCATCATCACACAACAACCAACATAATCATGATTGCTATCAACATCAACATGATGATTAGCACCACCGCCTTTACATACACCATCAATTCCCAACAAAATCGTCAACCATGCATCATCAATTGTTATCAGCCACGACTATCACCAATCATTCTCAACTTCATCGTTATCTTCATTGTCTTCTTCGTTTTCGTCTTCGTCTTCGTCGTCAGTCTTCATAATTTTGTTTTGTTTTTTATTTCAGCTACCATTGAATAAACTTTGTGACCTAGTGCGAGGGCCTATTGCTCAGGCTGGATTCACTGAGGCGCTCACATTTTCATTGGTACGACATGCGTTTTATTCAATTTGCGTTCATTTGCATTGAAGCTTCCACCTCAAGTAGCTTTCCTACGTAGAACAGTCTGTTGATGACGTTTTCAAAGTGAATGTTCGATGGGTTTGGTAGACTGGGTTTTCGCCATCAATGATCTCATTGAAACATCAAAACGCAATTTACAAGATAGAGTGGAGCGCCGCGTTTTGCTTCCCATGGGCTCATTAAAATATTGTTCAGCTTGATAACATTTCCTCGCCGCTTATTAATTTTTCAAAATTTTCCCACTCGCACAGAAGGAGATTTTCAAGTCAATTTTCCCATTCTGTCTCAAACCAGAGGTTTTCATATCCTCCTTTAGTTATGTGCAGTTGTCTGCCAATGAATTTGTAATATACATGGCAATGGGGATTAGGAATAGAGAATATAATCAATGAAGATAAATTAAAGCATATTATAATATAATATAGCATAATATAATATAGCATAATATAATATAATATAAAATAATAATAATATAAATAATATAAATAATATAATATAATATAATATAATATAATATAATATAATATAATATAATAATATAATATAAGCAATATAACTTTTTTATATTCAAAGCTATAACATTATATTTATTATGATTACCTTTGTCTATTTTAAAAGAATTATAGCTGCACATACAAAAGACCTAATATCAACTGATTTTGTAAGCTCATTTTTGATTAATATCGTATCATATTTGTTTTGAATACATTTTGTTTCTTGACGTACATATTTGATGGTGATCTGCATCGTGTTTCAGCAGTACACCTGTTCTATTGTTGTAGCTCGTTGGAAACTTTTAGACAGTATTATAGAGAAATTTTCTTTTGCTTTTCCTTACTCTTTGTGCTATTGCATTCAAAATATATTATTCCTTGTTGTCTCATGTTAGACGTGATAAGATTACAGTTGAGCAAACTGAAATTTTGATTATTCATAATTGTTTATGTTGTAATCGGTTCGGATTTTGGTTACATTATAAAATCCGCGTACGGTAACAAAGATCCGGCTGAATGAATTTTAATATAATATTCCCAATTATTGCTTGCACGGCTTTTAACAAGGTTTTAAAATCTAGAGAGGTTTAATCATAGAAAAAACTGAAATAAATATTTGCTTTTCCTTCAATAATTACTTTACCTTACCATGTTAGTAGATTATTTAAGCGCCGCCAAACTGTCTAGTTTTTAGGGCATTTTCTGCACATTTTGTGATCCAAACCTCGTAAAAATTGCATTCGTACAAGTTCTTACATAGTCGTGGCCTTTTTTATTTTCTCAGTAAGACCATTTATGTTGTTTATCAATGGATTTGAGCATCTTGTACGTCGAGTAATGAGCGAAACTTTCGTGCATAGCTTTTCATACAGTTATTCTCTGATGCAGAGTTATGCTCGAAACGTCTTCCTTATATTCCATTCTTTTATGTTTTTATTCCAATACCGAGGCAAATATGTAATCAGCCTCGTTTATGCGGGATCTCACTGACAGTTTGAAAGTCCATGGCCTCGCTTTTGTAAACACAAATCTCGTTTTCTAGTGTTCTAGAGACGATGTATCAGAAAGAATAAACAAACCTGATGGCTGTAAACATGCAGCTCATATTGGAAATCCCAAAACCCAAGAGTTTCAGGTTGGTTCTGTGCTAAGGTTTGTTCTGTGCTAAGGCCTCCATTATTCCGTTTGTTATTTTTGTTTGTTTTTGGCTGTTTGATACCTGGAAATAAAAATACAGGTTTGTAAGTGTCTAAAATAGCAATTATTTGATGAATTTTCCCTGTGACGGTCTGAAATTTTTTCCTTCTAAATTTTTATTTTTCCATACGCGATTAAATTTGTTCTTTATTCACTCTATTCTTTTCTCTTCGTATCAGACATTGATTTGTTAACCTTTTTGAAACTTTCAATTATCTGACTCTATTTCTTTTGGTTCGTTGTATTTTTGTCTGCAAAATAGATTAGTTTTGGGTTGCCAGGATAAAAATTAAACTTTTCACTATCCCGTCTAGCAAATGACGAATCCAACTATAGTTTGCTGATATTTTAGATCTACCATAAATTTGGCCATGCTTTCTGCTGTTATCCATGATAAAACTTTGTTAATTTTTGGTTATTATTCCTAATCACTGGACTGCCGGTGTCATATGCGTTTCGGTAACCTTATGCATTTCGGTCCGGGTACTCAAACGCATGGCAATTTTGGTTATGCAAAATCGTACCCAAGCACTTAAACAATAGGGTACCAAAACGAATGGTGGAATTAAGCATGCAAAACGGTCCCGGTACACAAACGCATGACTATTTTGCTTATACAAAAATGTACCAAAGCTTTTAAAAAACAGGGAACCGAAACGAATGGAGGAATTTAGCATGCGAACCGGTCTGGGAACACAAATGTTCTGGTTCATACTGTTCAGAATGTAAAGAACAATGGAACTATTTCTAACACGGAGGCTACTAACAAGAAGCGGTGCTGTGATTTCCCTTTTTAAGTTTATGCAAAAAAGTACAACATTAATGGCGACTCCAAAGTTTACTTGATTGAAAAATGTGAAATTTTAAACTCAAAAAGCATTGTGTTCAATTTGTTATTTATAAAGTGTCATAATATCGCACTACGATGAAATCACATGATTTGAAACACATTGCGTTTCACAATGTTACATATTTGCATAGGGTACCAAAATGCATATTACACCGGCAATATTTCTTGTTATACTATATGACTTCATAAATGTAATATTACACTAAAAACGTTGCACTATAAACTATATGAATATAGTTTATTGCAAGCAATTTTTGGTGGTACAAAAGTTAAATATGGCTGTTAAAATAGCAAACATTTCGCAACATTTCGCAGCTTTTCGTCTGAAGTCTTTATATTTTACCAAAATAACATAAGTGAACTATGATATCTTGAATTTCCTGATTCTTCTCTACCCTGCAGAGTTCAACAGCCAATCACCTTGAGGTCAAGGCGAATTCTCAGCCGCTTTGTAGAGATCCCCCCCAGCTTTTAAGAGCTTTCCCACACAAACACTGAAAACAAGGCGTGGTTTGGGTGTGGCATGGCCCCCATTTTCACTCAGCTGAAAATGAGTACCTAATTGAAACATACTAGGGAGTTAAAAAGCGGCGTGGAAAGAAACTGGACCCTCTACCACACAATGCCGTGGCTCAGAACGATGCGCTCCTAACAGCGCATTCCCCAACATGCGATATCGAATACGGGACTAACCTTTACCTTTTTTATTTCAGTTACCATACAAATATTTTTTCTTTTCCCCCTAGGTTGCTAGGACAACTCTTCTACCTGGTCTTCTGAAAACGGTTGCAAGCAACAAAAAGATGCCACTTCCTCTAAAACTTTTTGAAATATCTGATGTGGTTTTACGAGATGATTCAAAAGGTATGTGCCCTGTTCCGTTTCCGTCAAATAGAAAGGTTCCTTATCAATCATTTGGGATATTTGAAAGTCTTACAAAATGCACCAAAAATGGCTCTGGCACAGATCTTACAAAGTGTCGGCATTATGAAACAGATACTAAGTATGGCAAACAAATATTTAATATAACTCAGAAACATGCTTTTGAGTTTTTTTTCTCAAAAATTGAGGGCCGTTTGCTGTTCAGATTGTCTGTCTTAATAAATTTCAGTTTTTTATTACAAACGGTTTTGTTTTCTTTATGTGTTATCATGTTTATTCGGTTTTGTTGAAAGGGACGAATCGAATTGGTTCAGTAGGTACAAAATGGCAAAGGAAGACACTGACAAGATGGCAAAAATGATTTCGTCATGATGATGATCATGGTGAAAAGTTTTGCATGGTGTCATGCATTTATCTGTTGACAGTCTGTAGACATACAATTCAAAATTATTTTAGCCCTGATCAGCTCCTGCCTAGGACACATCGAATTAAGTCCCTACGATAGTGAATATCCAAAAAGATTATAATCAAATCCATTTCTGAATTGAGTTTCTGCATACATCAACCGCTACTGTTGTTATCTCCTTTTATTTAAGCCTGGAAAATTTCCTTTACCTTTTTTAAAAGTTTTATGAACAATTTTTGAATGATTCATAGTTTAAGAAAGGCTTTGAAAAAGGCAAAGTGTTAATGATTATGACGTAATGTTTTCATTACTGCTAGATGTTGGATCTCGAAATGAGCGCCGTTTCTGTGCAGTACATTGCAACAAGACCCCCGGATTTGAAATTATCCAAGGACTACTAGATCGTTTTATGCAACTACTTGATGTAAAGCCTACTGAAAACAGGGTAGTGAATCCAAAGCAAGGCTACCATATTAGGGCGACTGAAGGTAATGTAATTTTTACAATTTACATTTGTTTTTCCGTTCATTAAAACTGAGCAAATTATAGTTTTATATTTTCTTTAATTTGGTAGTTTAGGAATGGTTATATGCAATGCGTCATAGTTTCACATGTTGATGTGAATATTAAAATTGTCATAAGGGTTAAGATCGAATTATGTTGATGTAGATTTTGCCAGATATGTGTTTCCAAGCAACCTTTCCACAAGCACTCGACCCAAATCTTTCAAATCCCTTCCAGAGAAAGGAAACGAAACAAGACGTGATAGTTAAAATTATTTTGTCTTCTTTATCCTTCTTCGATGTTTTTCCCTTTACATCAAAGTAACTGGAATTTTTTTCGATGCTTTTGTTTTGCTTTTGTTTTGATTTTGTTTTTGGTATAATTTAGACTTCAAGTGACAAATTCATACATTTGCTGCGATCATTCGTTTCAAGCTTTGTATCTTCGAAATTTCTGATATAAACTTTCACGCTGATCTTCACGATTTCTTCCTTTTCAGATTCCACTTTCTTCCCTGGTAGATCTGCCGAGGTCGTTGTCAATGGTGACGTCATAGGCTTGATCGGCGTTCTCCATCCGGAAGTTCTTCATAAATTTGAACTGCCCAATCCATGTGCAGCATTCGAAATCAACATACAGTATTTTGTCTAGAAACTTCTGCCAGTATTAGCGAATTAAATTCAATTTTGAATCAAAGAAATGAGAAGAAACGAGTATTCGTTGTGTGTAGATCTCTCTTCACCGTTTTTATATGATAGAACTTTGTATGTAACATTTTGTTTCTTTCATCGAGAAACATCCCATAATTTGGGGCACTGAAGATTATTCCGGATGACTTTACAGAATAACGTGGAATTGCAGTGCATTTTAAAAATGCTAAGTGATTGGATAAGAAGCTGTTATGTAAAAGAGCATTGGGGCCCATCAAAGCTACCGATTATGGCTTAAGATTCCAGGCATATAAAACAGTTTTATTTAATATATTTTACTTGCTGCATTGAAAGTCAGCATTGTATGTTTCTGAGATTGCTATGCAAAGAAAATTGATCAGAGCAGATAAAATTGGATTTTCAAGGCTACGCGTCATGTAACTGGGGCTATTCTGTCAAATTTTTCCCGCCCTCCTCACCCCTCATTATTTACCGGTTTCCGGTACCCTTAGGTGACATTCTAACAAATAAGAAAGGAGATTGAATGATTCTTGGGAACTTTAATTTGCGCTAAACTTTAATCAAAAACTATTTTGTGACAGATCAGCCCCAACTCAACTTCTGTAGGACGATGTATAGCTTCTAAATTCATTTCTCTATTTCACAAGAATCCATTGCCATACATTTGGATATTTTTTAGAATAACGGGAAAATCTATCAAAAATAAGTTTTAGATAAGAATCTGAATTCGTCCGAGAAGTCAAAAGCCATAATGTTTTCATTTTGCAGCCACCTACAGACTGTTTGCTACACCGGGAAACCAAAATTCGCCGCGTTTACTATAACAGGAAACAACAAGAAACGAATACAAACGAGAAGAAACGATAAGGAAACAACATGAAACGATTTGTGACTTTGCAGAAACGACTAGATCTCCAAAACGAGGCAAGCTTATCTATCCACGTGGGCATTGTCATCTTCGTTCCAGTGGCCTAAGTGTTCGGTCATGTCGTTCTCCACCGCAATAGCTGTTGTCTTAGATGAGGTTACGGAAACCCAGTGATAATGCATATTTATGTTTCTACAACGCTAATTTTAGCAAAAGCAACAGAAACTAAAAGAACAAACTCCAATATACTAGAGGAACAAGCTGTATAGGTTGACAATCTACTTCTTGAACAATGTTTTGTTTGGGAGCCTAACCCTAAAGCCTCTATAAAGTTTCGGTAAGTTCCTAAAGCAGTTGAATTCAGGGGAGAAAAAGGCTTGATTATTAGCCGAAAATTAAAATTGCTTTATTTCGACCTTCCCAGTAGTTGTTCCATGTTAATCCCAATGCCAGTGAGATTTGCTCTTTCAATGCTGGCACTTCATATCAGGCTTTCATAGTTTAATTCCTCTTACAACAAAATGACCATATCAACATCTACTATCATAGCCATTAATGCAGGATTTCCACTAAATAAATAAAATTGTGCCGCAGTTTAAATTTTTCCAAGTCGTTTCTACTTGTTTCCTAGTTGTTTCCTAGTTGTTTCTTCTTGTTTCTAGTCGTTTCTACTCATTTCCCGTTATAGTAACCACGAAAATTCGCTTGTGACAGTGCTACTGTTTTGGTGCCTTGTTTTCCCTAAAACTCTGTGTAGACCGAAGGAGTTCGTTTCTATCCTACAACTTTATCAGCAATTTTCAATTAGCAAACGGCACTGACTGGGCAATCTTTGCAGCCGTGTGCTCGCGTTTCTGAGTGGCCTATGACGATCCACAACTGGGTATATAAATTTCGTAAATTGGAGTTTTGGATAACTGTTCTGACGTTTTATGCTCTAAAGTATTTCAGACACAATATTCACGTTTGTTTTGAAATATTCGATTTCAAGGCCTTTTCTCAATTTGTACCACCAAAAATTTCTCGAGTCTTAGCGTAAATTTCAAATCGTGGATCTTGACTTTTGAAGAATATCTTTACCTGCTGTATTCTTGCCATGGGTTCTCAAAAACATTCCTAAACATCGTTTGTTTAAAACAAACGAACTTATATTTTATACAAACAAGCTTTTGGAGAAGGCTTTGTTGTTGATTTGGGCGTTAAGTATTTTGTCTCGTGCAAATCTTCGAAATATTTTGACAAGATTTAGGTCAACATTTCGAAGAAGACCTTTTTAAAGAAATCCTGAGCCATTGGTTTTCTATTAAATTTCTTTAAATTCCCTTCGTTTTCATTTGTTTATGACAAAACAAAAAAGAAGATTTACTTCATTCAAAATAGCGGGAACCCAGAACCCTATTGGAAACAAATGCCTCCCAAGACGGGGGCGCAAACATTTCAATGGTCAACCAGATTTGGGAATATGAAAAGTATGGAGCGGATTTTAGTTCTGTTTGGCAAGTCATTAGATGGAGATTAATTCCATAAACTTAGATAAGTTCTGGATGGAGGGATAAGCGTCTTCTCTGGTCTCAAGTTGATGAGTAACTTTCATTCTTGGTGGTGCAAGGATATTTCTTTTATGGATATATGTCTGCATCGGTTTGTTAGATTTATGAAACTACAATGCGATGAAACGAAAAACAATTACTCAATATTGATACCTTTTTAAAGTCAGTTTTCAAACTTTTCAAAGTTTTCATAAAATTCAAGCATTTTGGATTTTATTGACAGCAAGCATTGCAGGCGCATTGATTTTCAGGAGTGAAATAGTTCAAATTACTGTAGTTAGCCTGGTGATGGCAAAGCGTAGCAGTTTAGAACCGTCCTGTTCGTGACAAGAAAATGTTTTCAAAGTTATGAGAAATCATTCAATGATAGGCCCCCCCTACCATTTAATAACCTTCTTCGGAGCAGCTTATAATGTCGGCAAAGATGTGTTACTTCGAGGTGCTCGTTCACACCTCACACTTCCTGCTCCACTAATCTGTTCCCAAGGTGGGAAAAACGCTGGAATAGTTAATTGAACCAATATAATTAGCTCTGATTAGCCTGATTGGCTCATTTACTCTTGACAGTATTTTGAAGGACCAGATTGTCAGCCGTCCGACATTAATGGTTCTTGCGGAGAAACGTCTATGGTTTAGGCTACATTGGTTATAGCAGGAGGGTAATGTTGTAAGGAAAAAGCGAATTTTGGATATTATTTTTCTATTGAGATACCTACATGAGAACCCCCTGGTTTTAGTCCGGCTTAAGTTGGAATATCAAACAACGCTGGAGTATGATCTACCGTAATTGTCTCACAAAGGGCTTTGTTTTCCGGGGGATTTTTTATAAAAGGACTTCTTTCTAATGCGTGATATCTTACTGTCAATTATAGTGTTTACAGTGTTTAAGAAATTGAACTGGGAACTGCAAGCAAATCCTAACCCGTGTTTGTCTTATCTAGTCGAAGTTATCAAAATTCAGAGGCAGCAGAATCGTTACAGAAACAAACAGCTGTAGTCCATTAGAGAATTAAATTAGTTGATATTGGACCTGGGTTGGAGTTCAGATTCCTGATGTCTTCTATATTCAGAAGCAGAGCTTGTTTTCCAATTTGATAAAGTTGTTGCAGCAAGCACACAGCCTCGTGGATACGAACCAACCAACATTAACTGGCAAGACAAGGTTTTTAACGTTTGGTAGGTAATTTTGTACTTAAATTTTAGTTATATTATGTAGTAAATTTAGCTTCATGGGCCTGTTTATTTTCCTTTATAAACACGCACTGTTATTTTGCTTTGCTGAAAAGGGATTTACAAGACCTTGTCTTTTCAAGACCTGCTGATGTTAGTTTTAATTAGCTATTATTAAGTTTGCAATGGTAGCTATAAGAAAGAAAGAAATTGTGGGTTGTTGGTCTAAGGTGACGTGGGCTGGCTTTGCAGGGTTAGGAACAAAACAGAACCACATTTACGTACAGGAAACCAACCCCACGTAACTCTACATGGGATTTTTTTGCATTCGATAAACTTAAGGTAAGGCGAGCGTTTCATTGGATAGTCGAACAGTAAGTAATATTTAAGTTCCAATTACACGGCAAACGATAGCCAGGATGTCAATGAAAAAAGTGTCGGCTACCTCAACTGGAACTGCGCCTTGGTTTTGTTAGATTTAAAGAAACAATGACCAAGTTTCTTCGATCATGCTGCATAGTAAATAGAAAACCTTAATAAATTGATATATCAATGAATAAATTATGTATAAAATGCTATTTATAAAAATTAGACCAAATCAGTCTGCCTAATCTCTAATAAAGGATAATTCTCTTTCCTGGCAGGCTGTAGTTTCATATACGTCCATTTCTTTTGAGCGGGAACTTAACTATACTCTGGAGAAGAGTCTAATCCAAGGTGCTTGAATCGTTACGTTATGCTAAAAGTAGAGTTACATAAAAGAAGGAGGTACAGAGAGAAGTTTCCGATAAAATATGTATAGAAAATCTGGAGCTCAGATACTCCAAATGAATGTTAACATGGTTGATCTGAAGACAAATGTTAAAGAAAAATTTAGTAATTTATTATGGCAAATGTGTGTAAATCCAAGACGGATGCGATGGACATTGTGGGAGTGAGCATATTTTCAAGTGAGGTTGGAAAAGAATTTCAGGGTGTTGAAGGGCGTTAGCATGGATTCCAGACGGTATTATTAAAACTGAGTAAATGTTCTGGAATGACGTGCAATTTCCTTGAATTTGGCCCTTACGATTGAATATTTAGGGAAACACGGTAAAATACTGTGATTGTTCAAGGCAAGACATCCAGGGTTTTCATCGAAATTGTTCTTTTTTTAGTCCGTCACGTACTCGGCGCCCGAGTTGGTAAAAGGAAAGATGTCGCTGCGCCTATTGCCTCCTTCAGGCTACGGTCATGTTGAATCCATTGGTTGAATCAGAGAAACACCGACCTGTTTCAAATCTTTCCTTAATTTCCCTATAAAAAACGCAGTGCTTATTTTGCGAAAAATACAGCAGAGTCCTACAAAAAAACGTATAGGAAAACCTCTTTTGCTATTTGACTATTCTTTTTGGTGAAACAAACACATGCTTATACAGGCGGCGCATTAATGGGGGACAGGTGGAAAGCCTTCTTGACTATTTTCATTGGCATATAGGCCCCAACCAGTGGCGGCGCCAGCTATTACAGAGTGGAAGGGTAATGGGCGCGGCCAGTGAGACCACGCCCCTTTTGCCTCGTTTCAGTGATTTGTACGAAGTTAATTTTCCTTGGGAAATTTGAGCTACCCCTACCGAGCGTTTTTTAATCCTTTTTTAGAAGAAATATGTAGACCATATATTCAGAAAAGTGGGGGGAGGGGTAATTACCCCCCCCCCCATACAACCCCTTGGCGCCGCCACTGGCCCCAACGCTGAAGTTCAAGGCCTGTTATTAAACTGACAAAGTCAGTGCGTGGTTGCATAAATATTTCTTTTATATTCAATCGTGCATTCTTAATTCTTCTATTTGTTGGGAAAGTTTTGGCACAGGTAATTTCTAAAATTTCTCTAAAACTTCATCTCTAAAACTCTAAAACTGTATTACTCTAAAATTTCACTGTTGTGATGAGGCTGCCTTTGATTAAAGAAGTACATTCAACTTTCGAAGACTATAACGAAAACCAGTTAATTAGTTTTAATGCATGACAAACAGGAGCAAATTTGTGGTGAAACGATGATATTTCTCGAGTTATTAGTCTCAATTCTCTTCTTGATATACCACTTTTTTTAAAGAGGGCCGCGTTTTATTCATAAGCCTGGGAAAGAATATTTATGAGCGGAAATTGTGGTGCATATTATAGATTTGCGGGTTGAATGTGGTGGGGGGGGGTTAAATGCTTTCAAATGCTAAGGGCTGAGAATAACAATAGTCCAGTACCCAGTTGATGGTTAAAAAAGCCAATCAGAAAAGAGCTTTAGCCCCATTGTCCCTTCCCCAGCTTACGCGTTTTCTGCACATGATATTTTCTGCACAGCTCATGATGAAATAATACAGTTCTCTGGTCAATCAGCTTTGCTTAAAAAACACTCCATTGCCAGTTTACCATGCAAGTTATTTATTTTGCTTTAGAGAGGAGACCTGGATGTTTCAAATTGCAAGCAAACTTGATTGAAATGTTCACAAAGAAGGTATCACAATAAAAACTGCAAGAAGAACAAAGCCCACTTAATGCGCGTACTCTTATCCCGAGGGAGACGAATCTCGTGGCATTTTCTCTATTTTAAGAAACATTTTTGACACAAAAAGAAAGAGCAATGCAACCAAAATATTTCTTAGGCCCTAGAGGGAAATCCGTATGAGTTGATTTCCACACCCAAGGGAAAGCGATACTTCCAGTAAAACCACCAGGAAAGCTGTCAATAATAAAAATACCTAGCCGTACCAAAATCCCCAACATTTTGGGCAACCTTAAAACCAAAGCAAAAATTTTCTTGTCTTCAATGATTTTATTATGTCTAAACATTGTCATTTACTTTTTACAGGGTACGAGCGTTGCACATACTTTGTTTTGAGTCCTTTCTTCAAGCATAATTACCCAATAGAAAGACGGTGGGCTGGGCCTAGTTCAAGATCTCAGCATGGCTGTAGCCCTGCATTATGATATGCTGAATGGGCCGCCTGAATTTCGAGACCGTAACTGGTCCGGGAGAAGTGTCGATTCTCCTAAGACCGGCAGACATGAGATTTCACGTTTACGAGGCAACGTTTACGAGTCGTACATCCATAGAAAGAAGAGCAGCGTGACGTCAAAGCCAAGAGTGGTCGTGAATGTTTCGGGCAAACGTTTTGAGACATTTACGCGAACATTTACATCGAAACCAAACTGTCTGCTGTCAAAAAAGGCACGTTCAAGCTACTACAACGAAGATGCAAATGAATACTTCTTCGACCGAAATGCAAAAGTTTTTGAAGCTTTACTCACATACCTTCAAACTGGAATCTTGGCCAAACCAGATGCTGTGCCGGACAAAGTGTATCTCGATGATCTTAGATTTTTTGGCTTTGAAAACGAGGCTGTAGATTTCTACAAATCTCTGCTGCTCACGATAGAGAGGCCAGTGTTCGATTTGCCGAAAAACAAATACCAACGTAAAATTTGGGAAACAATGGAATACCCGAGTACATCGCGGTTGGCGAAAATAATTTCTTTGATTTCGACGTTTGTTATCGTTGTATCAATTTTCGTATTTTGCATTGAAACATTACCTTACTTTAAGGAGCAACCGAACGGCACCTCAACAGAAATGTCTTTGATCGCCAAAGACGTCTTCATGTGGATCGAATCGATTTGTGTCGCTTGGTTTACGATTGAGTACCTGTTACGATTAGCGACCTGTCCGCGAAAATTTCGCTTTCTTTACCAGCCTTTGAATATCGTCGATCTTGCTGCAATAGTTCCATTCTATGTAATAGTTGCATTGGAAAAGACTGGGACTAGTCTGACGTCACTTGCTATCTTACGGGTCTTGAGGCTTGTGAGGGTGTTTCGCATTTTCAAGCTGTCCCGATACTCGAAAGCCTTGCAATTGCTTATGCAGACACTCAGTTCCAGCGTCAAAGAGCTGTGCCTGCTGCTCTTTCTTCTCATGGTCATCACCATCCTGTTTTCAAGTGCATTTTACTATTTTGAAACTGAAGGCAACCCCGACACAGACTTTTACAGCATCCCACATACGTTCTGGCTTTCCATAGTTACCTTGACAACCGTTGGGTATGGTGATATGGTTCCAGTCACTGTAGGTAAGTGGCCTATCATTTACGGCCTTACTTATGACAAATTCAATCGTTTTTTTAAATTAACAAATCATCCTCGACCGAATTTTCTATTTATCCATTAATATAAGAACCAGGCATGGAACACGTAGTTTCAACATGTAAAACTTTTAGATACAACGAAAACCTTTGACTTCTTCAAATACAGATTTTTGTAATTTTGTTCCAGTTTATATAAGAGGGCCCACTAAAACGACCATATACATACAACAACAAATCCACTTCCAAAATGTTGGTTTCAACGTAATACATTTTTTAGAAGAAAAAAACCTTTTCCTCACAGCATTTCTGATGGACTAAATAAAGAAATAATTCATCTGGTTGGTATTTGAGCGTCTTTGTCTGTCTTCTAATGTCGAGGATTCTTTTTCAGTTCCCAAGACGATAGAGCCTTACAACCTACCCCTTTTTACAAAACAATTTGTTGTGAAAAGTCTTGGCAAATCTAACCGAACTTTTTGTTGCGTAGCACAGTTCGATGCTGGATTGGTTCTGCCGCCTCACTTAGTAGGTTTGAGCTCTGCTCGGTGAAATGTTGTGTTAGTTTGCTAAATGCTATTGTGCAACACCAATACCACTCAACAGAAGAGGTGGACAATTTGAGTGGTGCTCCGTCTATATCAGAACTCATATTTACTGCCATTTATTTGTATCCGTAAGTAAAATGATTATTGCAACGTTCTTTTAGGAGGGAGAATTGTCGGAGCTCTACTTGCCGTAACAGGAGTGTTGGTCGTCGCCTTACCCATCCCGATCATTGTAAACAACTTCTCAAGAATATATACGAGAATCATGAGTGACTCCTCCTACTTGGATGAGCTTGCTTGCATTGAAACTGATGATGGAGAGCTGCTCATAGAAGATGTTGTCACGTCCTTATGAACAGGCAACCATTTTGATAATGCCTCGAGCTCGTGGAAACTGACGTCACAGTAATGATCTACAGCACGGGAGGATACTCTTCTTTTTTCAGAAACTTTTACGATCGATAAAAATCTGCCCTAAAAATCAACTTGATAGAAAAATGTTGCTGTTTTGACAAAAAATGCAGAAAGTCTCAATAAACCTCTATAAACCTTAATATTTTCATCATAACAATATTTTCCATGAATTGAATTTTTCCTGCTCTTGTCCTTTTGAACATCATGCGTTCACCTTTATTTAACCTTGGAGACAAGCATTTTTAGGCCAGAACTTTTTCACATTATAGAATATTTCACACTATTTCAGATTATTTTGCTCAGCTCAACGCGGCTGATTGCCTTTAACTAGAGTTTGTAAGTGATTACATCACAAAAATAAACTTTTAGAATTTTCGAACTTGGATCCCATAACCTGGAAAAACATGAAATACCTCTAACTGTGCAAGTTCAGTTAAATGTATTTCATGTTATGCGACCATAATTCGAAATTCTAAAACTAATTCTTTTGTGACGTCACACTTAAGAACGCTATATATGATCTTGTGAAATTTATTCTACCATCAACATGTAACATGTACATTCTTTTCCTAACGAAACTAGCAGCTTGTAAACAACTATGATAAGTAAACTTATTCATATTTATTCTAGCCTATCTTTTTGAATCCTTATAAAATATAATAGCTAGGCGTGGCATGGGCGTGGTTGCTGATATGCCATTATTTTCAATCACAGTAGTCAGCCATTTGACTAAAGCTTTTTCTGGACTTAGCATTGTTCTTTTTGCTTTTGTATTCTTGGCATTTGAACGAAACATTTTCCTCCACAACGCTCCATTTTAATATGAATATCCAAATTCAGTAGTCAAAAAGTGTATTCGTTAAAGGTTTTATATATCTTAGACTGGGTACCTGTTGTGATTTTTCAAACTTCTTAGGTGAAGCTCTGGTCACTGCTTGATACAAGATAACTGAAGTTTCTAGGCCAGTGGTGGCGCCAGAAATCTTCCGATAGAGGGGATGGAGCTTCCGACAGGGGGGCTAAAATGATTAAAATAAGCAGTTTTCGTACGTCATTCTGTCGAATTTGCTCCGACAATAACCTAAAATTTCCTCCGATGGGGGGGGGCTAGATGCTTCCGACAGAGGGACTGTAGCCCCCCCTAGCCCTCCCCTGGCGCCACCACTGTTCTAGGCTAAGCCAACTTACGAACAGGTTTCTTGAATGATTACACTCATGCCCGTGAAAGAATTCTTTAACTATGATATTACCTGACATCAGAACAGTATTATGGAAAATATACGGAGAGAAAATGTGAGCAAGAGACACGACCAGGCCAAGACTCGAGCCGCTGGTCTATTTGCTGGTAGCGGGTTCGATTCCTGCTCTAGATGGTGTTTCTTTCTGAACGCCTTGCGCTTGACTTGCAGAATAGCAGATGAACAGTTAAATACAATGATAGCATAAAAAAGAGAAAAAATAACAAAAGATGAAAATATTCATATATCATCCTCCAAGTTCAAAATGTAGATTTTTGACACATTTAATCAGTTAGCAAATTTCCATAAATACGTGAGAGATTTAAATGTTATCAAATTTTCATGAATTTGGCATGCATAGAACAATTTTTCAAATCAATAATTCAATCTCGTTGCTCTGTGTACCAATTAACAGATGTTGACAATTCAAAATGATCAATGTGACAAAATGTAAAATATTCCAAGACTAGCTTCAATATTGAAAGGAATTTTTGCTGCTTATGTAAAACTGCAAGAGTTGCTGTGTAATGCGTACAATATTTTAAAATTTCGCTTTATGTGGATGATTTATTCATTTTAAGGCTAATCTCAAAAAATATTTCACTATAAAGTTGGAAATTATCAAAAGCTGACGGGAAGTTACAGATCACCGTATACTGAAGAAAAGATAAAAAAAACCAGACTGTTTAAATCTGCGCTTGTTTTCTTCTACTCCGGAATTCCATACCAGCGCTTGATAATGACGTTGAATTGTTCCAAGAAAATGAAGGTAAGGACAGTGTGAGGACCAATCCTAAGGTAACATGGAGTGAAGCCCTTCCACAAAGCTGCAAAGCCTTCCTTTCGCACAACTTTCATCAAAACATCCTTCAAAAAAGATCGAAAAAAATTTGAAAAAAAAGAAAACGGAGAGAACATACATGTGCTTTATCAAAACATTCCATCCATGTTGCGATATGACAATTAAAGTGTCATATGATAAAAAATGATGTTATCCTGAACTAAAATTTTAATTGAAGACAATCAGAATTTTAAGACAATATTCTTAATCTAAAATTTCTAGCAAAAAGGTAGCCTCGAGAACTTCCACATTTGTTAAGGGTTTATCTGATTGCTTCGAGGATCCTTCCTTAGGATTATTATCTTAAAGTTCTAATGCCTAGTTTTCTAAACTTTAGAAACTAAACCATGGCAGATTTCCGGGGGCGAGGAGAGGGGGCGGTGGTTCCCAATACTTTGGGAGACAATGGTCTTTTCTTCTAAAACAATGAGATAATGTGACGTTATCTTATCAAAACAATAGGCTTGCCCCCCCCCCCCAATATTTGACCAAGTGACCGCCACCATTGATAATGTACTTTCAACTCACCATTCCACCTTTGTATTCTGGCTTTCCATCAATGATCTTCATGCTTTGAATCCTGAAGATAAAAAATGAAGTTGAACCAGGCAAATACTTGTTGCAAACGTTTGATGTCTAAACTTTTGTAAACATGGAAGCTTGCATTGGATGATAAAACGAATCATAGGTGGCGTGGAGGAAGGTTGGGGGAGGGGGCCCAGTCCCCCTTAAGAAGCCAGCATATGTTTGGATGGGTGAATTCCTTGCCCGGCAGTTACGCGATTTATTTTCCGTGAATGAAAAATTTCTATCAGCTTTCTAGGGTCAATAAATATTTTCAACGATCTTATACACACACTGCAGAATCTTTAACACAAATGTGATTTATCGGGTGTGGCAACGGGTGTGTCTTCTGGAAATGGCATACAGAACAACCCTTTTTATTTGTCACCGTGGCATTATTCGTTACTAAATCAAATCAAAAGACGACGCACGTTGAATTACTCAGCTCTAATTACTGAGTTATATAAAATATTAACTCAAACTCAAAGGTATGGTAACAACTGGCACAAAATCTTATTCAAACCAACTTACGGCAGACATTTTGTGTCATATAAATTCTCAATTATCGTAACGTGGACTCCGGAAAGAACTTCTATTGAATTTTCTAAAAGCGCATTCTTATCCAGTATATATGGCTTAAAACCTAACAAATACAAACCTCGTTTTCGCTATATCTGGAGGCATGGAAGCGAATGTGGTTGCGAGACCACTGATCATACTTGCACAGAAATGACATAAGATGTTATCGTTGAAGTAATCTGCAAAAAGAGGAAATAAACATCTCAATGACGTGGTCTTGAAAGAACTGCCACCACAGTGGTTTGTTTCTGGCTGATAAACGGATTGTGCTGTCTTTTTATTCTCTAGTGCCTAATTATATGGAGGCTGTAATAGCAGAGGCAGAGTCAGGAAAACATCACGGCTACTGGCCGGAGGAATGTTGTAGAAGCAAAGAAAATTAAGGAAGAAGGCCAGAAATTTGGGAACTGGTGGAAGTTTTTATTATCGTTGGTTTTCAAAATACAACCATAAAAAATAAAAAAAAATAAAAATTAAGTTCAAAAGCTCCTGTTTTTTATATGAATATGTTTGCAGAACTGCTTTGCTCTGTAAAATTTAGGCATTATCTTTTTATAACTTTTGTATTTGAATAATGACACGATTTTGAGTTTTGCTATTAACCGAAAAAAGCATTTTACTTTGAATCGGTCTCTATAAATATCTATAACAAAAAACAAGCTACAAATTCATAGAAAAATTTTGAAAAACAGTGTTGGCAGAAGAAGGGATCAAGACTAGTTGAGTAACACTTTTATGACCACGCTTATTTTAAACCCATTAAAAACGAGTCAGGTTTTATAGTAAGACAGGCCGGGGAAGGTTGACAACTTTTCTGGACTCTGAGCACACCCACATATAAACCCAGTTGTGGATCGAAAAAGGCCAATCAGAAACGCGAGCACATGACTGTTGAGGTTGTCCAATCAGTGCCGCTTGCCTATTGAGAATGTTACCAATGGAGTCCTAAGGTGAAAATCAACTCCTCCTGTCTACACAATAGCGGTTTTTCGTGTTTATGTAGATAGATTCCAAAACTGCTACATGGAACGACGACCAGGCCTTGTTTTATCAAAGTCAGTTTTAATATCCTTGCATGAACTATTGGAATGCAACAGGCAACGCCTTCACGGTGTTTCATTTTAGTATGCACATTTTATACCCTGCATAACCAAGTACTAGGGCAGACGTCATAAAAAAATAAAACGGGTGGTGAAATTGTCCAAAAAACGAATTAAAACCACCACAACTCCTCCCCCATCTCAACAGACCATCTAATAATTTGTCACGCCATGATTCAATTCTATTGTTTTATAACTAGTTCCAGTCCCTCAAGTGGGGCAAACTAGAGAAAAATACATGATGGATAGTGGCCGCTCTACTATGTTTTGGCCGTGAAACATCTCTAGAATAGAGAAAATTACTATAAGAATAAAAATCTGAATTTTGTTGATTAAGAATGGATCTTGTTTGAGCTGCAGAGGAAAATATAAATCTCGATGATATGGGCCGCCATTGTATCTATTACGGTTTTCGCCCCACATGTGTCATGGCGTTGCGAACTCCGAGATTTCTATTAACGATCAGATATCAGTTTCCATAACTGATAACAAATATATCTAGTAACAGAATTAAACCCTTTTCCTGCATCACAATATTGCAAAATTTCAATGGGCTGAGTTACTGCCTAAGATTGGATAATCACTAATATGGATGTTGCTTATTGACTCGCACGTAGACAACGTAGTTATCAAATGATTATCATCTAATATATATTTATATATTTACTAAGAAGAAATTTCTTACGAGTTCCAAGGAGAATCTGCTTGGCTTGCGAGTACGTGGCAAGTTGAGCGGCATTCACGACCATGGCTCGAGCAACTGTTGGAACACAACCCTACAAAATAAAGATATCCTAACTAACACATGATTAATTTATACAAAACCAAATTGCATCCTTAACATTATATGATTCATCACTGCCTTCTTAGAAATTTTAAAATGACTCCATTGAAAAAAAGCAAACATTTTTAGACATAAAAAGCCTTTCGTGCCACACTCCTGAGAGTACTGAACGTCAGAATAAAAATCGAACATGTGAAACTAGATAATGAATATCCAGTTATGGATTGAAATTGGCCGATCAAGAAATATGAAGACCTTTTTTATGACCGCGACCAAAAGCAAAGTGTATATTTTCGATACGTGGATGCCACAAACAAAATTTTCAAAACAGAAACTGAGTGCAATATTGTCCCTGAACCCCTCAAACCATCACCAAATCCTTTAACCAGCCTTTCAGTTGATTTCTTCTAACCCACTCTTAGAAACAATTAGCGTACACATTAACAATTCTCTTCATTTGTTTTTACCAGGGTTCAAATTTCCAAATAAACGCATTACCTCCTAGCAAATGTCAGAGTGATTACCTAGCTGACTGGTTCAACGCCACCGGTACACATTGAAGAGTTGTAGTGAATGGGGTCTGTTTTTTTATATCCTTTACATATTGCATACTAGGGTAAACATTATGTTTAATGCTTTTGATAAAAAAGGTCGCTGCAGTTTAGGAAGTTCTTATTGAAAATTGAAAATATTTGAAAATTTGCTAAAAAATACTATAGAAAAATTTTTCGGCCATTAGCAAAGTGCGCGTTATCACGAAAGCCATAGCATCTTGAGAAAGTGTTTATTCGATATCGCACGCAATCATGTAAACTAATTAAGATTTTCTTTACAATAAACATAATGGTATAGATATAAACAAAGTAGTGGTGTAACAAAAGACAAACTAAACTTACCCTCCACAGTGTGAGAACACCCTCCTCCCGAACAACCCTAATCAATGCATCAAACACATTCTTGTAGCCTCGTTGCTCAGCTGGCGGTAATCTGCATTGTAAAATGGGCAAATGTTATGATCATATTTAACTGACTTGGCAATATTTATAAACGAGGACCCTAGATCTACAAAGTGAATCGAAAATCTGATATTAAAATCAATTACAAGTTCAAACTAGGAATCTTTAGAGGAATATGATTTTTAAACAGACTGGCCTTTTAGGGGTGCAAAGAGAGTGGTACTACCATTATTATTAGAATATTCCCAAAGCTTTTGCAATGGTTAGAAGGTTTTATGGAGACTTTCCAAGGGCAGTAAAAACAAAACCATATTCTATACAGAATGTTTAGACTGTCGAATTCTCGCGAACTTTTAATGGTTCTTAGTGGTATGATCTCTATGGAAATGTATTCCAACGTTTTGGGGGATTTAGCATTCTTGTTATATTTGCGATCAAATATACTATTCAAAATTAAACCGATTTAATTTCACAGGGAAAACAAAGTTTGACATAGAAAGATGGTTACTCAGTAACATATTAAACAGCCCACTCTGCCGAGTAACCTGTTGTGTATGTGAATAAATCTTGTGTCATGATCGCAAGCGTGTACAGCTTTGCCTATACGGCGTCGAACACTTCATCACAGACCGGTAAACACTGATTTACAATAACAAGCCTTTAAAAACTTTAATTCTTACAAAAGAATGCATTATTCCAAAAATACCAAAATAATACCTCAGTGGGATTCTAAAATGCTCTGCTATTTTGTAAAACAACATTTACATATAAACATCTAAACGGTACATTACCTTCCATCTGACGTCATCCTTATCAATGCCAGTTCAGCGGGAGTACCAATAAACGAGCCAACAGCACCAGCAGCCATACCTAGGCCGAAATGTAAGTGATAAACAATTGATTCCATAAATTGGCAGTACAGAGAACAAAAGTACCATTCCTTTCTTCAAAAGGACAGAAAGTCTGAAATTAAATTTCACAATTCGCTGTTCTGCGTTCTATTTTCATTTTCGTCGAGTTATTTTTTAAAACGCGGAGGAAGCGGGGAAATGATGATGTCATAAAATATCTAGTATATTTCGAGGTATTCTATGGCGTTAACTTTCTATGGTATAGTCCATATTATAAAATTTCAAATGGGGTTCTTGTGATGCAATCACTCCTATTCTATTGACAATCAATTTGGGGGTAAAAATATGACAAAAATATGACAGGGTTGAGGTTAAAATTCTGAACCAGAAAATTCAAAAACATGTGATCAGGATTGGTCAGAATTGTATTTCGAATAATCTTTATATAAATATTTTTTGATTTAAATCGTATTTGAGGAAACTTGAAGAAACTTGAGGAGATATTTGAGGAAAACAGTGATGAACTCTCTTGCTTCATTTCTGTCATTTCCGTTTCGGAGTAGAAGGGGGTTGTAAGCATGTCAGTGGACTGGTGTTGAAACTAATTTGACGCGTTAATTTAACGGAAGTGAATGAGTTAAGCAACCAAGCATATACGAGAATGAAAATCACTGTTTACCAGCCTGCCATAATCTGATGTACGCCATATAGACAGAGCTGTTCATACTTTTGGTATAGAATAGGTCGGTTATAAGTTGCTACTCGCAGTTTGAAGGTTAATGCGGTCATCAGGAAACTGCAAGAATATACGAGATAGATATTTTTACATACCTAATCCAAGTTTCTTTACAAATCCTGGTGGTTTGTTATCAGCACTGAAAATAAGTAACAAGAAATGATAATGAATAAATTTTTAATCGATTTCATTTTAGAGCTCAAACATTTTATTATGTTTATATTTTATTTCGAAATTCTTCCTTTGGTTGATTCACATCAGTGGCGGACACTTGGGGGGCGATGGGGGACGACCGCCCCCCAATACTTTGGAGGACAATGGTCTTTTGTTCTAAAACAATGGGAAATGTGACGTCATCTTATTAAAACAATAGGCTTGCCCCCAAATATTTGATCAAGTGTCCGCCCCTGATTCACATCTACACTTAAATATCCTAGAACGAAAATATGTGAAGACGGACACATGTCAACATTTTGTGTCAGCATCAAAGAGACTTTCTTGGTTCTTGAAAACACGATTTTGAAGATGAATCAATGTTGACAGACAATTTCTTGTTGCAAACTCTGAAATGGGATGATTGCAAGAGTTATATCTCTAGCATTTTAAAAATGAAAATATTTTGATAGTTTATTCGCTACAAAAATCCTCAAGGAAAACTGCCAACTCACACTTAAGGCTTAATAAATGCCCCATTGACAATGTGATAATTGAATTTTTATAATGCAGTTATTGGTAACCACATGATACTATTAACAACCTATCATAAAATATCATGGAAAGGCTAGACGAATTCATGAATTCGTATAAAAAATGATACCTTAATTTGCTTTAGTTTATAGTTTATTTCCCTCCACAGGAGGACAGAGCTCACCCTATGTTTGCCAAAAACAAAAAAAACTGGCATAGAAAAGATTCTGTGACAGGGGAGAAAACCTAGATATTATCACCAATACATTTGCAGGGGCTATCAAATTCATGTTCTTAGTTCTGCAGGAGACTAAACTTTGCAGCAGCATAGAGATTTTTATTTTAAAAGGTGCAGCAAAAGAAAAGAAAGAAGATTTTGAAATGAAGGGTTGCTGTACCCCTTGAAGTGTTCCATTAGACTTGTGTAAACTCCAAGTCGTGTTGTTGTGTATGATGCTTGTCTCAACAAGGCAGCTGATAATCTGGAATGAAATTGATTTAATATCATAATTGAAATTTAAAAATCTTATTAAGTAATTTATTTGCCAGTAAAAATGTAATCTAGGAATTTGTGAAAGATATTACTAGAGGGAAATCTAAAAATCTAAAAATCAAATTGATTTAATGTCAGAAAATCAGCAAGCAACCAGGCCATATTTATTTGTTAATGCATGTTTGGGTTCTGGTAGCTAATAGCTGATGTGAGCCGGTGGCTTGTGCCCCCAGGCTGATATTCTAGAACAATACCCTGGGTACTCATTCACAACCCTTGATAGGATGGACAGGAATGATCCTAATGGGACTCACACCCACAATGTATGCAGATCATGAGCCAAACACCTTGACCACTGGTCAACCACTTATAAAAAAGCAGCTAGCTTATAAAATCCATTCCTTCAGTATTAGTTGTTTAGCCAATTTGAAAAATAGTTGTCAAAATATGTCTTATTTGACATGAAAATGTGTCATTTGTATGTACAATGCCTGCCAAAAGTACTTGGAACACCCACCAATTTACGCTGCATTTGATATCTTTCATTCCTTTCATGAAAAAAATTTGCTACTTCCGCCCCCTTCCCCCTCAAACTGGTGGGAAACTGTTCAAATGGCTCAATTTTATCCACCATAACCCTCCCAAAACCATCTACGAATTTAATAGATTTGCTTAGGCTATGATCCTTCGCATTCACATGTGGCAACATGGTAGCGCTCATAGACACCCCATTCCCTATTATTTTCTATCTTCCCTTGTCCCAGTAATTGGAAAATGGTTTGTGCCAATTATAATTGTTCGTTTTCCATTGTTAAAGTATGCTAGGAATTGAAAGAACGCTCCTTTCCTAATGGGCATGTGGTGTAGTATGAAAATGCCTATTGCCAATGGTTACCAACGGTCTACAGCCACGGTCTACAGATTTAAAATGTTCATAAAAATCGTATTTTTCAAAGAAAGTAGACGAAACCTCGTCAGTAGGTGTGCATGGCTAGTATAAAAAATATTGTAGGTTTTCAGATCGATACAAGTTGTAAAACTGAAGAAATTCAGGAAAGTGTCAACGGTCTACACTTTCTGAGAATTGAATTTGAAGTACTCTAGATCTTATTCTCCTTTTGAGTGTAGACCGTGGGATTTTCGTCATATTTTGCCGTTTTCTTCATGGAATTCATACAAAGGTTAATTTTATCTTTGAGGGGTATTATTATACACCTTTTGGGTGAATTTGGGGGCAAACCTCCCCCTGACAAGTCAGAAAATTGCCAAGAAACAGCCACGGTCTACACAACGGTCTACAAGCGTTCATTTCCGAGGGTGTGAGTTGCCTTGCGGGGCCTTGTCCTTCACATCGACGCGCGCTACATTCGATGAAATAAGATATTTTGTTGTGGCAAATGTCACGCAAACAAATACAGCAATCAATTAACGATGAAATAATCTGCCTTGCGCTTTATGAAGATAAATTTAGCAGGTAGAGTCTAACTTAAAGGCCATTTTGGCAATGCAGTAACAGTAGGGAAGAGGGCTTTCTTTGTAGCGCTTCTGGGCCAAGCATTTAGGAGGGCAGGAAGGCGAGTGGATGTCAGTTGTATTTCAGTTCCCTTATCAACCGACATGGAATAGTAGATCAATCAGTTGGGAACTCTGATGTGGGAAACACTGGGTTCCTTTCTACAATTTAGGTATACACTCTGAAATTTGTCATTTGGGCACTGAATTGCACAACAAGGGCCTATATGAATGACAACTTGTAAATCCGTTATAAAAGGAGAGCAGCTACCCGACATAATTCTCAAATACGACCTTATCTTTAATTAGAAACATGAAACAGAGGAATCGATGTCACTTTTATAAAATTGCATCCTTTCCATTTTTAGATTATTTTCGAACTGCCACTCATATTTGTCTCCTTCATCTATCCCATTATTTCTTAGACAGCCATCTGGCTACGAGCCTTTGAAAAGATTCAAAATACAATCTTGATCCTATTTATTGGAAATCGACTTTGATTTTAGCAATTTTTACCTTAATTGAAATATGGCATTTAGTTTTATAAGAGTAGCTTACCCCCACCCCCGAAAAAAGACAATACCCCCATATCTCCTTATCGGTAACACGTACGATGTTGAAAATGGCAGAAATGGAATCAGCACCATCAAAAACCTATAAGAGGATATTGGTTTTGGTGGAATATCTAATAAGCTTCAAAATGAAATTCAGACAATGCCTGCCAAAAGTACTTGGAACACCCACCAATTTACGCTGCATTTGATATCTTTCATTCCTTTCATGAAAAAAATTTGCTACTTCCGCCCCCTTCCCCCTCAAACAATGTTGATGATTTAGAGAAATATCATAAAAGAAGCGCAAAAGAAAGTGCTTCCTAAAATCCTAACCCGTTTGATAGTAAACCAACATTGTTCTGTGGGGGAGAGGGGGATGATTGGTTTTGAACTTGGAAATTGATGTCAGTGTTCCAAGACTTTTGGGAGGCATTGTACTAGCAATTCCAGGTGTTTCCAGCCTTTTTTGACAAATGTGTGAAAATATAATCAGAAAAATTGAATCATCATTTTGCCAATCATTTCTAAAAAAGACTTGGGAAAAAGAAGAATGTTGTTCCACTTTATCTAACTTCTTGACAAAACAAAAAGTTTGAGGCTAAAGAATTTTTAAGTTTGAGATATAATTACCCATTGTAGACTCCAAAAACTCCTTCAGCCTTGATAATGTTGTAAACTGCATGGAATGATGTCTTGTGTGTCTTGGATGTCCCACCAACACCTATAGCAAGGAACAGAGGAAAAGCAATTACAGTTTTCTTTATGGTTGAAACATGGAAACATGGAATTATTGTTCTTTCAATTTAACTGGGCTACGGTTGGCTGAACTGGCATAGGTATTTCATTTCTGTTTGCAACCAAAAGTTTTGCATGGAATATAAATCCAAAGTTTTTTTCATCTTTAAATTGATCATTGGAATGAAAGTAGCAAATTTTGATTTTACGTTCTTGCTGATCAATTACGAAATTGAAAATCTAAAATAGTGCCTAAAAATAAGGAAAGGATAAAATATTTACAAGTCATAGATAGATATAATATAAAACAGATAACTGAACATCATTTGCTAATGTCAAAGTTTTGCAACATATTTGGATATAGAAAGCATTTTTCTTTTTGTCTCTGCTTTCCACACATTGGACCGAATTTTGTGGCTTTTGACAGATCTCAAAGCTTTTAAGTCTATTTCAAGCGTCATTCACCACTAAAATCGCCCTTGCCATCGCCCTCTGCATCGCCCTCGCCAAATTATTGAAGCAGGCTATTGACCACCTTTGCAAAAACATGTATCGCCCGCAGGATTTCTCGGATTCACATCAAAGTCCATTTTTCCATAAACCTTGATCACCCCCACATCAAACGAAGGTTACTCACAAGCGGGAACAACAAATAATGATAATAAGAGACAATGATAATGGAAAAAAATGCTATAATAAAAAGAGCTGTTGATATTTATTTGCAGGAAAAAACGTAAGACTGTTATAAAGGAGCCTCCCAGTAAGAGACAAGTAAGAATATGAAAACATAGATAATGCAATCAGGGAGGATTAGGGAGAGAATTTTCCAACCGAGTTGGAACCTATGAGATTCATCACTGAAGAAGAACATTAAAAAGTTGAACTCCTAGATGATGGTTTTGATTGATTTCAAGCTTTATTTTATGTTTTTACTTAGCTGGTCAAACTTAACATATTTTCTTTTCACCCATTCCTTAAAGTTAGGGTATTCCTGAATTAAGGGTCAAGGTTTAAATAAAAAAAAGCATCATTTCCTCATTGTTGACATTATAAATCATTACATCAAGTATTTTGCTACAAACTGGCAGTAATCACACATTTAGAAAATCAAAGGTTAGGTATTAGTGGTTAGATAATAACCTTATTCCTCCTCAGGGCCTGAAGGACTTCATTTAACAAATAGTGTTGGATGGGTGATCGCCCTTGTAAGCTGATCTATGCGGGCAGTTTGTCCTTGCAAAAAAGTTTTCACGAAAAGGCCTGGTCATCATTCCATATTTCAACATATTTATACAATTTGATTATGGTATTTTTTAATATAAACAATTAGCTAAGATTAATACCACTCATCTGCATCCTTGTTTTGACAAGATCCAATGGCTGCACAAAGCATGTCGCCAACATCCTAGAGCAAATGCCTAGATTAAAACATCTACATGTTCACAGTTTAAAGATACTTATGCTAAAATATATTTATATCGAATATATTAAGGTGTGGATTGAAATTAACATGATCAGGGAAGAAACAAATGTTTGATTTGTTATCTTGTTTTACAAAACAGCAACTTCTGACCTCTCCTGATTGAAGAGTCCAAAGGAGAAATTGAACATTTTCTTTCTATACAAGCTGGGATCCTTTGTTTTGATGCAAACAGATTCTAAAACTCCTAAATTAAAAGATGACTTTGCCTGTCCATAATTTTGATATTGTTGTCACTACATGTTTTGGGACACTCTGGATTTGTGGGCAAATGTTGACCAACGGCCGAATCATATTTTACATGGGCACTTTGGCTTTTGCAAAAATAAACATTTATTCTCTCTTCAGAACTGTTTTTGCCTGATGCTTGCAGGAACCTTTTTGGTAAAAATTCATGCAAAACGTTTGCAGCAAAGGCTTTCAAATGGAGTGAGAAGTCAAAAGTTTTGATGGTGGAACATTTGTTGGGAACATTATAATGTAAACAAACATTGTGAGTGGAAACTAAGGCAGATTCTGCAAGATAAAAATTATTATGCAGGGAATGCGTTCCGTGTGAAGACCAAACCTAAAAGTCTAGTTCGCTAGACTTCTTGTATATCAGCCATTTTTAAAGTCTGTCCTGCAAGCCAACTCCTGCCCGCAGCAGAATTTCAGCCAGCCTGCTGAATGCTTTTTACCTAAAAAATATGTTTTGCCATAATTTTCAAAATTTGGAATTTGATTTATCTTTGGATTTCTTTTGTCCCCTCTGATATTTTTCTTTCTTTCTGTAGTAAATTTTAAATGCGTTCCATGGACAGTTATTTGTCCACAAGAGAGTACCGAAATAGGGAATGATTTACTTAATCGATTGATCGTTTTATAGCGTTTAATTAAATGTTTTTTAATTCATTTCTTTTCTCCATTTTACATGCTGTTATGCTAAGATTACTCTAAAACCTTGCAAGACTTTTCCTTGTTCATGTCAACAGATAAAACTATGGAGCCTAGTTATGTTAACCTTAAGAATATTGCCTTGAATTTTTTCCCATTAAAATCTATTTGAAGTGCTGTTTATGGCCATTTCTAGATTAATTTAACCTAAATTTTTACTAAAAACATCCATAAACATAAGATTTTGATCTTTCTTTAAAATACGCTGTGCAGTCCCTCGACCTGACTTCAGGCACTTCAAATCGACCCAACAAGAGACTAGGCCTAATGAAAATTAACATTCTAGCCCAAAAATAGCATAGAACGATCTTCTGACTCAGCCTGGTACAAGAAAAATAAAATTACAAACCTTTGTGAAAACCATTATTTTGATTTATGCTAAGGTAGGTAAGGTAGGTAAAATAGGCGAGGCACGAAATAAAAGGACTGCTAAGACTAACTTAGCCTGGTAAGAATAAGATCTGAGTTTCATTTTGAACAGCTTTTTAACACAAGGTATGTAAAAATTGAAAACCAAGTGGCCCCCGAAGAAAATCTATATGTTTTTCTGGCCAAGCACTTAAAATAAAATTATATATTTGCCACTGAATAATTATAAAGAAACCCCTGATGTATATATTTGCTTTCATTTACACCATCACTCCAAATAAATATTTGCCTGACATGCATATTAATGTTAGACTCTTGCGTTATAAATTGCAATTTCAAAATAAATTCCAACAAATTTCAAACCCTGCAGTCATATACATGTAGCATGCATATAATTCCACACTTTTCTGTGGGAGGGGATTTCCAAAGACCGAGCCGGTGCGGCCTAAAATGAAGAACTGCATATGCAAACTAGATAATTATCATACCCTGCACATCCTCCCATTACAAATCTCATGTAGTTTGGAATCTTTTTCTGTTCTGCTGCTGCCATTTTGAGGAACTTGGATGTCTTTGAGGGACCTGTCCTTACGAGAGATGTGCTGCCATTGGTTTGGTTGTTGGAGAGGATGATGACCTTATCGATAGTTTGTTTCCCTGTAGCTTAACATGCAATTCAATTCGGCACAGGCAAATAAAACGATATAACTTTTGGAGAAAGGGTGTGAGGGACAAATACACGTACTTTTTATAGGAAACTAAGGTCCAGAGCTGGTAGGCAGTTTCCGAAACTTGCATTTTTAAGATCAACATTGAGCAATGATACTTCCCTGATAAAATGAAGCAAGTTTTTAATGGAAACTTCTAGAGTGCCAAGGGTAATGTTACAGTATACAATGGTATTCTATGTCCAATCTGTTTTGAGTGACTGGGAAAATTAAAACTGCAAATAACAAAAGTTTCTTAGCTTTTGAATTTAAGATAGGGCTGTCTCTTAACTTTCGATAAATTGAGAATACTGCTTCTTATGAAGAAATATATGTAATTCTATGAAGTGTCACAAGCGCTTTCAAAGGTCACAACCATTTAAATAATTTGGAAGTCAAACATTTAACCTATGTCTCATAATTTTAGCAAACTACTTGAAGATACCTATTCTAGGACGTGAAAACTGAAGTGTTGTCAAATATAGAATTACCATGTATATTTTCAGATAAATTATTTGTAGGCAAATGATCAGTTTTTGGATCTCATTTAAGGACATGTATCATGTTTTCAGAACTTAACGCCAGGTCAGGTATCGTGATACTATAATAGAACTAAGATAGTTTAACTAAAACCCCTCGAATTACCTCCCTGTGGAACAGGCTCCTGTCGAAAAAACCGTTTTTTCGTATTGCAACATTCTTTCCTAGCATCCGAAGGTAGCTTTTAGGAAACTGAGAAACTATGCTTTTCGAGCAGTGTCCTGGTCCCTCCTCTCGATGAGACCAGACCTCGTCATTCCTACGCCTTGAATTGCAGACAGCTGCCCATTTCTCTCACTCTGGGTGAAAGTTTGGTCATGTCAGGGACTCGAACAACAGACCCCTGGATCTATAGACCGCGACCCGAACTATATAGCCATTATGTTTAAGATGACAATTTTTTAATGTAATAAAACACCCACATGTTTAGTTTAAGTTACCTATGACAGTTGATTTTGCATTTATTTTGGTATGAAGCAGAAAGTTTTTGCGCGGAAATCTTTTGTCGCAAAATTCTCGAAAACGCATTCCGAAAGTTTGACGAAACTTTTTCATCCGAAAGTTTAAGTCAAATTTGTTACAAATATTAAACAAACAATATATCGTTCTTTCATTCAGTTTCATGAAAATTCTTTATGATTGTTCTCCTTTCGGAATTTGCTATTTTTCGAAGGACATTGATACTCCTTTGAGCAGGAAGGACTAACGAAAAGAAACTTTTTACAAAGAGAATATTTAAATGCAAACCTTGATTTAGATTTTAATCAAAGTTTGTATCTAAAATTCAAACTAGCAATATCGTTTATTTTGGTTCCTTTGAAAGTAGAGTGCTAGCTGTGCCAATATGACAAATTGCGAAAAATCTTGGTGTAAAAGTGCTGCAGAATTTTTACAGTTTTTTTTAAATCCTTGGCGTAATATAGAGGAGAAATTGACAGTTTTGAGACTCTGCTATTATGAGCTGAAATAAGTGCTAAGCGATTTTGAAGATCTTATTAAATTTATCGAGTTTTACTCAGTTCTATCTTTGATACCGTTTCATGGCTGTTCACTAGGTTTCAGTTTCCTTCAGCTTGTAGCACACCGAGTGCATCTCACCCGCCCTGGCAGAGCAGAGAGACTGGTTTGTAAATTATTTGGCAAGGCGAAATCACAACCTATCGAGAATGCAAGGCAATAAAACTTATTTCAAAGATCTTTAATGATGTCAATATTGAGTTTTTATTCCTCTCGAGTTTGATCTGTCAGGGACCCCGATGCAAGTTGGAAAGAAAGGGGCCACGGGCAATCAAAAGACCCGTAGCAAAAGAGTTTTCAAAATAGCTCCATTGTTTTGCAAAAAGAGCCCTGGAGTACTTTCTGCATCGTTCTGCATCCAGGAAACATAGAGAGCATATGGCTCGAATGCTATAAGACGTTTTCTAGTTTTCCTTTTCAGCCAAGCTAATTTTTAAATATTTGTTATTTATTTCCTGTAGCCCTAGGTAACTTTACCTAATTTCGTCATTCTGTATACCATGTCTATATTTTGATGTTTGGAATAAATGTGGGATGAAGTAATGTTGAAGCTAATTAAACTTTTCCACATAAGACAGTGTCTAGACAAAATTATACTTGTTTTTGTTGCAGAAACACAGACTAAATGCTGTCTATACTTACTTCTGACGTAACCATTGATTGGGCCACTTAGAATCTGTTATGAAGTCAGTTAGCAAGACAAAAACCTACTAAAAGGATGTTTTAATCAACTCTGTTATCTTGTTACTGTCTGTTTGTCTTAATTGGGTTTTTAATTCTGGCAATTTACAGCTTAAAGAAGTAAAGGGCAAAAGTAAAGAAGTCTGCTCAATGTCTGATTGGCATATATTAAAAAGAAACTACCAACAAATGTCTGAAAGTAATGATAGATCAATCCTCTTAGCTTCTTTTGGGTGACCAAAGATTACGACTGTTTATGAAATATCAATACTTAGAGTCATGTCACAGACAAGAATGAATGCTCTTTGTATTTTGTTTCTATTGGATCTCCCTCTGGTACCTCTCTGGCAGCAATGCGAGGCTATAGCTCAGAACGTCATCACTCTTTATGCTGATAATCTATCTGTGTAATGGCAACAGTAGCAGCGAAACAGGGCTCCAGCCAGGGCAATGCCCCGGGGCCCATGCTCAAAATAAAGGTATATTATTCTTTGTTAACGATTATGCATCATCCAGCTAAGACTTTCTCGTGTAACGGCCCATAAAGGCTTGAAGTTAGATATCAAAATAATTGAAATTTTTTGTGTCTTCTTTATGTTTATAGCCTCTTTTTGATTGTCTCGAACTCAGGCTAGTTAATTGGGTCCATCAAAACGAAAAGGAATGACTAACTGAATGACTTGGCTGTGCTGAAGTATTGAAAGTGATTTAGCTAAAAATATTGACTTAAGTAATGTTATCGACGCTGTAAAAGTTTTGTAAATTAATACCGACAATTTGAACAAAATATATTTGAGAGAGAAGGGCTCAGAAGTTGACTCACTTATGGGCACGTAGCTAATTTTTTTAACATTTTTTGTAATACCGCATTGATACCTATATTGTATAAATAGAGCCCCAGAACAAAGTTTCCCGTGAAAGATTTAAAAAAGATGTAAAAGATGAATTTTTTAACCACACTACAAAGCAAGGTAAAAAACCCATTTTAACCTTCAACTTCAGGACAAGAGTGTTTCCAGGAACAAAAAGAGGGCGCGGCCCAAAAATTTGTTGCGTCCATTGCGCAAATTTGGGACCCGTCAAGGATTTGCCCGGGGCCCGTCCCGCCTAGGTGTGGCCTTGAATGGCAATCTCAAGAGTCATCAATGACCATTTACATCTAAACACTATTGTTAAAATTTGTCTGAGAACTGATGCACCAGCCAAAAGAAAACGTTGTCATAGTTACAAATGACTGTAGAGGAGCACAAAGAGCTCCTTCCCAGAGTCTAATGAGTAAATATTTCACCCTTTTCTTGAACTTCTGGCTTTGACAACAAAACATTCTACATAGCGTTTTCTATGTGCTAACTGGAGCCAGTACCCTTATCCGCTTGTTGTCAATCACTATTACCTTGAATAAACAAAAAGGGGCCTAAAGCCAATCCTTGAAGATGTCCAATATCGTCACACTGATATAAAACATTATTCTTTCACAATGCGAGGAAACGGGAGTTTGGAGACAATGCAGACAAAATTAAGTCCATATTTCCATGATTCCACTCTCAAGTCACTATGAATCTACTCCAAAAACATTACGCGTGCTTTAAATAAGATTCCAATTATTATAAACTATATTTAGTAACAAAAACTTTCTAATCTTTGTTATATAATCAATACTGAATTTTATATAATTACACAATTACACAAGGACTCAGTCTAATTCAAAATTGACATTTGACAGATACTGGAGTTAATGTACGTCACTGAACATGAATAAAACAGGCCAATCTGAAGATTACAGGTGCATGCTGTTTACTTAGATCAATAAGTGATATATTCATTTTTACTTAAAATTGCTGGGGAAGTCAATTACAAAAAGCTTCTTTAAAATCAATGCTTGTTAAATTTTGAAAATCCTATGTTCTTCAAAATCCAGGGAAGTGGGAGTAATTCTCAAGCAAAGTTACTTCTCAATGTTTTAATATGCCACAAAATGTGGTTATTATATCATCAACCTATCAGAAAAAACCAGCCTATAGTTCTAACCAGGAGGCCACTTGAACTTTATCTTTAGTAAACTAGGATACTTTCTATTTTCGAAGCTGATTTAATGCTCCAAAGTTTTCATCCCACCCTCTCGTCAATCCTAACTTGTATTTAAATACTCTACATACAAAATCAACTAAAAATTTCAAACACAACATAAAAAAGGTATTCTATACTCAGGTGTTCTAAAGGTATTCTATTTCAAATAAATGGTATCTAACAATATTGTGATGAGTAAATAAAATTTGCCACGACAAGTGTTGATAATAATATACACGCCGTTAAGTCTGACATATCAATCAATAAATAAATTTAAAGAAAAGTTTTCATTTCTTAATTTTCCCGGTTTTAGTGAGCTTCCTGTGTATACACAGCTTTTTGACTTAAAGCCGGTGATTTTTTTAATAGTTCACAGGCGAAAAAGTCGTCCACACAGACAAAGATTGTCATTAAAACTTAGAAATTTCAAGACATTTTGAGCATATAAGGCATTGAATCTTTAATAATTTTCAAAAGTTTTGATGGGTAGCGATCTAAACCATGAAATGTTTGTTCTTCAAAGTCAAAAATATTTGTTTGATGATGATTGACTATGTTTTGCCCGGACTTTATGGTGCCGGCTGTACTAGAATGGTTATACCAAATTGTTAAAAAAAAAATTCACCGAGGTGAAAATATCCAGCGATCCGATTAGCTATTAGGTATGCATTTGGCTAAACCGCCAATCACAACACTGGATGTTAGAAAGAAGTAATACTGTTTAATAAGTCTTAAGATCTCAAAAATACAGAAATTATTCATATTCACAGTTTGCCTTCGTTGTGCGGCAGACGAGTCAATTGATACTAGGTTCTATTTTATCAAGACTATCGCCAAAAAACAAAGAGCTAGCTAGCTAAGTCTGCAAAAAACTAGCTTTAAAAACAACTCCTATAACATAAAATTCAATCAAATATTTCATGAAATAAAAAGTAATTAAAGAAACAGCAAACCTATGAGTATGATCATGCATTTAAAAACTTTAACAAAAACAAAAAAAACAAAAATTGTTTACTTTAAGACAATAATTGTAAACAAAATTTAAGACATTCTTGATACAATATGACTTGGTTAAGGCAAAACATTCCAAGGATTGCATAATAGCAATGAAAATGTTCTGCATTTGTGTCGATTGTGAAGCAACTGAAAATGCTTTGGTGACTGGTTTTTCTATAATGCAAGAAGCTCGTGAATTTTCCTTTCAGGAGAGAGTCGAATTCTGAGGATTACCTTTCCAGGGGATCTCCTGTGTTAACGAAACTTTGTCTAACAATTTGTTATCGTGTATCACAATATCACTGTTTGTGTGACCTCGACGTGAGAGTTCTTGGAACATCTACGATATTGAAATTTAAAACTGGCCTAAGCTGGAACACTATTTACTTTTAGTATAAGAGAAACATTCAAATTATCAGGCAATAGTCTGTATCTATTAAATATTTGTTATCCTGAACAATTTAAAAAGGTTCTGAACCTAAGATTACAAAGAACATGCTAGTCATTGATAGTTCAATGGACGTGTAAAATCTACAAGTTCAAGCCAAACAAAATCAGAAATCCAAAATTCAGCTTTACTAGGTAGGTACTCCTGATGACTGGAAATCAGCGCTGCCATTTGGCATCAACGGCCCAGACTCAATCGTCTCAAGTGGGTGTTCCTCTACTGTACCATCAGCGGCATCTACCAACTTCTCTCCGGCAAACATTCGTTTCATCTTCTCCCCAGTAACATTTATAACTTGCAGCTCCACGTTATTCAAAGAACAGTCAGCCATAATTTCAGTAAGACCATGAATAACAGTGTAATCAACTTCGAGCATGTTTTCACAGTCAATCACCACAGCATCGATGAAACTTCCTTCTTTGTCCAACTTCCTAGAAATCTGGCCTGCAATCGATTCAATTCCTGGAAACCAAACGCCACCTTGTAGCTTGATAACCAACTTCCTGCTTTCTTTGTTTAATTGGACATCCAGCCTTGGGTTGAACTCTCTGTACATAACAACAGCAAGTGACAAGCAAACCCCGATTAAAATGCCAATCTCAATTTCGTAGATGCAGCCAAAAAACGTTAAAACCCAGATTGCAAGATCTATCTTGTTCAAACGCCAAAGCTTGATTGCTAGCTGATAGTCAAAAAGGCTTATCACGGCAGCGATTACGATCGCAGATAAAGATGCCATCGGAGCAAACCTGATGACAGGTCCAAGGAATTCTATAGCCATGATCACCACCAGACTGGTAAGCACACCTGAAGAAGTAAAATCACAGAGTTTAGACAAGTGCCTATCTTCTCTCCGGACAACCTCCTCCAACTCTTAAAATTTTCCTCAGAAAACAATAAAAAACTAGACGGACTGTTGGTGTGGGACTCAAGATTCCTAAATTTAAATAAGCCTTCGTCGCGTTCATTGATCGTGTAATAGCCATGTCTACTGGGCTCGAAAACATTTCCTCAGCTTAATATCTAACTTTATCAAAAACTAGATAACTTTTCAACAAAAGTTCATCCAATCCCTTGAGGGGGAATATTGCTTGAAGAACTCATGAAAAGGAGTTTTAGTCCTTCTGAATTTGCCAGCAGTCAACAAATACAAAGAATATGTCACCGTTGTTTCTAAAGAAAGCTTTGAGCGATGCCATAAATAAGAAATCTTGAATGCAAATGCGGTGATTGGAAACCTTATGTGAAGTAAACAAAAAAGTATGGCAACTTAATTAGGACCGACCTATATAATCTACTTTTTGGTACAAAGATAAATTATATATCATAACTCGTCTTCTCAAGCACTAACACCACACTTTTTTGCTCGAGGCTCAATGTTCTCGATTTTAAGATAATTTGAGGGTTGCGTGTTCCCCACATTATACTTATTTCAGTGTTGTTATCTCAGTGTATATATTTACTTATCTTATCTACAACATTACACAACAGTGTTGTATGACTTCTTTAGTGGCACGATTGTTTAGCCTATAAAATTTGCTCTGTTTCACTAAAATGAGAGTACATTTTCAAACACACATAGCTTTTATCTTCTTATTTCTGGCCGTGCTTTTATGATGTCTATTTTCTTGGCAACCGAGCTTCGATATTCTTATGAAGAATGTTTTTAAAAACGTAGCAATTAACTGCAGTTATTTCCACCAATTTACCAGCCCTTACTGATCAAAGAAACACATATTTCTATGCAAAGCTGCTTGTCTCTAGATCCGGGGGATAGGATGTTCAAAAAATTGACGTACTACAATCCGTTTTCGTGCAAACAGAGTATAAACCAATTATTTCGCTTTTCTATCTCGAGGATGAATGAATGATGGATAAGTTTATTTATGGGTTTTCTGAGAAGTGCTCATACATTCTAAACCCTTTGAACTCGCTACACGATACTTTCTTTCCTTGATCTAGTGACCAGATTATATATTCTTAACCCCTTGACCTCGCTAAGCGATACATTGTACCCTTAGAGTCGCGACCAAATTATACAGTGGTAGCACATTTGCTGTCACGAGGTTGTAAGGTAGGTTGTGTGATAAAAGATTTCAGGAAAATTCCAAGTCAAAGTCCAGGGAATGTGGCAATCGTACAACAGAAGGCTGTGTTCAAGGCGACAGAAAACACAAGAGCTTCAGTGAACACACCAAAGCCATGCCATATTTTCATTGTTCTTTTAGTTTTTAAATAGTTGTTTGATTCGTCGAAAAAAGTAACTTTCTTGACTGTATTTGTTGGGGAGATTATGCCTATGTTCTATGCCTAGATTCCCGTTGTTAAGGGCTGTTAGTCTATCCATTTGTCTGAACCAAATAGAAAAGTGCATCATATGTATCTGCGTATTTGGGCAAAGTTTTGCGGAAAAACGAGTTATTTGTCAAGTGGTTTGAGTTTCCCATGGCTTATTTTTCACATGAGACACAACACACAACAGATTGTGCAAAACTACTTCCTCCTTTGCAAGAAGCTTGCCAAAATAACGCCATATTTCATACATTACAACTGCATATGTGCATACAGTGCAAACTTTTCCAGGTCAAGGAACCTCGAACAAATGCTGGCTGGCCTTCCAAACAATTACCGTAATGCCTCGAATAAGCGCCCGGGCGCATAATTAATTTTTGAGACTCCAGGATGGGCACTTATTCGAGAGAGGCGCTTAATCGAGGGAGGCGCTTATTCAAAAAGTAGATTTGGGTGCAAATTTAGCTGTTTATTAATCTTTCTTGTTGAATTGCCTTCCAATTATGTTTTCGTTAAAAATTCGAATAAGCGCCGCTTCTAAAGGTTTAAGGATGGGCGCTTATTCGCGGGGTGGGCGCTTATTCGAAGGGGGTGCTTATTCAATAACTTTACCTCTAGGGTGGGCACTTATTCGAGGGGGCTCTTATTTGAGGGGGAGGGCACTTGTTCGAGGCGTTACGGTATGTCATTTGGCATGTGAATCAAAAGCTTGGTCATTTAAAAATATCTAGTTTGTTGCTTGCTATAAATACCTGCAAGTGGAGTCCTGGATCCACTACTGCTGTTGACAGCAGACCTTGAGAAACTTGCCGTCATCGGAATGGAATTGAAAAAAGAACCAAAAACATTTCCTAGGCCAAGTGCGAAGATCTCTTGAAAAGTATCTATTTTGTACTTGTTCAATCTACCAAGTGCTTTCGATGCAGCCACACTTTGCAACACGATAATCAGTGGGAGAACACCGATCCCCGATCCGAACCCTGTAATCAGCTGCTCCACTGTCAGGGTTTTGTTGGCGCTGATTTCGATTGACTTCAACGGCATCTGCAATAAAACGAGAACCAGCATTTAAAATCTTAGGTGAATTACTCGACATTGTTCATTGTTAAAGGCAAAGTGTCCATATTAGAAATAGCAGTTTCATGCACGATCGTGATCATTTTTGAAGAACTAGAAAATACCTTAATGTGTTAGACAGTTGCTGCTTATAATTTTAGGAATTTTTGTTTTTGCAAACTTATAAGGCCAAACCACTGAAAATGTGTAAAAAGAAGATGCAATGACTTATTCATTGTTACTTAAAAAACTATAATTCTAAATAATCTTTTGGAAAATTTTTATTGGGATTGTCTCCAGGTAGAAAGTGTACAGCAACTGAAAACAAGGTTTTCTTTCATGCTGTGCCTCCAAAGAAGCATGGAAAATTAAAATGGTGTTAAAAAAGCCTGTCCTCAGGGCAAGGATACCTTGAAGGGCGGTAGACCTTTTGGCAAGTTGCCGACCGACATGAAAAGATGGCCTAAACCGTGCTCGTGGAGGGCATAAGAAACTAAGATTGCCAGCGTTGCCACAAACGCATTCCTTCCAATTCCAATGACCCGAGCGACCTTGATGAGTGCTCTTCTCAATTTAGTTGTATCCGGGCCAGTTTCCCATTTGTGCTTGGCTGCTTTCTGTAGCACCAAGAGGAGCACGAAGCTGATAATGCCTATCGTTGCATCTCCTGGCCGCGTGTGCTTTATGTTCGTAAATAAATGTTCAATCTTCAGGAATACTTTCCGCGGCGATCGACTTAAGCCGAAGAAATACCGCAGCTGGCTCACGGAGATGATAATCGACGACGCAGAAACGAAGCCACTGATCACCGGAAACGACAAGAAACGAACGACGAATCCAAGGCGACAGACCGCGACAAGTATCATAACGATGCCAACGACAAAGGTCAAGGCAGCGATGATTTCTGGATGCACATCGTTCGATATGGAGTAACGATTCGCGAGCAAGGCTGTTATAACTGTAGTACCGATGCTTACATCCTTGGATGTGCCCAAAAATAAGTATATAAACATGGCAGGAAAAGATGAATAAAGGCCATACTGCGGTTTCAATCCTGCAATAACTGCATGGGCAAGCGACTGGGGTATGATCATTAGTCCCACAGCAATACCAGCCACCAAATCTCCTTGAAGTTTCTGCAGGGTATAGCGTGGCAACCAATCTGTAATTGGGAGCAGACGTTTCATTTTTCTGGCAGAGATTTTAGGCCGTAGCCTGCAGAATTTACCCATATTCTGCATGATTTCAGTCATGTGCTAGATGAAACCAATGTTACTGAACTTTTATCTCCAGCTAATTGCAATGCTTCGTTTTGGAAAGAGATGTCCAGGAAAACCTTCAAAATAATAAGACAAAATTAGATATAACAAATTCTTAATGTTTCAGGTGGAAAAACTTACTGTTATAACGGTATAGGTGGTACTAGATATGACGCGCCTGGGTGTAATGGACAACATCACAGGAAATGAATTGCTTTCCTATTCTGTGATAACACTGTTGCCTCTCGCCACAGTGGGCAGGCGCGTACCGCCTTGGAGGGTGAAAATTCTCTAAAGAATGTGAGCTTAGTTAAAATTACAGACGTACTCGTAGCAAAATTGCGTTCTTGATGGTACACTCCATTTTTATAAGAACCAGTAAATTAAAGTCCAGGCTGACTGTTCCAAATTTTTTCGAAAATCTGAGGCTGCATTGTCCTTATTTTGTTCTTAAATTAATAGGGTGTAAGCAGCGCAATTGCTAGCTTTTTCGCTCCAGGGGGGTATCCAGGCCTCATTTGCTAACAAATTGTGTGCGACAACCTTCATTTGCCGACTTCAAGTTTGAATATTCACCGAAAAAGCATCCACACATAATAGGCATTATACAGAAGCTCAGCCTCCGCTTGTTGTTGCCGCACACTTGCGACCTTTTTTGCGCTGGCCTACTTTTTGCACTCGATTTCATAACGAGCATCGATTGAAAAATAAAAATTCACTGTTACGATTTTTTATATCATATGTGCATGTATGTTATCAGGAATTATCGGCATTGGAAAACTTAAAAAGAAACAAGAAAAAATATTAGCAGACTTAATTATACTTTCAGGAAGATGGCGAAGTAGATTAAAAAGGACCGTGTGTGCTTGTTTCGGATTAGTCTAAGAACATTGCTACGACCTTTATCTTGGCAAATTTTACAACAATCAACTGTTCCATGTGACCTGAATACACTTTATGATTGGCTAATAACCAAAATTTGTCTTTGTGCCCTGCACAATTGCGATATCTTGTTTTTCGCCACTGTCGACAAAAATATTTTAACATAAAGGATTAAAAATTGTGCCACCTTAAAGATTTCTACCTTAACCCCTCCCCCAAGGGTATATTGGCTGGTGCTGCCCCTGTTCAGGTTCTGGGGTGCCCCATCTCAAATAAATCACTGTCTACTATGAGAAACCAAAACCACAGCACTTTTTTTAGGTTTCTGGATCTTCTATGAATAAGATACGCTATTTAATGTATAATTGAGAGGAATAATTTTCAGGCAATGCCCAGTTAGAAATGCCTAACTCGGTGTTCAAAATTTCTAACCAGGTACTAAATTTTCTTGCCAAAAGCAATCTATTTTTGATGATGTGAGCTCCTTAATAATTTTCAAACTTCTAGATTAACTCTGTATCCAGTTTTCATAATTCATTATTTTAAATGTTAATTATAATTCAAAGCCTAACCATCTAAAAGTGTTTGACAGCAAAAATCCATCTGGTTTATATAAAATTTAATCCACAAAATAGATTGTTAAAAACTATCCATCTACACTAGACCTTCTGACTTAAACATTTACATTTTCCATTACCATTTAAGCCTCTGATGCTGAAAAATCTCAAAATAGTTTGATGGAATGCAAACATAGCACCTTACACTAAAACACTTTTTGTCTGACATTACTTAAAATGCTAGTGAGTAAGAATTTATATCTAGAAGAAGAATGGCATGTTTGATTGGTTCTTTGTTTTGACAAGCTGTTAAACATGTCCCCTGGGAGAGTCCAAGAGACAACTTTTCATGGGCTCTGAAACAGGTTGGAAAGTGGGGAGGGGGGGCAAGGGAAACTTTAGCAGCCATGCCTAAGATTTTGAATAAAGCTCTATTGTTTTTGGAAAAAGTGGGGGGCCATGCTTCCCCTCCGTTGGAGGCCCTTCTTTTGTCTAACATAAATGAGGAGCTCTTTGCCTTTATTTTGACAGATTTTGAAAACCCTGATAGAAAACTCATAGGTAATTGACTTTTAAACTCCTTGGTCATTTCATTGCTAACAAAGAAGTTCATCAACATGGTGGATTTATCTTTCAATCATCATTTAACTGTGTATAATATTTTGATTGATATTTCATTCTAATTACATATAAAAGTTAAGCTTCTCTGATTTACATGAACACAAACAAAGATTTATCACTGAAAAATTTAAAAATAAACTTTTATTAATTATGAAAAATTTAACATTAAAAATATTATCTGGTCACCAAAATAAAAGTAATAAGTTTTTTACAGTAGTAATCAATCAAAATAGTTATTATCTATAAGAGTAACAAAAAGTCTTGCATAGACCTCTACAAAGAAGCAATAACCAAATAAACCTCTGGTATTTGGACATAGAAGCAGAAACAAAAGCAATATCACATTGAATCTTTAAGAAGTTCTTTGTGGAAGGTATCAGAAGATTTTCAATGACCCTTCTTTGTCTGTTATTGAAACTTTAATGCATGACAGAGCAATCAATAAAGGCCTGTAAATTGTCCCAAATAAGTTAAGTACTAAAACATCAGGAAATAAAAAGAAAACTATTTGATGTAAAAGGATAAAGCAGAGGATTTTGGAAGAAACAGAACGCTTTGCTTCTTAGCTAAGTAAGAATAAATGCGCAAAAGTTGAACATTTTTTTTTTGCAATAAAACTTACTGTTTTACTAGTCTGGAATATAGTTCCTGATAAGGTACAGGCAGAGCTGTATAGGCTTGAAAATACATTTTTCTTGTGTTATCGAGCTTTAAAAAACCTATCTAATTTAGGGCCACAAGCTCCAACGAGTTAATAAGGCTGTGGGTCTGAAATCCCAACCTGTTGACTGACAGTGGATTAGGGGAAGAATAATTCAAACCAGCTATTCTTTTTCAAGGAGTGTGGGCCCATCAACATCTCCTTCATTGTTTTTTCAAAAAAGGTTATAATAAGGGATTGTGATTCAAACCACAAATGTTGAGTGCTTTTCAACCATAGATGAATGAGATTAAGGCTTGAGAAAAGTCTAGAGGGAAAGGGAATGGAAAAAGATAACTCTTGTCTGGTTTATGAAATTCAATATCCACATCTTTGAAAATAACCATCATTCTAGAAGCCTATAGCAAATGTCACTATGTTATAATGGCTAGCAAGACTTTTGGCGATTTGCATCTAAATATCTTAGACTTTAAATTTTTTACGATGAAAGGAAATATATTTAGTTTTTGCTAGCTTCAAAGCCTAGTGATTTCCACAGATATTGTAAAGGACCATATGCCAATTTGTTTCTATCAGCTGAATCCTAGATGGTTACAAGCATAGGTTTATTTTACTTATTCAATTTAACATGCAGCCTTGAATGAGATGATGACCTCTATTTAAATTAATGTATCTGGCCAGTCCTCCAGGTGGAACAAGTCGATTTGAGGGTGTTACCAAATGGTCCAGTTTCAAAATAACACAACTGCTTGGAGGGTTTTTAAGTAGTTGCTACCTCCTAGGTGAGACTTTAAATGTTTTAATGAGCTGCTTAATTTAGTTTGCGATTTATTATAGAAAATGAACAAGATTATATCTTTTCCAAATCAACAACAGTCAGTGGTGAAGAAATTTTTCAAAGAAGGACCAGGTGAGCATAAAGAAATGGATGCTACCAAGGACATAATTTTGAGTGTTACACTATCATTTGAGGGTTATTGTATCAAAGAAGACTACCATTTGAATATTTTTCTAAACATTTTAGCTTTGGCCCTTCTGACCCTGACGGAACTCCCTGTTAGATCATAACGGGAGTACCCCTGGGGGCCAATCATTCCTTAAATTATTTTCCCTGTATTACTAGTTCCTTGTTTAATTATAGGTGTTGAAGAGTTTTTAGTTAAAGAGTAATCTTAATTGTAATTGATTTATGAATGAATGGCAACTGAAACTGGAAAAAGATCTCTGCATCTGTTCACTGACAGCCACGATCGTGCCACTGACGGCCACTGACGCTCGTACGAGCACACACTGTTTGCGCAACAATACGGGCTTCATAACACAGCTAGAACAAGTCTCATGTCCGCCAGTCTGTCAGTTCTCTACACTACAGCGTCAGCATTCAAGAGTTATTTTGCGACAAAATAAGATATTAAATGTTTTCCAGAGATAACTCAAAGTGTTTCACACTGTCAACGAGATAAAAAATTTATTATCCTAAAGATTTGCAGGTGAAAATTTTACGACAGCTCGTTACCTTCAGCGAAAATCAGGCATAAATCTTAACAATACACACTCACCTTACCTCTTTTTTCACAATGCAAGCTATCATGACATAAAATCGTCCATGGGTTGCAATTTATCCTATTTTCAGACGCGATAACAACGTACGAAAACATTTTTCTGTCCACAAATTGAATGACGCTTATTAAAGAAAAAACTTCATAATTACATCTAAAACGAGGTCAAGGTTTTTGAATCGAGGTCAAATTCTGTAAAAAGCAGTGTGTCATGGTTTCCACTTGTGCGGGAATCACTGGTCGTGAAACTAGTCGCGCGTTAAGATATCTGGTCTTCGTTCAACGTGATCAACATTTAATTGTTTCAAAGGACATTATTTACTCTTTAACTGATCAAGCTTTAACACTTGGACCAGAAAAAATATTCCAAAATGCTAAAAAAAATTTTGGGCAAAGAAAGTATAAACTAAACAACAAAGTTTGTCGATAAAATGTAGAATTCAAAGGAGAAAATGAGTGGAAAAAAACAGAGGAGTAACCACTACAACCTGGTTACAGCTTCAGACACAGATATGGAGTGGCTATGGGTGGCCCTTGAATATTGTAGGTAATATTGGCTACATTGTGCCGAAAATAATAGGAGGGTTAGATCAGAAACCTTTAGAATGGTTTAAAAAGTTTTAAAAAAAATTTAGATCTCAACATAAAAGTACGCTTAAGTTTCAAGAAATTTATTTTTGTATCGTGGTCATACATATAAAGTCACATGATGGACAAAGAAGTCTTGCCAGAGTCAGGTCATTCCATCCAAATCAGGTCTTTCCTTTTAATAGTATTTGCATCAAAGTAGGCTGCTATAATGTTGTGATTTATTCATATATCAAAATAAAATTGCAAACATTTTAATAATTACTAGATGGAGCTAGAAAGAGAGAGCCATAGGATACACATAGTTAACTGAATGTTATTTTATATTATTACGACACGTGTTCAATTTGAGCTAGAATAAATATTTCTTTGACATCGAAGTCATTTATAAGACATAGAAAAATTGAAAAAATATTTATTCCTGCCTTATCTTTTAAAAATGGTCAGGTCTAAGAAATGTAGACCTTTCAACTCTTCCGGCGATTCCAGATATTGAATATCTAAGCACAAAACATGCAACATGAAGCTCGTTGTCTTTCAGTTTTTACAGTCTCTCTCCACCTAAGGGCAATACTTAGATGAAAAAGAGTTTATGATTGTCCACAACTTGAATGTAGTTAAATAATAACGTAGTTAAATGTAGTTAAATAGAAAAAAGGCTTTGTCAGAAATATAGAGAAATAGAAAGGCAGAAAAAAGTAACATCTTATTTTTCAAAGAACAACTTTTGTATTATTTATTCACTTCAGTAACACTGTAATTCATCCAATAAACCTTAGCTTCTTTTTGCTGTCACTCTTTTTGAATTCCCCAGAATGAAAATGAAAAATAAATTGAATAATCCTCAACCGCTATTTAGTCCTCAGGGCAAAAACGCAAATTTTACTGAACAACCTGAACAAAAAGACCAAAGCGTTGGTACAAGTAGCAGGCTGGCTATTCTTTTGCGTACCTTAAAAAGATGACAAAATCATTACATGATGAAGGACCTAAAAAGGTCATTCGCGCTATGTTTAGGAAGCCAATGGAATTCTCCGTTAATCTTGACCAATTTCTTTTATGACTGCTACATCACAGCTAAGCGAAACATGACCAGGTAACTGCTTAATAGTCAAGACATGTTCGTTATCTGATGTGTAAGCCCGTATTACATTCACAGCTGCTTGCTGTTCTTCGGTATCGTTTCAGAAATTTTCTAAGTATTTTTCTTGTTTCCAACTGTAACTAGTATTTAAATGTTTTATTGTATTTATTTTGCTCTCATATCAGTAAAGTAGTGTTACTATAGTTACATATGATATAATACAGGTTAGTGTAACTCTGTATGGGTTGCATTTGATTAACAACTATTTGCATAAAGTTGGTAAATATGATCGCCACTAGGTTCTTTAAATTTCAACCTTGAAATCTTTTTCAAGTTGGTAGTACACACATCATACTGCAATATTGCATATCTTAAAACTGAACTCGGAGGTCCTGATGCTCTATTCATGAAACCTGTTTGACCTTACCTTTCGCATAAAGTGTTATACCATTTCTTGTGCCGTTGGAAATACTTCTTTAAAATTTTTCAATGTCCAAGCCTCTACATTTTTCTTCCTTCCTCGAGAACTGAGATGAGCTCAGTCGTTTTTGGAAGTGGGGACCTTGTATTTATAGTGTTCGAGGAATTTAGACAGTTAATTAGGCAATTGGAAAATCTTTTCTTGTCTGAAAAAAGTGAGATGTTTTTCTTTTAACAGTCAATAACAGCTTACGAAACACAATGAATGACTCATTGGCTTTCTATTTTTGGACAATTCTTTACACCTTGTGGCTTTTATGATGTCCTTTAAAGTCATTCTTACACTATGATTTGATACCCTTGATTTAGCTTCACAAACTGATAGAAGATTACAACTATTGCAAAGGTCACAATTTAGGGATAAAGAGACAGCCTAGTGTCTTGATATTCTATACTTAATCGATCCCTAGAAATTGGTGCAGTCTTTTCATATGATAAGCAGATATAATCTGTTGGAACATGTGATTTGGCATAAGCACTTGTGAATTATTTGACATAATTTTTTTCTACACTGTGTAGTTTCTGCACAGTTCTACATTGATTGATTTTATTCTCTGATCAACATTACAAGAAGAGCGTGTTTTGCATATTTCTTTCTCACTGACTATGGGTGTGATTGCGAAATGTTTGAATCAACATTAAAAAATCAGCGTGTTTTGCTTAATTCTTTTACAATGGTTATGGATGTGATTGCGAAATGTTTAAACAGGGGAAACTAAAAATGAAATTACTACAAATTTGACAATTTGAGATCTCCAGATTACATTATGCAACATATACCTGGGTTTAGTTTCTCAAATTTGCTTTTAGCTCAGTTACTCAAACTTCATAGTGGCAATTTCATTTCCATAGTCACTTATTTCAAAGAGATCGTTGAAACAACTTGAATAAAAGTGGCCCTAGAACTGATCCCTGCGTAACACTTCATTCGGCATGCCTTTGGTTCCTGACATTCATCTGCGTGGACCAATCTTTGCTGCCTATTGAATAAAGCTGGGATGGCATTTATGCTTAAATGCAATATCTAACGGTATATTAGTAACGCTAGTAAAGCAGCAAGAGCGATTCATAACAAACGCCAAGGAGGACTATTTGACATATTGTTTAGGATAATTTGCTTTATGGCTCAGAAAAACAATCTCTTCAGCCTGCATGGAAGTCCAAGGAGGAACACAAATTGAGTTTTAAAAGCAATATCAATCAAACCTGGATTTCAAAAAAACAGAATTACTGTACCAATCTTCAGCTGCATTAATAGTAAAGTTCCTTGTGCCGTCATTTTGGCCCTCGCTGGATCTTACTGCCTAAATTGTTTGTTTTTGCGGAAATCGTTTCTTTGACATCTGCTCTATAAAATTAAAATGGGTGCCAATCTTCAGTTGCATTAGCTATTAATCTACCATGCAGCATTCGGTGGTGGTGAACAAATTTAAAGTTTTGCATGCAAAGAATAACGAATTTACTGTGCACTTCCAAAGCCTGCGTACGCTGACGACTGAGTGTTCGTTATTGGGAAGGAAACCAAATATTTCTTGCAAATTCTTGCCACCTAAAAGCGAAATATTCCTTGCGAATTCCTGCACAGACTAGTATTACGCTTAGCAATGATTTAATTTTGAGGCTGAGATGTAGAGTTTGAAATTATAACGAGCACTTCGTCGACAAGTATAGTCAAGAACAACATTATCACGATGGAGTGGAGAAAATTCCCATTGCAGGAATTATAGATAATGCTTATATTTTATCCATTATAATGGTTATCGACGTAATGTAACTTTCTTTTTCTTGTGTAAAGTTGGTGTAAATTAGCTTCTATAATTATATCGTAGAAAAACTTTGTACCAACTGACACTAAACAGATTATTGTTGATGCACCGCTCTGCTTTTTCTCCATACTTGCTCTAAATGGCTTAACGAACTAGCCCATCCCGATCACATAAGATTCAAGTCACATATTTGATTTCCTTCGGAATAGACAAAACCCATGCGTATATGTTTCGATTTGTCTTTGTTCAAAAACGACCAAGTCTTTCTTTACTACCCTTCAGATAGAATATTGCCAATGAGGTATTGGAAAATAGATCGAAAGGCTTGAAAAAGGCGTTGACTCTGTTTTGAATGTGGCTAGATACACTCATTTTTCTAAAAGCAGATAATACTTGATAAGACTCGGTGTTCTCAAAGTTGTTCTTATTCAAACATTTATTTTTCTACAACTACAAATTTTTAGAAGACCAATAAATAACAGTTTATGACACATTTTAGTAGCACGTTTTATCAGCTGATAAGATCTGTTCTGAAAAATTTCAAGCAAATTGTTTTGCTACTAAATTTTCACTTCTATATTGATTTCAAACTTTCAAATTTTCAATATTGATTTAAATGCACACACGTAACTCTATAAACTATTTAGAAAGGAACAAGAAAAGTTTGATCCACTATCACGATAAAATCTCAATTGTAGAGGGCCCGTCTCTCCTTATAGAGATAGACCTCTCCCATTGTAATATGTTTTTGTATTTATAAAAGAGATAAGATGAACACTTCATAAATAGCACGATTAAAGCTTCAAACAATTATCAAGCCATTGTGTATAATAGTAAAATTTACAAATCAAAGCCCGCGAATATGACAAAATAAATAAATCGGTACAATAAACAATGCTAGTAAATAAAACAACTTAAAAATACTAAATAACAGATATAATTATTGTATGATTCATACATAACATAGAAATTAATAATTTTCAAAACAAAGACAGTTGTCTGAAACATTTGTTGAATAAATGCCAAACGTAAAATAGGGACATTGGAAAATATTAAGCCTTTCAAAATACACAAAAGTTTATATGATGCAAGTAATAGCAAGTAATCATGAAGAAAGGTCTTCACAATAAAAGCTTGATTTGTCCATAAAAAGGAGGGAAAACAAACATGGGTATTACCGGGTGCTAAATAAATTTGACTTGATAGTATGACGAGGACAACAAACAATAGAAAGATTCCTTTCAACGCCTATCTTCCTGATACAAAGTGAGTAAAACTTTGATGTTGTCTTCCTTTTTATGATAAATTATAAAGTTTTTTAAATATTAATCAATCTTCGAATTTCGAGGTACCACTTGCTAAACTCTTTGTGGATCAATATTTCTGTACATTCTGGCACTTTATCTAGACATAATGGGAGCTGGATGCAGTTCTTAAGACAGCCTTGCGTTTATATCTGCGATTTTCGAGTCAGAATTGCACAACATCAAAGGCAATCGAAAGATACAAGAGTAAACGATTGCGTAATTGTTTTTGGGCAGACATGCGCAGTGAAGAGAAATTATAAAATTTATCACATGAAAGGTAAGTTATTTCTTTCTAGGGCGGCTTGTGCTGCTCACATGATAAAACCCACATGTTTATTGATTGACCAATAAGATGGCTTAGGCGATATATCGTTCGACTGCGCTCAAATCTCTGTCTGGGATACACACACGAATAATTATCAGTCGCTCCTAGCTCTTTATAAAAATAGATTCAAAATATCGGCTACTAAACACAAATTGATTGAAAATTGATTAATTTGTAAAATGATCCAAAAACTGAAGCCATAAAACATTTACAAAGAAATAGAGATTAAGCTGGAACGCTCTGCAAAGCGCCTTTCGTCATTAAATTTACAACTTTATAAAAACTTTAAAATATATTCTTTATATACACATAATTGAGTGTCCGAATTCAGCTGCACAAATTGTCCTTACCCTCCTAAAATTGAAAAGTACATAAATGTTAAAATTGATGTGAAGTAATGTTGTACCGGTCTCTCATGAAGTGTTCGACTTCGTACAGGCAAAGCTGTTCACGCGTTGGAGTATAGAACAAGATGGTTTGAAGTTGCAACTAAGTGTTTAACGCTTCATGCGATCATCAGGCAAACTTTTAAAAAAAATTGGTAGCAGTTAACGAAGTTGGCGAGGCGCTCCACTAACTGGAAGGCAAAAGACTCAGACTGATCTACTTAAACAAGGATATTTGAATGGGAGACAAGCCATTTTTTACAGATATTCGTTATCGCAGTAGTCAGCATACCAGACAACCGAGGTCACAAGATTTGGCAGAATGGGACAGATGTTATTGGTTTGCACATCTGCAAAATCGAACGATGATGGTGCAGACGTCATAAGCGCGATTCATTGAATTTGCTCACAGTATTATATAAGTTGCTGGGGAGACAAGCCAGCGTTTATCTGAACGATCAATAGCTTTTCAAATTTTGAACCATTTGCACATGCGCAGTCGATGCGAAGGTCGTTATTTCCAAATTATATAATATATTCTGTGGTAGGAAAATTCATGGCAATTATGGGAATTAGCCTGTCTCGAATAAAAAGGCGAACAAAATTTAGAGAAAAGGAAGTCACGAGAAAAGTGTGAACGTAACTCTGGTTTTTATATGCTACCATGATATAATATTGTTGATTAAATGCCGCTAAGCGCCATTAGATGTAATGGATAGAATAATGGCAATAATCGATGGGAAAATAGAATCGTCTCCCCAACAAAGCAGAAAGAAATGTAAGCAATAATAGTTTATGTTCGGCTGTGCTAAAAGCTTCTTCGCGTAAAATCACCTTAAAAGTTGAGTCTGCTTCAAACACAAATGTGGTGATGGTTATGATCATGATTATGATGACGAAACTATACGATATGAAAGGCGATGCGATATGCTGATCAAACAAATGGAGTAAGGAATTCAAATTGAAGTTATAAATAAAAGACACAGTTTTTGTCGAACAACACCAGAAAAACAAGAAAATGTCAGCATATGTTTAAATAAAGGACAGAAATAAAAGATCACCTGACGGAGAAAGGCAAGTGCCTATGAGAGGTATTTTTTAAGAATAACAGACAAGCCTAAAAACGATCATGGCACTGTAGTGTAAGGTGAGCGAAAGAAACTCTTAGTGACAGAGCATTATTTCAATATGATTTTCAATTTTAGTTTCGTTGGTTGTTGGACCGCAGAACACACAAATATATTGATACTTATCTCGTAACCTTGCTAGGCTTGTCATCTCGTCAAAGACATATTTTATTTAGCCGTTTTACATTTGGTGATTAGTGTGATGAAGTGTAGTTACGCGATCGAAGAAATGGTCACGTGAGATGTTCTAGGAAAGGCATACAGCATACACCAATTCAACTTGCGGCCTCGTTTAGGAAATTTCCCAAAACTTCATTATACGACTTTTTGAAGATCAGATTTGGTTTCATCACCATAATTTTAGGCCAGATACAATTGTTCATATTGATTGTAGTTTTACGGAGAAAAAAAGTTTGAAAAATTTTACCGGGTGAAGAATTTTCAAAATGAGGCCGTAAGTTGAATTGGTCTTTTTTAAGTTCAACGGGTAGAGGGAACAGGCAATTATTTAATATGAGAAATTTCAATTACAAATTAAAAAAATTCAGTGATGACATTTCAAAAACATACTTTATTATTTAGTTTATCCTTGGACATGACCAAATGCGTATCACACATTTCCAGCTCTTTATGCTCGCGCCTGCATTACAGGTGCAGCTCCTACCAATTGACCCATCAGGTGGTGAGATGGTGACAATGGTGACACCAACAGGTATTGTCGCATGGCAGAATTCACCAACAATTATATTTTCCTGAACAAGAAAAGGGCATTACATTATACCATGGTACAGTCCAAAAAGTAATGTGCTGTGAATTTGGGTTTCACCTCTAATGCGAGGGGGGGGGGGCGTTTCAGCATGTCTAAATCCTTTATCGTTAATCAAAAGGGTAAAAATTTACTTAGAAATTCCATGCTGCTGTAAAATAGTCCAGTGATGTTACCTGAATATATAAACCCTGCTTCAGATGTTAGATTCTTAGACTCAAGGAAAAGAACGCATGGATAAAAAAGTGTGGTTATGGGCACTGCAACCATAGGAAGAATACAGCAAACTCTTCCTAATGAACTTTTTACCAATTTAGCAAAAAACCAGCTAAGGAAAAAATCCAGTCTTAGCAAAATACAAAAAGCATTTAGGACCATTCTACAATAGTGGAGGTTCTCGCAGATCTCTCTCTATTTGCAATTCTTCTCTCTCATTCGTCCTTACTTTGACTCTCTGAGGCTCTGGTACCCAGGGTAATTCCTATCAATTGCAATGACGGAAGAATTTTTCCTTAGAATTTTCTTCAAAAGGAAGGCCATTAAAATGAACCGTAACAAACACTATGTAGCACGCTCCACTAAAATTAGTCCTATAAACGATTAAGATTATATTTTCCAATGCCCTGCAATGCAAGGTTAACTACCAAATACCATGACCTACCTAAACTCTATTCACAGCTTGGGTTTAGGGCAGCTTTGCAAAGGTCCCCCCAACCCCCATAGAAAGGTAAAATGGAAGACCATAAAAGATGGTATAATTTCTAGCTTTGTTTACTTTTGTTTATAATTAAGCTGATACATTAGTAGAAACAAATTGCAATAAGGTTAAGGGCCGTGTCGGCCTATGTACCTATATGATAAAAAAAATTATAATAATCAAGAACATCTGTGTGTCTCACGCTAAATACAAATATCAAAGGTAGGGGGTGTAGTGCAATGGAGATAAAAATAGGGTTTTCGCAAAAATATCTCAAAAATTCCTCTTAGAACATTAACAATAATAAAAGGACTGCCCTTATGGCTTAATAAAGGGGATTATCCAAAAACTCTTCTGGCATCATAAGTAAAAACTGATAATAGTTTACCTTTGGCGCTGTGGTGGCAGCATATAAAATGGTGGATTCAAGTGTACTAATTTCAGTCATTGACTCAATGCATAATGACATATTGCCAGATCCATTGCGGCCTGCTGCACCCTCAGGTCCAGGAGTCAAACTAATATTACGTATCTGAAATAAAAAATTCTTGTTAGATTGAAATACTCATAATTTGTAAACTGAAATATTGCAGAGCACTTAAAATGTCGACTTTTGGAATTTTCTTCCTACGTCATTTTACATTCAATTTGCTAACTATTGTTTTTGGACAAACGTATCACACGAAGCCATTGAGAGTGTAGCAAATTGTGCAGGTTGGAAACACTGCAGGTTGTAAGAGCGAGGCGAAGCCTGGTGCAAGAACATATTAAAATTGGGAATAAAGCTACTGTACATTGAGCCAAGTGCTCCTTCTAATGTGTGCAAATTAAAGTTCCAAATAAATTACTGCTTGAGCCAATACGCAGTTAGCATATTGATGATTAAAGACCACGAAATATTGAATGTGCAAACATTTGATAATAAATATAAATATATATATATATACATAGTTTTATCTCATGAACAATAGAACTCCACCTAACTAATTAACCTGTATCTAATAAAATTTCTTTTCTCTAACTTTATCACACCTTTTGTATATATATACCGCGGTAGCAGGAATATTCTTCATTATAGTCTGTCTGATGAGTGCGTAAGCACGGAATTCGGAGTAACAGAGAACATGTCTCATTTCAAGTCTATATTCTATTTTAATATATCTATTGCTCTGTGCTTTTGCACATCGAGCACTGTCACGCCAGAATAGACAACGCAATCTGGAATAAATATATACATATATACAATAATCAGATAAAAAAATTCTGAGAATTGACATAAATCGAATGTAGCAACTTACTGAGGAGTTAAGGCGACTTTCGAGAGCCTTGAGGTCCTGATTTGTCTTCGTAGCAAGTGCTGCCAGGTCAGATGAAAGATTTGCAATCTTAAGGAAAGATAATGAGATATAAGGAGCAAATAATCTTGAAAAAATGAATAAAGAAACCAAATGAGATCTTCGAAAGAACAAATCCATCAAGCAATTTTGGCTAACATCAGTCAATCAGTAAACGCTTTTATCTTATACAAAGATGACGTTGATTATGATCGATAATTGACGATGATTGACAATAATTGTTTTAGATAATTGATGTTGATCGATTAGGATGATCGATTAGGATGATGATCGATTATGATGATTTATGATTGATTATGATTGAGAATGATCGTTTAAGATGATTGATGATGATCGATTAAGATGATGATCGATTAGGAAGATGATCGATTAGGATGATTTATAATTGATTATGACTGAGAATGATCGTTTAAGATGATTGATGATCATCGATTAGGATGATGATCGATTATGATGATTTATGATTGATTATGATTGAGAATGATCGTTTAAGATGATTGATGATGATCGATTAGGATGATGTTCGATTAGGATGATGATCGATTAGGAAGATGATCGATTAGGATGATTTATAATTGATTATGACTGAGAATGATCGTTTAAGATGATTGATGATCATCGATTAGGATGATGTTCGATTAGGATGATGATCGATTAGGATGATGTTCGATTAGGATGATGACCGATAAGGATGATTTATGATAATTTATGATGATTGATCAAAATGATAATAATGTTGATGAATGACGATAAAGATAATTTTGATGATAAAAATGTTAAAAATTATGATAAAATTAGCCTGGCTTTAATAGTTACCTGAACTTTACAACCACAACAATATTAAGTCCATTGTTGCTAGCCTTCCAGTTTCGTAGACTACAATAACTAACATACTGAAATTTGTGTAGTAGTAGAATTTGTGAGAATAACGTACCGAAACTTGTGTGATCACAGAATTTTTTGAAATCAAGCTTTGCAGAACAGAATCGTTCCCTTGTCTGAAAGTTACTTCGTTCTCGATGCTAGAACGAAGACTACTGACAGACATGGTGTTGCTATAGTTAAGGCTTGCTAGCTTGCTGCCTTGAGTTTCCAGCTGCTCACTCAGTTTTCTAACGTCTGCAGCCAGCGTTTGGTTAATTGCATTCATGTTTGATAGTAGACCTTTGTGCAGTCTGCTTAATTCTTGCACCTGGATAAAGAGGCATCAAAATATCAGAAAGAAGTTTCGACTTGATTTGTAAAACCCAATGCCAGTACTGCAAGGGCATACACTACTGACATTACACTATAAAGCCTTAAACTTCGCAAATATTCCAAAGTTTCCATCCATTCAAATTATTCTTACAAAATTTTCTCTTTAAAAACTCCTAGTTAAAAAATTCGTTGTATTTATGAAAAAACTGGAACTGGTTCCTTTGTAAAACATGGCCTTTCAAAAAATTGAAGACTCAGCACTGTAGCATGAGAAGAAACATTCATTACAGAGGTCAATGACGTGAAATGCAAAACACACGCGGGTAATCGAGCAATGTCTCGCGTTGATTGCTCGAAGTCAGTGGCGGTTTAAGAGACTGCGGGACCCGGGGCCAATTACATCTGTGGGGGCCTTGCTCTTTACAATTTCTATTTTTTTACTTTGGTATGGGGCCCTTTTTTGGCTGCCATAAGCACGGGGCCTGGGTCCATGGCCCCCTTGGACCCCCCATAAAACCGACATTGCCCTGAGACACTAGCCCCATTTGAAAATAGAAAGCGGCCTTCCCAGCCTTGTTCAATAACGATCTTCAAACAATTTTTGAAAAGGCTTTTTTGCGAAGGTTTCTCGTTGATAAACAATACTTACGATTTCGAACACAACAGGGGTGAAAAAAGGTTTTCGATGTTGTTCTATCTACCGTTATGGGGGCCATGATGTTAACATTAGGGAAATGATGTCAGCCCGAAAAAAAGCTACCTGTTAAACTACAATTTCAAAATATAAACTTTATGCACTGGCATTTCCAAAAAATAGAAGCATTTATATTTTGGATGTGACAGAAAAATTTACGGAAAAACAGGCTTTAGAGATCTACTCAAATCCAGGCAAAAAGTATTGTTTAACATGACATGCACTACTGACGATTGGGCAGCCTGTGGTGTAAATACTTATTTAATAGATTGTTACCACAGGGGGTGCTCTCTCCTAGATTAGTCTATCTATTGAGAGGGCTCCTCCTTTAAGAAATTCCTGCATGCAAATCTCCTTTGTTTTTGTAAAATCATCTACATTTTTTTCTTGTTCTCTATTTCTCTCATTGTATGTAATTTTTTTCATCTTTTGTAACCTGCTGCTGTATTTTAAAAGACTTGTATGTATGGATTTTAAAAATGAACTGAACTGAACTGAACTGAACTGAACATGGAACAGTCGGAGTGTTCTTCAAAATGACCGGTCTCTGTGGTACCAAAGGCAAGACAAGAACATACAATCACGAGAAGACTCTGAATACAGAATATGAAATCAAATTACCGTTGTGTTAAGAATGGCAACTTTTTCCTGCTCTTCCCGAAGAAGCTTCTGCAAAGCCGTGATCTTAAAAAAACAACAGAAGAATTGAAAGTCATTAAATGATAAGAGCCAGAAAATAGTCAGGTGAGCGGGGTCTCCATGTTGTGTTTTCCACTAACCTGCTTAAGGCAGCCTCTTTCTAACGAAACATATAAGGAGTCCTCAGAGAAAACGACAATTGATTAAGTGCGTTCTTTGTTTGGGATTTGAGCCCTGGGATTCATGAACTAAACAAGCACAACTATATATTTTACGTAAAAAAACAAAAGTCTTGAAACGATACAGAGGTTGAAAACATTAAAATGATGACTAGGTCATATAGTGTTACAGAATATGTCATCAACTTGAAAATAACGATAAAAGTGGTATGTGGGAGATTTAATTCACCAGTCACGTACATTTTCGACACAAACAATGTTTGTCAAGTTAATAATAATCATGAAGATTAATATGGTCAGAAAACTAAAGAAAATTTATTGGTTGAAGCTGAATAATAAACAAGTAAGTACTGAATAATACTGAATAAAAATTAGAATTAATCACTATAGTGGTAGATAAAGACCATTGGCAGATATTGTCTGTGTGATTATAAAGTTATATTAAATACTCAGATAAAATAATTTCTTAGAATTGACTTATATTGAATGTAGCAACTTACTGAGGAGTTTAGGCGACTTTCGACAGCCTTGAGGTCCTGATTTGTCTTCGTTTCTAGACTATCTTTGTCTGTAGCAAGTGCTGCCAAGCCAGATGAAAGATTTGCAATCTGAAGGAAAGACAATGAGATATAAAGAGCAAATCAATTTGAAAAGAAAATTACGAAACCAAATGAGATCTTCATATGATCAAACATTATCAATAATAGTTTCGGGAACGAAATTTGTTTTCATCTGTTCACAAATGCTATCACCTTAGTTTATGAAACATTGAAGGCGATTGATGATTATGATTGATGATTTTGATTATTATGATTATTACGATCGATTACAATTGATTAATATGGTTGACGATTTTGATTGATGATTATGATTATTATGATTGATCATGATTGATGATTATGATGATTATGATGATAATTATTGATTATGATTGATGATTATGATGATTATGATTATTATGATTGACAATTATGATTGATTATGATTGATGATTATGCTTGATGATTATGATTGATGATTATGATTGATGATTATGATGATTATGAGGATTATGATCGATTATGATTGATGATTATGCTTGATGATGACGACTATTATGATTGACGATTATGATTGATTATGATTGATGATTTTGATTATTACAATAAATTATGATTGATTAATATGATTAACGATTTTGATTGTCTATGATTGACGATGATTGAAGATAATGATTTTTTTTCTAGAAACAGTTTTTTGATAATGATTTGCAAACCTAGGAATCAAAACAAGTACAACATAGGAATAAAAAACGTAAATATGGCAAGAGCAAATAATTCATGCTTTGAAAGCTTGAGCTTATGTTTAAGATCACATTTTACCACAACATGTCATGATATGTCATAATAACAAACATGGCTACAAAATAGTAGAAATATAAAATATAACTAACCAGTTGGGTATTTGCCACTGTCATATTTTTTATCCTGGCAATTTCTTGATCATCCTGAGGTACCTGAAAGAATGAGCGGAAAATATTCTAGTCCATTTGCGTCTGAGGATAAAATAGCTTCTTTTTCAAAAAAGTGATGAAATTTTATGAAATTATATGAATTTAAGCATTTAACACATCTCTTACGATCAACAGATTGATTTGGAGTTCTCAATTATGAGTTCTTAATTGTGAGCAAAAGCTCCTTTTCATCAAACCACTGTAATTTGTCTCTGTTCATAACTTTATGAAACAAGCCAAAACAATAGTAATCTGTAAGCAAAGTTCAAATCTTTCAATATCCAAATCTCATTCAATTTTCGTCCAATTTACATATTTAGCGGCATTTCTTGGTGTTCTTTTAGGTTATGTTGCAAAAATTTTGAAAAGATATTTTGTTTTTTTTGTATTCTAATTAAAAACTAACACAATATATTTAATAAAATGTGCCATTCATAGCCAAGACACAGGGTCGCCGAGTTCTGGCTATGTATAGCACTTATAATGTACAACATTTAATTATACTTACTAACAAGAGAAATGAACAAAATAATTTTAGATAGATTAAAACGTGTGTCTTAAGATAGACGTCAGAAACGATAAATTATAATTTAATTGATCAGTGAGTTTGAGTTATTCCCACAGACCTTTCCAACGTCTAGCCCTAGACAGACCTTTAAGGAGGAAGATAATTTGAAATTAAAAGGAAAAACAAGATAAGAGAGAATAAAGGTCATAAAAAGCTGCTGCTGTTTTGATTCCATTTTTCCCTTGTCAAACCGACTCATATTTTTTATCTATGATATAGTAGCTTCAATAATGATACTATTTTCAATCACATTATGACGGGGATTTACATATTAAAGAAGGGTGCACAGGGATCTATCATCTAAGCCGGTATTTTGTGACGTCACACTCTAAAAAAGAACCAGAACCTAATTTCAACGTTTTGTAAGCAGAAGTCCCTTATACAAATTACGATTGCCGGATTCTAGTTTTTACGTTACGGCATTTCGAATTTTCAAGGTTAGGCTAGCGACAACACAAAAACGGTCTCTATTTAATGAGGTAAGTAATAGCAGAAAAGAATGTAGAAATTTGAGAAAGCAATACATACAAATTTCATTTTGAGTGACGTCAAATTTGCCTCAAGCTGCTGTAGCCTCGCTGTTAGTTTCGTGTCATTGACATAAGACTGGGTCGATTGTTTCCCTGTGCTTCCTTGGGTAGCACCTGGTGATGTAAGGTCACAAGGTTAGACTAAAGAGAGGCATACCAAACATGTTGAACATCAAATCCAGCATAAGAGGGGCCCGCTGTTGAATGACTGACTCAATTTCTGTATTTTGATCACTGGATTAGCAGTCTGGTCTTACAGGAGTTGGGTTTCGTTGGAGTTTGATAGTTGGTGGAGTTGGGGTTGGAAAGTTAAGATTTCGTTGTTTAGCATATACAGCATCCTTACCGTCTCAAAAGTTTGAAAGGTGTCATGTACTGAACATACCCCAAACCAAAAGCTTAGCAGGTAGAGCTCCAGTCGCTCACTTCACCTTATTGCAGGCAATTGAGAAAAGCTTAAAGTTCAAAAAATGCCAGTTGCTACGAGGTCAAATGGTTTTCACTGAGGTGGGTCAATAGAAGTTGTTAGAAATGTTATGTTACGACGTGCTTAGGAAATTATGCCTTTCCTGAACACTTGTCTTTGGGATAAGTTAGAAAAAAGTTATTGAAAGTTAGGCCTGGAAAGCGTATGTTCACCATCCCCCCCTCCACCTCCCCCTCCTCCTCCACAAGTGACAAGTGATACAAAAGCTGCTTATTGCTTGTACCATATGAGCCTTAACTATAGAAGCAGTTAATGGTAAAATTGGCAAAATATACGGCGGTGTCTTGAAAATATGACTCATTCAACGTGACAGGCATCAAAAGACAGCGGATTGTTACACGTCCCAATTCCTTCTCAATTTCTGAATCGGCAACTATTTGCGGCAATGACGGGCGGGAGTTGACAAAATGGCTGAATATAAAAAACACATGTGAAGCAGAAAACCTGCTTGAACGTATCCAGCAATCTGTAAGCCGAAACATTTTGACAAATAAAAATAATTAAATTTGTTGGTTTTATCAGCTTAAAACAACTAGGCGTATTAAAACGTACTTTGTTCTAAAGGTGTAACACCAAACCGGCCGAAACGATCCAATAAACCAGGCTGATTATGCCTAAGGCAAAGTTTATAGCTGGCTTATTTTCAAAATCTGCATTAAAAGGTTAAGAAAGTTGAAACGGTGCGGAATTCTCTTCAAGCTGAGAGGGTTGCTTTTGGGGGCCTAGCGATATTTTACTTGTCCTTAGTTAGTTAACAATCGCAGAAAGAATGCTTTCATCCATATGAGCTGACGTCATTGCGAGCAGGGTGGTGGAAACGAAGGTAAATCCAAGCCTTTGAGAGGATACCTGAGACAGTAACATGATTCATAATAAGGCGGCAGCTGGTGCAGTTCGGATAATACCGCGAGGACTAAAATGATTATATGCCAATAATGAAAATTATATATTCAAGTGAACATGGTATTACCAAGCAAGGCTTTTTCTTAACGAAACTGTATAAGGTCTTCTGTTTTTTAGAAAACAAAATCAAAACTAAAATCTGGATAGATATACTGAGATCAAATTCAATTATCTTAGAAATCCGTAGTTGCAAATTAAAATAAGGGCACTTGTTTGCACGAATGCGGTTGAATGCAACCAATAAAGAGGATACAAGGAAAATAGTCTCAATCCGGGGATAAAGTATTGTAGACGACGGCGGTGGCAAAAAATGAGTTTCGAACTATATTTCTGAGACTTAATAATGGAGGCAACTATATGTAATGGCATAAAGGACGGAACTTTCAAATCCAGCTTTATTGCTTCTAAGAGACCATTTTAACAGACAATGTAGTATACAGGGTCATTATGGTGAAACTAAACTACCATGCCCCATTGGGCAAACCATTTTGCAGAAGTTAGCTTCTAAAACTCACATGACTTTTAAATCGCTTTGACTTTTTACGTTATTCTGAGCTTTTCAGACACAGATTAAAAGTACCAATTTGCAGCTCACGAAGCTGTTCCTTTTTGTCTCCATGTGCCCCTCGTTTTCGCAATGTTTCCTACATCGATGCTCTACACATGCTTTTCATAGTTAAAAACACTTACTATCAAGACGCGCGCAACTAGCAAGATACACGCAACTAGAAGAAAGAAATGGCCTATAGACCTGAACAAAGTCCCGATTATAATTGGGCTGAAAAATGTTGAAAATCCTGCAATTTTACAATATTTTTTATGCTTTGTGTGCAACGAAATGTTCCTGGAGGGTAACGAAGCTTTTTAAAGCTCTGGAACTTTTTGAAGCTCCTATCTTGAAGTTGTAACAACTTCTTGTTAGAATCAATTATATAAACATTGCTTGATGCAAAGTAACATCTTTCCCTATAATGGGGAGACCTATGATGTAAATTCAAACTTCAAATCTAGCAAGCCGCAAAGGTGCATGGTCGATGTACGAAGATTAAAAATGGGGGGGGGGAGTGGAAGTTAATAAAATTAACGCAGGCAGACAAGGAAGTTTCATTAGTTTTAAGAGAGCAAGGGGCAGTTCATTCTTGGAAACAGTGTACGAGATTCTCACGAAAACAAAAGTATTTCCACGAAAAGTGTATGAGATTTAATGGAGTGATTAGCCCCTCGCAAGAGAGTGGACTATGTTACCCTGATCACCCGATTTCAAAGGAAATAGGGGGTCTGGTTGTCAGGCTGGGACGATGTCTAATAGGCCTACCAATGTATTTTATCGAAGTTTCAAAAAGATTCCAGATAGCCTAAAAGTTCTTGGAAGCAACAAAGGTCATTTTCTGTAAGTCATTAATTCTTAAATAATTGTGATAAATTTCAACATTCACTGACTGAAATCTGTTTTTGATAAATTTTAGGGTTCGCTTTACCTAAAGGCATCTCATCCAAATATTTGCATTTAAATTTTTTTGCACAACTAAGTGTCGCTGAATTCTTGGCCTACACGATCTCAGATAAACAAGACACGAATGAACGTTTTATAAAAGCACTGAACAAAAACGAATGTCTAGAGCCAGTCCGCATAGCATATCAGTTTTAGACGCGATCTCTCGCGCGTACAGGTCATCAAGGCACGTTTTTGTGCCTAAAGTGGGCTGAGCTGAGCCCGTTATAAAATTATCTTATGAAACTTGTGACAGTGGGCCTAAGAACCTCCCAAAACTGCGCTATTCGCAGGGAAGCCCCTCTCTGTTTCAATTACCCCCTGTACTTCCAAATTTGGCACAATTTCCACAACTGCACCTTCAAAGTGGCACAGTGTCTCACCTTGTGAATTGCTAGAGCCAGCGCATTTCAGGATCCCAAAAAACTGCAGCAATGCCAATCCAAAAGCACTTGCTGCCAAAAGTCCAACAAGCACCAAACAAACGGCAAGACAGCAACCCCCAGATTTTTCTCTCTTACCCTTTTTCCCAGACTTAATTTTGGGTTTTTTCCTGAGTTCTACAGTTGACTCATAACAAAGATTTGGTCGTTTCATCGCTTCAACTTTATGCTCTTCGCTGTATTTTCCAAGTGCATCGTAATAGTTTTCTTTCTGGCATTCTAAAATCACCTCATCTGTATTGTATCCTAGAACTCGTGGCGCAAGATAAGCATGTTCCTCAGTTTCGTGTAAGTAGGATAGCGGCAAATCTGTAGATGGTGTATCCCTGGCATATGCACTCATCACTGGCCGCATTGGAACATCTCCTTTGCGAGCGAGCTCATCCTTCACAAATCCATGATTGCGTGTTCCCATTTCGGTGACCCTCGCGGCTATCCCTGCGAACTATGAATTCCAATGGAGACGAACTTGACTTGCTCCTCTCGCAAGATGACTTGCTCTCGCTAAAACCCAACAGCTTACTTCCGAGAAGTAACTCTTCTAAATTTCACAACTCAGTCTCCGAATAAAAGCCGATGAAATTAGATTCGGTGATAGCTGTTTCACTTTCTTTTTCCACTTTTCAATCAAAAGTAGTGCTTGCTTTGCAAATTTTACGAACCCTTTAGTTCCTTCTTCTTTGTCTCAACAACCGAGCAGCTGTCATCAAAACCCACGTACCTCGCAGCGTGAACTTCGCCAGAAATGGTCCCACTCTTTGAACCGATCCGAAACAACTTTTTAAATAAGGGCATCAAGACCCTAGTCAAAGTTTCTGATTGGAAATCCTCCGATTGTCGTCAAATATGTTCTGGTGCCTGAGGCATTAACTATGATGAATGAATACTACGGCTATTGGGAGATAAATTTACTTTCTCCGTGGTTGTTCTATACCTAGTTGCCCTAATTCATAAGTTTCCTTCAATCAATATTTGGATTTGATCTGCGTCGGATGGCAACTAGCGTTCTACTGATTTGACCTATTCAGGAAAAACCTTTTATACTTAGCCTATAAACATTGCGCTATCGTATTTCACAACGCGATTGAGAGCGTAAACCAATGAATGAGACGTGACGCAAACAGAGGGACAGCAGGGGGTGCCGTTATGATGCTAACAACAAAACACGGGGGTGCCCGACAATGTGTCATACTTATTAAGGTGATTAGCATCTCGTTGCTCAATGAAAAAAGTAACACAGTGACAACCACAGAAGCTGTAATGATTCAAGGATTATTTATCCCGAGTTATATCACAACCCACAACCACAACGTCATTAATTCGAACCAATCATGAAGCGACATATTGCGAAGATCGTTAGGGCCTGATGATGATGATTATTATGATCATGATGATGACCAAAATTAAAGATGATGAACATACCAATATCATGTCGAGCTCGAAGATGATTTTTATCAAAACTATAAATGTTATGCAATCAACAAATATTATCATGAAATTGCAGCCAGTGACGACCAATGACTGCTTCTTGGTATCAGCGACAATCCTACGTAAGCACATATTTCCACGAGCCTACGTATTTGTTGTATCATGTTCCAGAAGACAAGACGTACATCTCTAATCTCCTTACTTCTTATCTGGAATAGACATGCGCTAGGCAGAGTCATGCCATCACGAAAGGTTCCTCAAAGAAAACTTATCAGAAGTTGGCTGTTTTTTTTTAATTATGAACCCTCTCATGAAAGTTTCACCTCAGTGAAATTAACGCCTCTTCCTTCTAACGCCTCTAATAAACATTGGCGTGTAAATGTAGGATTAATGTATGACTTTACCAGAGGTATCAGAGGTTAGAACAGAATGTACAGTCCTGATTCATGACATTTCCGTGATAAACAGGATACTTCCGATCAAATCTTTCTGATTTTAACCGACAAACATCAAATAGTAAATGTTTTCATTAAGCAAATTATCAAAGTCCTCTTTTCCCAAAAGCTTCTACATTGGAGAGAAGGAATTAAGGAATTTAAATCGTAAAAACATGGAGTCGAAATTCGAACCACACCAGCGTTATAATCACGGAAGCCTGCACTCGAAGGGAGCAACGGTGGCAAAGCGCTAAGACAAAGGGCAAAACAATAGTTAAATGAAGAAAATGATCAATTTGGCGAGGGCGAGGGGACCACTGCCCCTGTTTCCCCCCTGGCGCAGGGGCGCAGGCGTCCTTGATTATAGTGAGTGATATTTTGGGAGTTATTGGGGGGACACAAAGCCCCCTAAGCCCCCCCCGCTTCCGCGGTCCCTGATCCAAATTATTATATATAATCAAGCAGTGACCCCAATGATATGCACCGCAAGCATTCAATTTGTTCTGACGACTACGGCCAGGAACCGCGGTGGGGGAAGGACGAGGATGAAAACAAAACAAAAATTATTGGCTCTTGGTGCAAAATTTAGAGACAATAATGCTCATGAATTAAGGTCATACAGTCACAAGCAAGGTTAAAGACTTATTTGAAATAAACCGAAACATGGAAGCTGCTTTATCCAAGTTCAAGTATAGGCATCGTTGCGCGGATGGAATGATCAACTAAAGTTTGAATCGGAAAGTATCAAGGTATTTCATGTGAAAATGGAAAAAAAAGTAGAGCAGAAGCAACAGGACATAGAATCTAGATAATGCCACCGATTGTTTTCCCCCTTGCCAGAGAGGCCGTGAGCGGTGTAATGGGGCACATGCACCCAAAACGTCTAACAACTTTTATTAAGAAGCACCTTCTTATGGAGTTTTGGGGAAGCACCACTTTTACCGCACTTTTACCGTGACAGGATTTCCACCAAAGGTGTACGAGATTTGTATGGATTTATTTGCTCTTCGCTTAAGGCAAGGACTATTCTGCTACACTTAAAACGAACTGATTTTGAAATTATACTCTCGTGTTAGCAAGAAAATTTTTATCATCTAGACAACCGCGCTGCTAAAATGTCTTGCAAAACTTTCATTTAGTATTCATACAAACGATTTATAGTGATTGTAGAAAAGCAAATGTTGAAATAGCGAAATCTCGAGCCTGCAATTATCCAAAAAAAGAAAACAGAGCTTCGACCAAAATTATCTGGGTTGACAAGGGTTGGCAAGGGTTGGACCTTGAACTTCATTGCAGAGAGTGAAAAGTCTAGGGATTGATGTAGGAACTGAGGCACAGAGGGGGCATGTTCAACAACGCTTCAGAATCAGAGGTAAAATGCCTGTTTGCAACTTATAATGGTGCCCCTTCGGTCTACATGTGACCCCCCATTTTTAAACTGCTACTTTCGTCTACGAGCCTACCTATCCATTACTGATATTTGACAACGTATCGTAATAAAAAAAGAAGTTACAATGTGTCCCTGGCCCCCTTTGTAGCGTCCCTTTGTCCGTTGTATCAAGTATCTAATATTTGTGAAAATCTAATAAGAAAGAAAGCAAAACAAGAAATTGTTGTTTTGAAACAGTTGATAAAAGTATGAAAGTAAAAGCGGGTTTATGGTGCAAGGTCCACGAAAACTTCTATTTTTTATTCACGTCTGAGCGAGCTATTGCTTCAGTAAAGAACCAGTCTATAATTAATCTTTTCAAACGCAAACAGCCTGAATGCTTTAAACAGATAAATGTGGCGTATGTTTCTATGTTTCTAGTTCAAATATTAGTCGTTATATGCCGTTTGGCACAAGATAATGTTCTAAGGGAATTATTTCAACAAAATTTCAGCACTGTTCAAAAAACAAAAAAAAGCTAAAAACTCTAGATGACTGAAAGTGAGAAAAGGATTTTTGACCAAAATCTAGAAAAAACATCAAAGTGTTGCAGGAAACGCTGAAAAGTTTTCTTCGTTTTCTTCAAAAATGACGGAGTGGGGAAGAAAGTTTCCCCAACTTCGCTTGGATCCAAAAAAACTATATATGAAAATGCTGAATTCAAAGCCATATCTTTGTATACAAAAATAATGTGTTTTTAGTGATTTTAGAGAATAATGTGTTTTCCAGAAGGCTCATACCTTCTCTACTCATACGAAGGCTCATACTCCAGAAGGCTCATAGGTTTTGGGGGGCTATCCCCGGGGGGCTATCCCGAGTAAAGGACAATACGTAGGTCGAATAACTGCATCAGCAAAAATAGTTTCAGGAGTTTGTGAATAAAAAGGTAGCCAAAAAAATATCGTTTTCATGCTGCATTAGTACAAAAATGAGTTGTAAATGTATCGCTTTCGGGGAAACCAACTGGAGAATCCTTCTGCAACTCGTTTCAAGGAGTAATCTGGAAGTCCATAAAGTCCCTCGCTAGGGATTACCCTAACCACAGGGTGGATATCTACTCGCCGGGTAGATAAAAAGAGGTTGAGAGGGCAACTTCAAATAAGTCAGCATTGAGGTCCGGTAAAAACTTATCCTAGATTACAAAAAAAGCCTTTCAAGTGCTAAGTACTAGCTATACAAAATTATTGCATTGGTATATCGTGGTAAAAATGAAAATAAAAGAAAAATAAATCAAAAGAAAGCTTTGAAATGCTTCAAAAGCTTCTGGCCTTGAAAGAGCCCCTTGCAACATACCTGCAATATAATATAGCCCAAAGGACCAAAAAGCGAGCGAAGCCACCAACAGAAGATATAGAAAAATCCAGCGACGACCCAGCCAAACAATGAAAGACCCTCGTTCTCTCGGAAGCACCTTAGACTCTCCAAGAGTGGCTTGTGAGACAGGCCTGGGCTTTGAAACTTTTACTGTAGCATCACTGGCATTGGTATATCGTGGTAAGGAGTTCAGCTTAACAGATTCACTTGACTGCAAGTCAGATACAAGACCAAAAGCAATGCTGCCTAGACGCTCATAATGGTTCAGGCTATCGCTTACGTCATCATCAATCAGTTCGTTCTTCATCTTAGGTGATAGAGAAAGTTCTTTCAGACCATCCTTTTCATCCCCCGATTCACTGCTGCCTCTTCTACCTCTTGAATCAGGCTTGTTGTTGTCGCATATCGTAAAAACATGGTTCTCGTAATAATTTTTTGATGCATGTTGGCGATTAGTTAGATAAGAATACTGCTTGCGACTTCCTAACATCTCTCTTGCCATATTTGCTGCCTCTTATTACTGCTCTTCCCTTTCCAGCAAACTATAGGGTAAATTCTTCAGCAAAATACAAAATACGTCCCCTTCACACAGCAACTTCCCACCGATATCCAAGGTACAACAATTTTTATTGAGGACAGATTCTGATCACAAAGGTCTTTTCTTCAGAATATTAAGCATTTAGGTACATATCAAACTCTTTGACAGCAGTATTTTCCTTGGCAAATGCACTGACAATTAGAGAAAGTTTTCCAAACTTCATGAACCGGTGAAGAAGGCCTACTCTCAGATTTTTTATTAGCTATTTTCTCCACCGATGTATGAAAGGTTGGTTGTAACGTGATCTCCTATGGAAAAGCTATTCAAATTCAGGCAGAGATTTAGAAAGCGGAAACGCGTGAATTGCCGACGGGAATCGATGGAGAAATATGACCTTGAAATGACGACAATCTCATTGGTTTTGTGAATCGTTTTCTTCCTAACCTTCTTGCACGTAGTAATCTTCAAAGGCCTTCCATTGCGTTCCATTCATTTGAGCAAGATAACAGTAGAGAGAAAAAAATTTGCAGAAGAAAGGGTGTTTTTCATTCACCGTAACAGTTTTTAAAAAGACACTAACAGTGCCACAGTAATGAAAAGAAAACGACATGGAAAATATATAAATTCGTCTGACTGTCTGTAACTCGTGTGCATACGGGATTTAGAACAAAGGTTGCGAGAGGTTTTACCAGAATTGTCTAAGATAGAGGTCTGGGTCGAGTGACAAAGGGTATAAAACACAGACAGGGCTGCCAAAGGTTCCGAGGCCCCCTGCGAGCCGAGCGAGCAAAAATTATTGTGACCACACCCTTCAGATAAGCTTAAAATGCCTCTCAGAAAATTTCTTAAACGCTAAAACGTTTAAAACGTTCACTGCTCATACTTTTGCTACGTTCGATTAAATCCATTCCTTAAATGGAGTTTATTACTTTCTGAGGTCCCCATTCACCTCGAGGCCTGGGGCTTCTGAGGCTCCCCAACCCCCCTCTCGGCATTCCTTAAACTCAGATAATTCAGTAAAGACAACAATGGAAACTTTGGCAACTTTTTGAATACCTAGCACAAGGTGAAAGGTGTTGGTGAAAATCTTGAGGGTGTTGTGGTCATAACCTAAGTTTTTTTACCAAAGAAATACGACGTATAACATGGTGTGTTAGGAAATCTTCAACTCCTAATCGTTTACTTCGAGTATACTGTGGCAACTTATGTCAAGGAGGGTTTTGAAACAAGTAGGTTATCGAGGTGAGATTAAGTAAAGATATATACCTAGCTGCTATCCAAAATTATTCAAAGATAACGATTCCTCGCTTAACGATTTCTTGGTTCCCTTTTCTTAACGATTCCCAGCCTTTCAGAATTTCTACCTTTGATCTGTTAGATGGGAGATAGAGACCAAACCACACAGGCTCGCTAGTTATGGAGGAAGAGATTCTGATTTCATTGGAAAACTACAGGGGGCTTGATAACCTAAGGTATAAAAAACAATTTTGCTTTCTCTTTAATTACAACCTGGATCACTTTTCGATAGGTTTCCAAAACCAAACCCACATGCCAAACAAGGGACGGATTTAAGCGGCAAGGATAGGGGGTTGTTTGATAATGATTAAACTTTGGTGCCACACCCTTCAGGTGATTGTAAAATGATAAAAACGCCCATTTTGAAAATTAAGCTTTTAACTCCAAGATAGAGAAGATAAGAAGGTAAATAAAGTAAATTTTTGCAGTATATTTTTACTTCCAACGCTTTTTACCGAATCAAGGCAAAATTTAACGAAGGACGCAAAAATATTGTAGGGCTGTCGCACCTCTTACACCTTCCGGTAATTCCGTCCCAGCCTTATCCTCCCCTTTCTCAGCCTTATCCTACCCCTCCATTCACATCTTTTCATCAGATATCAGAATGCACTTATGATTTTCTCCCATTACAAAAGCACTATTCTTTATTGAAGCTCACAAGCTATCATGGTGTATTATGTCTTATGGTGCATTTTGCTTTATTTTGTTCTAGTAAATCCTATCAAGGTCATGGTTCTCAATGAAC